ATTTTGACTAATTTTTATTCTTAAAGAGTTACATATATTTGTCCTAACTATTAACTTTAATTTTTAAAAGATATTTCAATTGTGTCCCCGATTCTTAATTAAATACAATTATAAATTATATCATATAGTTAAAAATGTGTTTATTTAATAAATATTCAAATTTATTCATTTATAAATAATTTTAAACAATCTATTAGAAATTAAAAAAAAAAAACTATGAATTACTTAAATGACAATGTGCGAATAAACAATAAAAGAAAGTACATCTTGTGCATATTAAAGAGAACAATATGCTATTATGTGGCTATATAGCTGGAGAGAATGAGAATTTTTTTAACCACTGAATTAAAATTAAATTAATTTTAAGTAATGATTCATCATCTTAGATTAGTGAAAAAGACAAAAAAAGCAGTTGTCGTATAAAACATGACATTCTTCATACTTTTTAAATAATTTAGAATATTTTAGTTCGTTCGTTTTATAATTTAATACGTTAAAAAAAGAGAGAAATAAAGAAATTCAGTGTTTTTTGTTATTATCTTACATTATTTTTTTTCTCTTTTGAGCTCATAGTATTAAAAAAGAGCAATATTAATTAAAAAAAATAAATTATAAAATCCATGCTCATGTATATATTGCTAATTTATAATCATGTTACAAATAATTGAAAAAAAAAGTTCAAAATAATATAACGTCAAGTGAAAATTTTTCACTAATTTTTATTCTTAAAGAGTTAACATATATTTGTCCTAACTGTTAACTATTAATTTTAAAAATTTATTTCAATTGTGTCCCCGATTCTTAATTAAATACAATTATAAATCATATCATATAGTTAAAAAATGTGTTTATTTAATAATTATTCAAATTTATTCATTTATAAATAATTTAAAAAAAACTATTAGAAATTAAAAAAAACCACGAATTACTTAAATAGCAATGTGCCAAGAAACAATAAAAGAAAGTACATCTTGTGCATATTAAAGAGAACAATATGCTATTATGTGGCTATATAGCTGGAGAGAATGAGAATTTTTTTAACCACTGAATTAAAATTAAATTAATTTTAAGTAATGATTCATCATCTTAGATTAGTGAAAAAGAAAAAAAAGCAGTTGTCGTATAAAACATGACATTCTTCATACTTTTTAAATAATTTAGAATATTTTAGTTCGTTCGTTTTATAATTTAATACGTTAAAAAAAGAGAGAAATAAAGAAATTCAGTGTTTTTTGTTATTATCTTACATTATTTTTTTTCTCTTTTGAGCTCATAGTATTAAAAAAGAGCAATATTAATTAAAAAAAATAAATTATAAAATCCATGCTCATGTATATATTGCTAATTTATAATCATGTTACAAATAATTGAAAAAAAAAGTTCAAAATAATATAACGTCAAGTGAAAATTTTTCACTAATTTTTATTCTTAAAGAGTTAACATATATTTGTCCTAACTGTTAACTATTAATTTTAAAAATTTATTTCAATTGTGTCCCCGATTCTTAATTAAATACAATTATAAATCATATCATATAGTTAAAAAAATGTGTTTATTTAATAATTATTCAAATTTATTCATTTATAAATAATTTTAAAAAAACTATTAGAAATTAAAAAAAACCACGAATTACTTAAATAGCAATGTGCCAAGAAACAATAAAAGAAAGTACATCTTGTGCATATTAAAGAGAACAATATGCTATTATGTGGCTATATAGCTGGAGAGAATGAGAATTTTTTTTAACTACTGAATTAAAATTAAATTAATCTTAATTAATGATTCATCGTTTTAGATTAGTGAAAAAGACAGAAAAAGCAGTTGTTGTATAAAACATGACATTCTTCATACTTTTTAAATAATTTAGAATATTTTAGTTCGTTCGTTTTATAATTTAATACGTTAAAAAAAAGAGAGAAATAAAGAAATTCAGTGTTTTTTGTTATTATCTTACATTATTATTTTTTATCTTTTGAGCTCATAGTATTAAAAAAGAGCAATATTAATTAAAAAAATAAATTATAAAATCCATGCTCATGTATATATTGCTAATTTATAATCATGTTACAAATAATTGAGAAAAAAATTTCAAAATAATATAACGTCAAGTGAAAATTTTTCACTAATTTTTATTCTTAAAGAGTTAACATATATTTTTGCTAACTGTTAACTATTAATTTTTTAAAAAATATTTCAATTGTGTGCCCGATTCTTAATTAAATACAATTATAAATTATATCATACAGTTAAAAAATGTGTTTATTTAATAAATATTCAAATTTATTCATTTATAAATAATTTTAAACAATCTATTAGAAATTGAAAAAAAAACTATTAGAAATTAAAAAAAAAACTATGAATTATTTAAATAACAATGTGCCAAGAAACAATAAAAGAAACTACATCTTGTGCGTATTAAAGAGAACAATATGCTATTATGTCGCTATATAACTGGAGAGAATGAGACTTTTTTTTAACCACTGAATTGAAATTAAATTAATTTTAATTAATGATTCATTGTCTTAGATTAGTGAAAAAGACAAAAAAAAAAAAAAAAAAAAAAGCAGTTGTCGTATAAAACATGACGTTCTTCATATTTTTTTAAAATAATCTAGAATATTTTAGTTCATTTGTTTTATAATTTAATACGTTAAAAAAATGAGAGAAATAAAGAAATTCAGTGTTTTTTGTTATTTTCTTACATTATTTTTTTTCTCTTTTGAGCTCATAGTGTTAAAAAAGAGCAATATTAATTAAAAGAATAAATTATAAAATCCATGCTCATGTATGTATTGCTAATTTATAATCATGTTACAAATAATTGAAAAAAAAAGTTCAAAATAATATAACGTCAAGTGAAAAATTTTCACTAATTTTTATTCTTAAAGAGTTAACATATATTTGTCCTAACTATTGACTATTAATTTTAAAATATATTTCAATTGTGTCCCCCATTCTTAATTAAATACAATTATAAATTATATCATATAGTTAAAAAATGGGTTTATTTAATAAATATTCAAATTTCTTCATTTATAAATAATTTTAAAAAAACTATTAGAAATTAAAAATAAAAACTATGAATTACTTAACTAACGATGTGCCAAGAAACAATAAAAGAAAGTACATCTTGTGTGTATTAAAGAGAACAATATGCTATTATGTGGCTATATAGCTGGAGAGAATGAGAATTTTTTTAACTATTGAATTAAAATTAAATAGTGATTCATCGTCTTAGATTAGTGAAAAAAACAAAAAAAAGCAATTCTCGTATAAAACATGACATTCTTCATACTTTTTAAAATATTTAGAATATTTTATTTCGTTCGTTTTATAATTTAATAAGTTAAAAAAAACGAGAGAAATAAAGAAATTCTGTGTTTTAAATGGAGAGGTTTAATGGAACGATGGTGAGGAGTGAAGATCATTTTGGAGGCTTGGTTTGCTAAACTGAAAAGCGGTTGTTGCCATATAAAACATGACATTTTTCATTTTTATAAAGATTTTTTAATATAAGATTCAGTATGTCTTGGCGCCATCCACTTTAGCACTAAGTTCGCTCGAGTGTCATAATTTAATACTACGTTAAAAAAAATGTAAGAATTGAAAAAAATTGCATCCTTTAAATGAAGAGGGTTTAATGGAATTGTGGCGGGAAGAGAACTTGCGAACTTGCTACAATTCGAGTTGACGATGTATAATCCGGATCAATAGATTAATTATCGCATACCATATAAGATGTGATTTTTTTTTAATTAGGAGTTTTTTAAAAACAAAATCATACAAGTTCGTGCTAAATTAATCTACTGCCAAATGCGTTTGGTCTGCTAAATTTAAATTACAGTTTGAATAAATTGAAATTATAATTTGACTTATTATCGACTAATTTCGAATTAATAGATTATTACATACCTAATATGACTTGATTTTTTTTATATTTTATCTAAGAGTTTTTTTTTTAAAATAAAATCGTGCGAGTTTATCTTCGCGCCAAATTTATCTCAGCTCGAAATTCTAGTGAATCTTCTAAAAGACAATAGAAATGAAAAAAAATAAATAGAAATAATAACAAGTTCAATTTTTTTTTTAAAAAAAAAACTACAGATATTTCTAATGTCATGAGCTTCAGCAGAAATGCAAGCGTCATACTTGCAAAGGAACAAACGTCATCAATCTTCTTGCCAAGGCATGGAAAAACCCAACAGGTATTTGGTGTTTTTCCCTCAAGGTCTCAACAAATCATGAAATTGTTCTTTTGCTGTGTTCTACAATTACAACACAAAACCATTATCTTGGTGCATGCAATTTTTTTCCAATATCATCACCACCTAGCTTATAATTATGTATATATATATATATTTTATGTTATAGTTTATCAAATATTATCGGACCAGGGTTTTGTTTATCCGATGAAAATAGACTGTTCATGTCTAGACTCAGCAATATCTAAGAGGCATGGTTATATAAAGACAACATCATTAAGCCAAGAAAAACCAAGAAGAAAAATTGCTGTACTTACAATTATATCATCCTAATCCCATAAAGGCCCTACCAACCTCCACAACAAACCACAACCAAGACTTTTTCAACGACTCTCAAAACGACGCAGTTGTTTCTCAAAAACCACCAATAACGACACCGTTGCATCCGTTATTTCCTTTCCTAAAATGTATTTCCAGAAAAAAAAGACATATTTATATAGCAAGAAATTAAGTTAGTACTATTACAAATGTGTCCCTATCAGATTCTCCCAGTCTCCCTCTACAAAATCCTTCTCTTCTCTCTATTTATCTCTCTCTCTCTCTATATCTCTCCCTCGTCGGACACCTCGATCTCGCCGGAAACCACCGCTGATCGCCGGTTTCGACTGAACAATTGATTCTCCACCGCCAACTTAGCACAATTTATACAACTTTTATTACATATACATATGCATAAACATAAAAGCTAATTATATCATTTTGGATTCAATTTTGAGTAAATTTAGTTGTAATTGGTTCATGATGGAGGATGAGGAAGATTATGGAATTAGTGAAGAGGAGCAGCAGGAAGAGTACTATTACGCCGATGATGGTGACTCGCTTGACGGCCTTGTTGATAATGACGATTCTGCTTTACAGCGGGCTCCACCTAAGGGTTCAACTACTAAGGTTTGCATTTTCCTTGTTTTTTTATTTATTTATGTTGTTGTGTTTGTTTCATTTCTAACGCGAAGAAGATTGAAATTTTTTGTGTTTTTGCTAGTGATTTTTTGTGTGTTCTATGTGCGAGGTTTTGAATTGAGTTCTAGTGCGTTTAATTTGGCTGTGATTGATGTAATTTGGTGATTTGAGGTAGAAATTTTTTAATGTTGTGTGTGTAGCTGGTGGTTGTTTTGAGTTGTTGTGTGTTTTGTGCCTGAGTTATTGAGCTCTTTGGTTTGTTAGTTTTGTTTTTTTATCTCCAGTTTTCTGAGCAAAAACCCTAAAAGAAGTCGAGCTCCAATGGAAGAGTAAATTGAAGATTGTCTGCTGGTAGTTATCTGTTAGAAGTAAAATTTGGTGATTGGTAGTTTTATCAAGCTTGAATGGATGATTAAAGTGAAGATTATGTGTGGGTAGTTGTTAGATTTTTAGGGTGGTAAAGTGATTTTTTTTCCTTTTTTGTGACCTCTTTGGATTTCTTGCAGGTGATAACAAAAGAGTCCCTCTTGGCTGCACAGGTATACTTCTAAAAGCACAAAAAGAATCAAACTTTTTGAACTGTCTTCATGTATGTGTACCTTGTAGTTCCAATTATTGATATTTTGGTTTGGGATTTGTTGATTTAGAGGGAAGATTTGCGGAGAGTCATGGAGTTGCTATCACTAAAAGAACACCATGCACGGACTTTGTTGATCCATTATCGTTGGGATGTTGAAAAGCTACTTGCAGTGCTAGTGGAGAAAGGGAAATCCTGCTTGTTTACTCAAGCAGGTGTTACTGTGGTTGAAAATCTTGACAATGACGTGCCGCTGACTTCATCTTCTACAATAACTTGTGATATATGCATAGAGGATGTATCTGGTGATCAGGCCACAAGAATGGAATGCGGCCATTGTTTCTGCAATGATTGTAAGCACTTCTCCCATTCTTAATGAGTGATTTTCTCTTCACAGCTGTGATTATATCTTTTCTGATGTGCATAGTTTTATGAATATGGTTGATTTCAGACCTTACCAGTTGGTCAAAGTTAGCTTGGTTGATTACAATTTTATTGCAGATACTCCTACCTAAATCTTTTGAATTCCAGTTCTAGATCCATGAATTATGCTTGCCAGTTGCTATGCCATTTTGAATCGATATTTGGAACTTTAGCAACTGATGACGGTATATGAATGTATTGTTGTTATATTGACATATTTTAAGAGGCTATTCCTAATGCTGATGTTTTCAATCAAGATAAACTTCTTTCTAGCTTTTTTCCCTTTAAAACACCTTTTTTCTGATTAAATCTCTTTTACTGGTTTTGTTGTTTGAAGGTTGGACAGAACACTTTATTATAAAAATAAATGAGGGTCAGAGCAGGCGCATCCGGTGCATGGCACACAGATGCAGTGCTATTTGTGATGAAGCCATTGTCAGGAATTTAGTTAGTAGAAGGCATCCTGATTTGGCAGAGAAATTCGACCGTTTTCTTCTTGAGTCATATATTGAGGACAATAAAATGGTCAAATGGTGCCCAAGCATTCCTCATTGTGGGAATGCTATACGAGTTGAGGATGATGAGTTTTGTGAGGTAGAATGTTCATGTGGCCTACAGTTTTGTTTTAGTTGCTTATCAGAAGCGCACTCACCTTGTTCATGCTTAATGTGGGAGCGCTGGAGCAAGAAGTGCCGAGATGAATCTGAAACTGTTAACTGGATCACGGTTCATACAAAGCCTTGTCCAAAGTGTCACAAACCGGTTGAGAAGAATGGTGGCTGCAACCTCGTGAGTTGTATCTGTGGGCAGTCATTTTGGTCAGCATTCTTTCCTGTCTCTCATTGATGTGAAAAATTTGCAACTTGATGCCTATTTAACTAAAAGAAAAGGAATTAGATGCATATGATTGTAACATAGGGCTATGGATTTTAAAAATTTGTTCTCAAATTCTTGGATGTTAATCTTGGTAATATGCCTCCATAATAGCCCTGTCAGCTTGATCTGGCATGACTTGACTGCCTCTTATCTGCTGGGATTGTTGGGTTTGACTCAGTGTGGCTGACTACCAATCACCTGTGGATTCATTTTACTGACGTACCGCATTCCTGCAACATCATGTTTATTCTTTTATTAATATCTTTCAATGAAGTTGTCTGACATTAAAACTTTGTTCTCCTTTTCTTTTGTCACAGTTGGATGTGTGGTGGAGCCACTGGTAGAGACCACACTTGGTCAAGAATAGCGGGTCACAGTTGTGGTCGCTACAAAGAAGACAAAGAGAAACAAACTGAAAGGGCGAAACGGGATCTCTATAGATACATGCACTATCATAACCGATTCAAAGCTCATACAGATTCCTTTAAGCTTGAAAGTAAACTGAAGGAGTCAATCCTAGACAAGGTGTCGGTTGCAGAAGAGAGGGAATTGAGACTCAAAGATTTCAGCTGGGTAACTAATGGACTCAACAGACTTTTCAGATCAAGACGGGTTCTTTCTTATTCGTACCCGTTTGCATTTTACATGTTTGGTGAAGAGTTTTTTAAGGATGAGATGACAGACGAGGAAAGGGAAATCAAACAGAATCTATTTGAGGATCAGCAACAGCAGCTTGAGTCAAATGTTGAGAAACTCTCCATGTCTCTGGAGGAGCCTTTTCAGCTGTTCAATCAGGATAAAGTTATGGAGATAAGGATGCATGTCATCAATCTGTCCGTAATCATTGATAACCTCTGTCAGAAAATGTGAGTCTGAGTACAATGGCTTTGAATATCTATGAGAACTCCATATTTCATAAACTAATAAATGGCTTTGCAGGTACGAATGCATTGAGAGTGATTTGTTGGGTTCTCTCCATCTAGGCACCCATCATATAGCTCCTTACAAGTCGAAGGGCATTGAAAGGGCGTCAGAACTTTCCTCTTGTTGGAACACCAAACTCGGTTCTACAGATGAATATCTACCTAGCGGTAATCTGTGTTTGACTTTGTTCTAACAGTGATGTTTTTTTTTTTTTTTTTTTTGGAAGAGAAAATTTACCCTTTTCCCTTTTTTTTTTTTTTTTTGCCTGACATATTTAATAGTCTCAGAGTAGTTGTTGGTTGTTCCATCAAAAACAATTTTAATCATCTGTATCTCGAGAATTATGTGGGAAGTTATAGGTAATTATTTTGTGTCTATATTCTTGTATGTGTATATCATTTTGCGATTTTGCATCTTTGATACTCATTTTTTGTAAACAAGTTCTGAGTTTTGCCCTTTATTGTCGTGTAAAATTCTTCATTTGATTTTTACAGATTTTTTGACTGCAATGGCTATCTCTTTTCCTGGATGGAAGGTTGTTCACACCTTTGAATCCATCATGTCATTCTAAATGAATTTATCCAACTTTGTTAATCTCATAATGCTTCTATAATGCCAGAAGTTATTTATAAGCAATCTTTTCCTTTTCTTTTCAAAATCCTTCATTTCAAGAAAGTATACATCTCAAACCTTTTATGCATTCAACCACGTGGAATGAGATCTGGTATTGTTATTGTTGTACTTTGCCTGCAACATGGAGTAGGGAGCCATTACAGTTCCTATAGAGTATGTTCTCTTTATGTATATTAGATCTTGGGTTATGGCATGTGTGCCAGTATAGACAATGACAGTATTGAAAGCTAATTGAGGCATGTGTTTTTTTTAAAGATGCACTGACGCATTTGCATTATAGGTGGGACATCAGAACGTGACAGACCTTCTGGTTCTGGGAGTTCAGATGATAGTGGTAGCTCTCCTCGAAAGCGTGCTAGAAAGGAGGGTGATAGCTTTTTTGATCTGAACTTGCCAGCAGAGATTGTAGACAGAAACTGAACCCAGACACTGCAGACTCCATATATACTGCTGTACAGCTTTAACTCAAGACCCTCTTTTTGGCTATGGAATTGATAATTGGTGGATTCAGCATCAAGCGCTTGCCTGTCAGCCTTCTTGTTTTACTTATCTTGTTAGGATATCCTGGAAGTCGAATCTGATTTTCCATGTCTACCTATTGTTTTTGTATTGTAAATAGCCTTCTGTTAGGGATTTGGTGGGTGATAGATTTTAATACTCTCTCTCTCTCTCTGAGAGATTTGAGTTGGACTTCAAACATGTCTCTCTCGTAATTTACAAATGATGATAATCTTACTGGTAGCAGGTTGGCTCCTCGTTTTCTTTTTCACCTCTCCTTGAGCATGTAAACAAGCAGATGCCGGAATCAAAATAGCCATTATACAATTAGATAGCTACGTTTGGGCGCACTGAGCATCTAGAAGAGCTGGTTTTTGTCCCATAACCTCCTTCTTGGTCGTGGGTTTGTCACATCCGCTACAGCAAGACACTTGTGTTTGATGGGTTGGACGAACCCCAGGATCATAAATCTTAGGTTTTGTCCATGAAGCTCAGATCTAACTACTCGAGTGTTTGTCATTGCACAGCCTGACATCTGTACACGAAATGGATAACAATTTAAGCTTCTTTCTTCTTTTTGGAAGAACGGAAAATTTTTTATGTGTTTAGACTCACAAGGCAACAGGAAATGAGAGAGCTCAAAAACCAACAGAAGATGCTTTTGGCTGTTCTATCTTCATCATTGGCATTGACTAAGCTGCTATTGGAAACTTCACTTTCATGTGTCTCTTTTTGGGTTTCTATCAGGCCATTCCACGAGGCTCTTCCTGCATGACGGCAGTCACGCACGCATTAGTTTATCTAGTCGTAACACGAAGATTCGATGTTCAAAAATGGAACCTTAATTATGTTTAGTTAATTGTCTGAAGTCCATTAACACTAGCCAGTTGACCTTCCAATGAGAGCATTTTCCTTTAATCAGAACCTATTCTTTCCATCCCATAGTTATAGAGGTTTAAATTTCAGACTAAATTACGAGGGGTAAAATTCTTACGATTCTTCTAGTTCCAATATAGATTGTGTTTTTTTTTTTAAAAAAAAACAAATTAGATTACAACTAAACAACTATGTTATATATTGTGAATGCTATAAAGGAAACAAGAGGGGTGTGAAAATATATAGAAGGAAGAGGAATATTGCAATTCATCACTTTGAGATTTGTTTTGTTTTGTTTTTTTTTTTAATTAATAAAATGGTATTTTCCCCTGTAAGATTTCATTTGACAGTACTACATTAATCCATCTCTTTTTTTTTCCTTAAAAAAAAAAAAAAAACCAATCAAACGAGATGATTTAGTTTAGTGAATGAAACTTTGTCCGAAAGTACTTGCTGACGGTAAAAAAAGATCACAGAGATATGGACTCCCCTTCAAACATCATCTTCTGGAGATGCTAACTAATGACTATATTTTGCACTAAATCAAATGGGCTTTGGAGTTTGTAGAGATTTTTGTTTGTTTTTGGGTTAAACAACAACAATAAATGCAACCAACAACTTTTTAAATAAACCAGGCAGCATGTCTGTCAGTTTTCCTTTGAAAATTGATGCTTGGCTTGTTCAAGAACGAGGTTATTGTCTGTCAAGTTTTATTGGTAGATGGAAACTAAAAATCAATTGAATTTATAATCTGATTCGATCTTTCTTTGCTGCTGCTAGAGTTGCCACACCTTGAACCAAATCAGAAACTTCTTTGTGTCACATAGCATTGTTCTGTAAATCTCGAGTATTATTATCGTAAAACTTGCTCTCCATCAAGTCAAATGGCTCTTGGATTTTGGAGCAATTTTTGTTTGTTATTGGTTTATATAAGTTTATGAAATCGATGGCCTGTTTAAAAAGTTAAACATCTTTATAATCTATGATTATATGATTGGATTTTCTAAGTTGACTCATTACCTCGATCCAAATTAGAAACTTCTTGAGATACGATCTATGATCAGAACTTACCTATAGTCGTTTAAAAGATAAAATAAAAATGGTATGTGTAGTTTAATTAATTTCAAGGGATGTGATTTCTAAAAAAAATGTTTGAGGGATGCGATAATCCATCAACGACATGTAGTATGGTAGCAGATTATAGGTTGTCGTCTCGTCTGTAGTCAGAGGTTCTCTCTTGCATCAAGCGATACGTCGTCTAACAACCTGCTCAACTGCAACCAACTACATCCCTCTCGCCCACAAACCACAGTTGAAATTGCACAACTGCTAACGACGAGCACTATTCGGTTTAAACCCAAAAAGTCAATTCGAAATATTAATTTTGTTTTAATTTTTGATTTAAAAAAACCAAACATACTGATTATTTTTTCGGTTTTTCAGTTTTTTTTTGGTTTTGAAAATTTTTTGATTGGTTTAAATTGAAAATCAATTTTTATATTTTTTTCTATTTTTTAAAGTATTAAATTAATACAAATAAATTAAAATATTAAAAAAAACAAAAACAAAATCTGTTTAAAGAAAATACCAAAACCAAAAACAAAATTTTAGTCTTTAAACCAAAAAACCAAATAGTAAATTGGTTCAAATTCGATTTTTTTTTATAGGTTAGATTAACTAAAAACTAAATCAAAAATATTAAAATCTGAACAAAAAAAAACTAATTGATCACCCCTAACAACTTCAACCCAATAATAGAACTAAACAAAAATATACTAAAAAATATCCTTAAGAGTTTGGCTCGGGTTGTTATTTAATTTGACTCCTCATTAGCAAATTCAATTTCGAATCAAACGAGGTAATCACCTAAAAAATATATCTCATAAACAGATTTATCAAAAATAATAATAAAAATAATGAGCTTTATTTTAATATGCAAAAACTTATTATTTAAAAAACAAAAGTGAAATGGCTCGCATGGGGGTCGTCAAAGACAAAAGAGGGACGATATCCCATGTAGTTAGGCTTGTGTAAGGATAACATTTGACAGGTGTATTGTTCCTACTCGTTCTGTTAGACTCCTAAGGAATCTTCCATATTTTCTGGATCCAAGCATTATTAGATTAGTGGCATTTATCTTTTCAGAGAACTGATCAGTTGGTGCAGTGAAGAAAAGAAATAATGGTTGAAAAATCATCATTAATTCACCACCTGCATTTTGCAGCAAATTAATTACATGAACATTGACATTAGGACATTTTGTGCTGAAGGCAAAACAGAGAAGTGAAAATGGTAAACAATGTAACCAACAAGTTTCAAAAATCCTTTAGACGCAGTATAGGACAGTACTAATCAATTTTTTACTCAAAACTTCGGTTTTTTTTTTTTTTTTTTTGTGTCCTTTGCTCCACTACTAATCAAATCAAGGTCCTGGAACCCTAGTTAAATGTGCCACTTCAAAACCATTCCCACTAGAGCAGCCGTTACAACCCTTTTTTTTTTTTTTTTTTTGGGTTTACCATCTACATGGCACGCTATCCGAAATAAAGGGTGAATTTTAATTTGTCTTTCCGATATTTGAGAGATTTTTCTACTTCTTCTGTGAAATTTTGTTTTTATCAATTACTTCATTTTATTAAAGTTTCAATTCATTATTTTCATCTATTAAACTGATATGCGATATGATATTTTTTATGATTAAATTAACTTCTTAAAATATTAAAAAAGTTTCATTCAAATATTTATCAATCATATTAAAATTTATAAAATATGTCTTATCAAAGTAGTATTATTTCAATTATGACTTGGACAAATATATATATATATATATATATATATATATATATATATATATATATATATGCTTTGGACAAAATGAAAATAAACAATTTTTTGTTTTTTGAAAACAAGAATATATATGAAAAAATGATAAATTATTATTATTTCTTTTATCATGAAGTTATGTTAATTTAGTATTAAATAGTAATGATTTCATAAAAATATGCAAGATTTATATTTTGATTTTGTGTATTTTATTATTTTTTATATTAAAATTTTGTAAATTTGAAAAATATGAGATTGAAAAAGAAAATATAATTTTAATTGAAAGAACAAAATAGTTAATATGATGGAGAAATAAAAGTTTAATTAAGATTTTTTTTCTTAACTTTAAAAAGTCATTCGAAAAATAAAAATACTGCATCATTACCTGTGTTTATTTAATAGATAGAAGGAAAGAATTGCAACTTTAGATGAAAGTTCAGAAAAATAATTGACGCAAAACAAAATGTTAAAGGAGAAATTGAAAAAGCCCTCGAACTTCAAGGTTGAAACTTAAAATCCAGCCCGAATTAAAAGGCAAGACGCTTTCCCTGCAATTTTTTTGACTGAACAAAAAGAGCATTATATGGTTGTATCCAAATACTTGAAGAAAGGTTAGGCAAAGGTTAGCCCACCAAACCAGTCATTTCATATCAAAACAATTATCTATTGTATTTTTCCTTTGACCTCTACCTTTCAGCCCTTTTGAGGTTTCTTTACCTTTTGTAAATGCTTCTCTCTTTTTCGTTTTAAAAGACCAGAAACACCACCGTTAATGTCTGTCTTCACTAGTGCAGAATGTGCTAGCCCTAGCTAGGCAACCCTTTCAATGTATGATTGGAAAAAATAAAGACAACAGCTAATGAGTATCATAGAATTGATCAATTTGCATTCATATTTGATAATTAGAATCCCAGCTTTTTCAAAAGTATAATCTTTTCTCGCGTTGCAAAGTACTTGAATCTGGGAATCAAGATATCGAAATCCAAATATTATGAATGAAAATAAACATTACATTTCAATTATTTTGGACATCAAAATTGAAAAAATTACTGTTTAGTCAATATGGTCCTGATGCGTGGTAATCACATAATAAGTTGAATATTTGATAATCCCTTGGTTAGGTTAGCATATTTCGTAAACTGACACGAGTTACGAGAGGGTCTTCATCTCTTTGTTGCTATTATATTCATGCTTTCAAAGTTACATGGCATAAAAGCCACATGAAGTGCAAAGTTTAAATTTTGCTCAAGCTCAAATCCCACGATCGAACTCTTGTTATATATACAGCACAAGTCAGTTACCTCTTTGTTTCTTGTCTCTTTCTTCCTTTTGAATCGCTTTTAAGCACCACCTTTAAAATCTTACAAGGTAAAGCCATGAACTGATCATTTGCTTCTTTTCATGCAATGCAAAAAGCCCACCATACCAAAAGCTTCAAAGGTGGCATTGCTTTCTAAGACAAGGGACTAGTCAAAAACTGACAACCCTTTTAAGCACCATCTATTATGGTACTATATATGTAGCACTTATCCATAGGCATGTTATATTTGCAACATACTTGCTGTAGTTGTTGTATACTACATATCAATAAGACAACTGGATTTTTTGGGGGCTTGCATAGGTTTAGCTAAAACCCAAATTTGGTTCTTTGAACCACTAGTCTTAGCTCAATTTTTGGAAAAAAAAATAAAAAAAATAAAACCATTTTGCTTGATTAGTCTCTATCCATACAATGTGGTTGTGCTGTTTATAAACATGGGTTATTCTGTTACAATTTAATGTATTTTGGATGTTTCCTTCATGCAGTGTATTTTTCTTTGCTTAGTACTTGTCTAGACTTTCTGGTAGTATTTGGCATGCATTTAATGCTATCTCAGTAAATTCTCAACTGTGGGGTCTAAGACAAATTGTTTGCTTCAATGCATGAAGTGAAGTGTCGGGTTGGTTCAACTTTGAAACGGTTCAAGTTCATGGAAGTAAGAGTTTCAACGCACAAGCATTCTAATAGGCACTTAAGTAGCTTTTTTGTTTTCTTAAACATTAAAATCATTACTATTCTTGCTAATGCTCGGGCTAGAAATCATAGAGAAATGGTTTCTGTGGATGGATAGCAGCTGATATATTTTCTGCATTTAAACATTATTATGGGTGCAGCTTCATGTCCATACCTTTTTACATTTTTAGGCCAACAAATAAGTAGCTTTCATTCTTAGGTATTACTATGAACACTTTTCTTGCTGATTCTTTGTTTTACATTGAATTCTGAGTGTTAAATTGCTACTATGGTAGTAGCCTAGAAATAGAAGTTATAGTGTATGATGGTTTCTGGGTATGACAATCAGTTGGTAGCCTTGACTTCTTGCAACTTGATAATCCTATTGGTGCCGCTTCATGCCCATACTTTCTATATTTTTGGCCCAACAGATACCAGCAACTGTTATATATATGGCTCTTCTGCAACTGATCGTAGAAACCATGAACTTCTTTTTTCTTTTGCCTCCATTTTTCTTCCTAGTCAATGAATAATCATCAAAGTCTCACGCACTTGTTCTGGTTGTTCATGTTTAATTGCTGAGGGTAAAAAACAGAAGAACTTATGCTTCTTTGATGCCTTTTGCCGTCTATCACGATCAGTTCTGCTATTTTTTATTGACAGTGATCCATTTCTAAGAAAAGTTGATATTGATAAACAAGAACCAAACAATATCTTTGAAGATTTTTGTCACCTTAAATCGGTAACTCTTCACTGACTGATAGTTAGCAGTTAATTCTCTGCTGTTAGTTTACAAGCATTTCTGCTTCTGTTAAGGTTAACTTTGTTTGATTGTTAATTTTGTTTCACAGAAGAAAATGGGGCAGCTCGAGGACTGTGTTGAAGTCAAGGAGAGGCAATTTCCTAACACAGAGGTTCAAAATTCATTAAAGCAAGAGGTGATTATATATCTTGACTTAGCTCTACGGCAACTGTGTAAAAGCTTTACAAAGTTTATTAAGATTGCCGACATTGGCACTTACTCAAGGACCCTGTTTATTTCTCCCCAGTAAAATTTAGTTACTTTCAATGACTTCTCTTTAGAAACTTTGCTCTCAGCTTTATGTTAGCATTGCAAGTTTATAACAAAACTATGGTCAATCTGTAGACGAAGCTATGACTACTGGTAATTTATAGAACTCACCAGTGCTTAAGAAAAACACTTCACTGATTCATATTTAACTGTCCACAGCGGAGGAGAAAAAAAGGCAAAACAGAGAAGTCATTGCTATTTGTGATAAATGCAACAATCTTTTCGCTTACTGCAACTTGTTTCCTCTCTTGTGCAGATTCTAGATCTTCAAGACCGATTGCAGGACCAGGTTTTGGTACGCCGTTCCTTGGAGAAGGCACTACGTAGTAGGCCTTTTTCCCCTGATATCATGACTGATAAGTCAATCCCCAAGGTTAAATTTCTTGATGCAAATCACATAACAAGTTACATTTTGCCAATGCATACATATCCACATTTTATTAAAACTAGGAAATCTAGTAATTTAACTAGTTAGAAGGTAGCTTTAGATATATTGTAATTTATTGAGTTGTTAGAATGATCGAGTTTCAATGAACAATATGTTGAATTTTGAAACTTGGGGTCATTTAATGACTAAGAACTTATATATTAAATGAATGGATGCACATTTTGTCTAGGAAATGATCATTTCTCCTTTATGTTAGAAATATTTAGTACGTTGTTTGTCTCTTACAGTTCCATTTTCATTTGTTATTGAATCTTACGATTATTGTTTCTAAAAATGAACTTCTGATTCACGAGTTGAATGTCAATTTGACAAGCACTATAATTTACTAAGTGTTGATTTAAATACTTTGTCTAGCTGTTGCCCTTTCTCACCTTGTGAATAAGCTGAGTGAATCTGCTTCTAACAGCAATGCAACATTCAATTTACTGAAATTGCAGCCTGCTAAGGATCTGATTAAGGACATTGCAGTATTGGAACTGGAAGTAGTGTATATGGAACGATATCTTCTCTCTCTGTACAGAAAAACATTTAACCAACAAGTATCTTCTCTGTCAACCAAGGATGAAAGGGAGGATGAGAGCATCAAAACGAGTTCAAACATACGTAAAGGAATGTTTCCAGAAGTTCCTAGAAATGATATCATGTCTAACGAGGACAATTCCGCTGATTATGCAAGTCATCTTACTTCACTAACCAAGGAATGCAGTGGCACTTTGGGACCGGCAAGGCTGTTAGATTCCGGCATTCATCGATGTCATTCCTCAATATCTCAGCGGTCTATTGGAACTTCTCCTCCAACGCGATCTATAGCCAGAGCAGTAGACTCATACCATTCTCTCCCACTGTCAATGCTGGAGGTACTTGACTGAGTTGAGAAAATACTTACAATTATCCCTGCAACATTCCTTAAATAACTATCCTTGATAAAAGTTAGTTGATGTTTGGTTCTCTGTCGTTGTCTTTTCAGCAAACTCGGAATGATGCTTCAAATGCAATCAGTCTAGCAGATCATCTTGGAACTTCTATGCACTATGATATACCAGAGACGCCCAATTGGCTTTCTGAGGAGATGATTAGGAGAATCTCAGCCATATATTGTGAACTAGCAGACCCACCTTTGACCAATCCTAATTATGCTTCCTCACCCATTTCAGTCTCTTCATCACCAAACGAGTTTCCATCACAAGACCATGGTGATATATGGAGCCCCCAGTATGGGAACTTTTCATCCTTCAATTCATCACTTGACAACCCTTTCCACGTTGGAGCCTCCAAGGAATTCAGTGGACCATACTGCTCAATGGCCAAGGTCCAACGCATTTGTAGGGATAGTCAAAAGCTGATAGATATTCAACATAAACTACAAGATTTTAGGTGAGTCCAAGGACCATAGCTGACAAAAGGAACTTTATACCATATCGTCTAATACTGTGAGGGGTTAATCCTGTTTCAGGTCACTTGTCTCTCAGCTAGAAGGGGTTAATCCTAGAAAGATGAAACATGAGGAGAAGCTAGCGTTTTGGATCAATGTGCACAATGCACTTGTGATGCATGTAAGGTTCTAAACCTTAGACTATAGTATCCGCAACATTCTGCTCTATTCCTTTTTCTGCTTTAGCTTTTGGTCTATGAGCTAATGGATCTACTGCATTGTGTTTCCCTACAGGCATATTTAGTTTATGGAATTCCGCAAAATAATATGAAAAGGCTGTCTTTAATACTCAAGGTGAGAAAAACTTCTCTGATCATCTTCGTGTAAGAAAGCATGCATAACATCAATTTAAAAGCTGTTGTATGTTTTAGGCAGCATACAATATTGGGGGTCATACAGTTAATGTAGACATGATACAGAGTTCTATTCTGGGATGCCGGTTGCTCCGTCCAGGACAGGTTAATCTTATTTCCCTGAAAACTTTTATTTAACAATTAACATTGCTTGCTTGTATGGTTTAGTTTCAGTTTCAACAAAGCATTCTCAGTAATGATGGTTATAGCTCAAATACCGTGTCTTTCATCCTTCTTACATTTCAATTCATCGTGTAAAGTCAATTTTGATCTGTTGCAAGTTCCAATCTGTCTGTTATGGGACATTCAAGGAATGTCACGTTTGACTGGAGCTGAATTGGCATATATCTGTATGCAGTGGCTACGACAGCTATTTTCTCTGAAGACGAAATTCAAGATCGGAGATGGAAGGAAAGCTTATTCTATTGATCATCCTGAACCTCGGTTATATTTTGCACTTTGTGCAGGAAGTCATTCTGATCCTGCGGTATGTTCATTAGTCATGGTTTTCTCTTCCAATGCAAATTAATGCAGGCCTGAAAGAATGCTGCCTTTTTATAGCTTTCTATGCCTTATTCAGCTCCTTATTGAAATAACGAATTGTGATTCTTCAGGTTCGAGTATACACTCCTAAGAGAGTGTTTGAGGATCTGGAAGCTGCAAAGGAAGAGTACATCCAATCAACATTCATTGTACATAAAGAAAAGAAACTCCATATACCGAAGATTGTGGAGTCTTTTGCTAAGGATTTGGAACTTTGCCCTGCTGGTTTGGTGGAAATGATAGAGCATTTACTACCTAATTATTTCAGGAAAAGAATTCAGGAGTGTCAGTACAGAAAATTTGGCAAGAACATTGAGTGGATTCCACACAACTTCGCGTTTCGCTATCTGCTTTCCAAGGAATTAGCCTAGTTATCTCATTTCCATCAGTATGGGTGGGAGGTATTACATGTTCTGGAGCTAAGAAGCAATGCTTTTCTTCAACTTATGCTTGGAATATAACGTGGAATGACAGAAGAATCATAACTGACGTCGATGGTCAACTAGGAATTGCCAAGTTGATTTAGACACCATATTGAAGCGTCTAACTTAGAAGAATGATGATCAAATGAGCTGAAGATAACGAGCTTGAATCCATCAAACTGAAGTGAATGGTCTAAATATTTCAAGTAGCCAGATCAGAAAAATACTCTAATAACTTGAGCTAGTATGATCAGCAATCTTCTTAGAGCAGCATTTCTGTGATTTGGCTGTCATTCCACTTCTCCTGTCTGCAATTTCCATGATGCAAGAGAAGCAAAAGTTAATACAATGGTTGTTATTACTTTGTGTAATATTTTTATCCATGTTGTGTAACATTTTGTAGGAGTATCTCAGCAGATTTTATTATTTGTAGCAGGAACTATCTTAATAGTATTTCACATGACTATTTCACCATCTTTATCCAGAGTTATTTTTTTTTTTTTCGGCTGGTAATGTGTAGTCTTAAATTATTGGACGAAAATCATAAATGGTAACTCTCTTTCCAGCTCCACTAATCTCTCTTTACTCTCTTGTTTACAACTTGACATGCCTTCTGTGGCTGTGGATACTTCCATCCGTTTGACTCTCCTCTTTTTGACAAAGTGGAAAAGAACAAAAAGAGGGAAGATAAATTAAATACAAATAATCTGAACTTTCTCGGCAGAAAAAGCTGCCTCCCAACTCCTAATATAAATGAAAAGTTTCAAAAGAGAGAAAATATAGGTGGGTGGGATGGGATTTGCTATATCCATGGTCAAAATTCGAAAAGTACAATACTTGCCTTGATAAAAGGATACTGTTTATAAATTCAAACATAATGGAAACAGGAATGCAAGATTGTTTTTTCGTAAAATAAATTTAAAAACAAAACGAGAACAAAAACCTTGCTCTCATGTCACATGTGGACGGTGCGCCATAGGTCCATGGCCGGGACACCTTTTCCCTTAGCCACACAAAACATCTTTTCTTCCTTTCCTTTTCTTTGATGCTACTATGCTACAAATCCTTCGCTTTCCATTTTCTAGATTTAAGAAAAGGAAAAATCTTAAAATTGTCCATCAATTATTTTATTAGTATCAATTTTGCCCCCAAATAAATTTTTATACCAATTTTGTCCTTAAATAATTTTGATTTCTTAATTGGGGCCTTTTGTTAGAAATCCTTAACAGAAATTGTTTGTGAACAAGATCAACAAATGGTACATTTTTTATGGAATTTGCGATTAAATAAAAAAAAATATTTGATATATTAATTTTTCTTCGAAGGTAGAAGATATGATGAATTCAATTCAAAACGATTTTAAAAATACATCTAATATTAACTGGATGTATTAATAATAATAATAATAATAATAAATTAACCAGAACAGTGGCTAAGGTGTGAAGGAAAGATTTTCGTAACACGCAATTTGTTCGTTACTGTTTTGTCAGTTGTGGAAAGGGAAAGAAAGGAAAGAGGGATCTATCTCTTGAGAAAGCACCAGGATCACTTAAACAAACACAAAATGGCCCAAACCCAGCATCCCTTTTTGGCGCTTCTGCTACTTCACATATAACAAAACAAAGTCTCAAACAACAAAACCCTTAAAAACAAAAATCTCCCACAGACCCCCAAGTTCTTTTCTTTTTTCAATGCCGACAAAAACCAGGTAGAGAAAACAATAATGGAAGATGAGGGAATTGAAGCAGTGTTGGCTAAAGCCATAGACCTGAGATTAAAGATCAGTAATTGCATCCATAAAGCAACCACCACCAACATTTCCAACGACAAAAAGACTCAATCTTTTGAAGAAGAGAAGCAAGAAAGGGAGGGTCTTGAAGAGAAGGGAGAGAAGACTAAGAATTCAGAGTTTCTTGATGGGGTTTTATTGAGTGAAGCAGAGGAAGGAGAGGATGATGAGACTGAGAGGCTTTTGCATATCCGTGATGCTCTTGAATCCCTTGAGAACCAGCTCTCAAACTTGCAGGTTTCTTTTCTTTTTGTATGATTCCCATTTCTTTGTTCTGGTTAAGTTAGGGTTTTTGGTGTAAAAACCCTAACTTTGGTGACAGGAATAGTGTTTATATATATATATATATATGAGACCCATTTATATATTTTTTTTAATAAAATATTAAATGGGACTTCTAAGTGGGTTTTAGGTTCATTATGGAGAACATGCTTTAAAGTTTAAGTTTTGTGCCAAAAGGCAAAAGCATGAGCATGATTGGGAGCGAGTGAGGAGGTTTGGTTTTAAAGGTTAAAGGTTGAGACTGATTTATTGTTTGTTTCGTATCTTTTGGCTTTGGAATCAGCTTTTTTTATTGCAAAATTGCTGCAATGAACTTGACTCTTGTGATTGTTACTCTTGAATGATGTTACACATATCAATTGGAACTTGTGAAGTTTTGTGCATATGAAAGCACAGATAGAGCTTCTATTTATCATTATGGATTAATTTTATGTGTAAATTTTGGGAAATTTCATACTTCGTCTTACAAATTTGTGCTTATCTGAGATCCAAAAAAAAAAAAAGTGCTATGCGAATCCAACTAATTGTTTGAATGGCCCAGCTCTCTTGAAACTATGTTGAATGTACTTGAGCTTGTCTTTACAAGATTAGTTCCTGAAAACCTAGCATGTTTGCTAGTAGCTATAGTTGAAATATATGCACTGACCATAATGATATCAGTTTTCCTGTATGTTTTTAGTGGATGCCCATGACAATGACAATGAGATGAAATGGTTCTAAGACTGATTTTGTTCGTAGAAATAAAACCTTAGTTACTACTTGAGTAATTGCTGGCTGATCTTGGCAAGTATTCATTTTCGCTCTGCTCAGTCATGGATGCTTTATATCTCATTTGATGGATTAACTTGCAAACATGGGAGGAGTGTCAATTATGGAAGTATGTTAGTGCTTCATTTGAATTTTCTCTATCTTCACAGGGTTTTGCTGTGCATATTACGAACTACTAAAAAGGCATGCTATAAAATTTTGTAGTAGATTTCAGGCTTGCATTGACAGTAATGTTGTAGAGTACTTGTGTGATCTGATAAATTAATTTTGCTGTTTGCTGCTTTGTGAACCTAAGGCAATCTTTTGTTTCATGATTCGGTCATGTTTGGCATCCCATCATTGTTCTTGAACTGGGATGTTCCTACCATTTTTGCACTCTTCGACTTGTCCATATACATACACTCTTCTCTTTTGTTTCTTTAATGTAATTCCCTTCCTTATGTGTGCATGCACATGTGTGCGCAGATATTGGGGTGGTATGAGGGTTATTGGCAGTGTAACAATTAGGTAGTAAGCTTTTTCAGTCCAAAGTTTCTTCGTATTATTTATGCACATGGGAATTGTTATTTGAAATCCAAAATCAATAAGTAATACCTCTCTTTATCCAAGGACATGTATAGAGACAAACTTCTGTGAGATGCAATACATAATGGTTAGGAACTCTTTAATTGTTTCCCACTGGTGGCCAGGCTTTGCAGCAGCAGCAACGTTATGAAAAGGAAGTTGCCCTTGGTGAGATTGAACATAGCCGCAAGATATTATTGGATAAGCTTAAGGAGTACAAAGGGGAAGATTTGGAAGTGATAAAGGAAGCCTCTGCATTTGCTGGGGAAACAGTGGAGCATAACAATGACCTTTTGCTTCCTCCTTATCCTAGTCGCCTCCCACAGTCCCTGGTTTTAAACAATCGGTATCTGTCTCACTTTCACCCCACACGCAAGTCCAATGGGATAATAAGTGGTGAAGCAAGGGGGTATCAGGATGGGTCAGAAAATAATCAAGCACAAGCTGCATCCAAAAACTCAAGAAAAGGGTTGGGACATGTCATCAGTGCAGCAGCCAAGACCATGATTACCCTTGTTGGTGTAATATCAGTGTTAAGCTTTGCTGGTTTTGGACCTGGCATCGGGAAGAAAAATTTTCCTCTTAAAGTTTTGGGCTTGTATCAGCAACCAACGACTGAAGAGAGGAAGCAAATTGTTCAATGCCCACCTGGGAGAATCCTGGTGCTGGAAGATGGAGAAGCCCGATGCGTTGTGAAAGAAAGGGTGGCTGTTCCCTTTAATTCAGTGGTCGGAAAACCTGACGTAAATTATGGGAGTGGTTAGTTTCATATTTGTGTCTATCTTTGTTCTCTCTCTTTTCAAAGTTTTGGTAGATTCATTGTCTATCTTTTGTACATCACTTTTCTTCATTATAAGGTGAATGAAGAGTGTGCTTCAATGACCTGCAGAATGCAGTGTTCGCGTTATTTGCAATTGGTGCATATGCATCATTCTTATTGCTGTCGTATTTGGAAATCCAGCTTTCCAGATATGAGAAGCTACGTTTTTAGATCCTAAAAGTTCCGCTTGCTTAACAAATCATGCGTAAATTCATTTGTTGCAGTCCTAGTCTTTTGCTTCATGTTAAAATTTATTCTGCTTATCAGGAGAGCTTGCTAGCATCTCAGTTAACAGTGTATTATCTATGGTTTCTCTTTGAATGCCACTCTCCTTGAATGAGCAAGGAAGCGTGAACAGCAGAAAATTTGGCCGCTGCAAGGACTATTGTTTCTCTTTGAATGCCATTCACAGGGGGCATCTTTGAATTGGTTTTACGACTCTTGGGGAGATAGTAAGATTAATGACAGCCTAAACTCTATCAACCATCTTCCGAGTTTCCGAGTTCCGGAGGTGTTGCTGCTGTTAGTAACCTGTTACAGATGCTGCAAACTTTAAACCCATATTCTACTTTCCTGGGCCTTTTCCCTGAGTCCAGATTCTTGTGCCGGCATGGTACATGTCCAAATAAAGCATGTAAGAGTCTCTTCTTCAGTCAACGAGTCCAAATCATGTTTGCCTTCTTTCAACAAATTCATTGTTCCAGGTCGTGCAAGATACTAGAAGGGCATCACCAGATTAAAAAAAATGAAGTTGGCTCCACCGCAACGGGAAAGGCTAATATTTAAATTTATTTGGTCTCAGCCATCAGGCATGGCCAAAGTTTTTATATTAATAACAGAATCCATCTGGTGAAGCTGCTTTCTATTGATCTATGTGAGTGCTTCAAAGCTAACCAATTTCAGCTGTTTATTGTCACTGTTACAAAGTATTTCTTCTCTTGACTTCTTTAGACTCTCGCAAAGTATTCACCAGACACTCCTCCTTTCTTCATCATTAGACGGTTAGGAAGCTTTCGTAGTCGTGATCGATGGGACTAATATCATTTAGTTTTCTAGACCTATTAATGGAGCTCTAGCTATTGAATAGGTTATAACTATGGAGATTGGATTTCCTTCCCCATGTATCGTTTACAAAAAGACTCGTTATCTTCTCGAGTGTATCAGAAGTGATTGAAAATGTAACCATTGGATTTCACATCAATTTATGCTCCCCAAATTTGAACGGAATTTACAGATGGTTCAAATCTTAAAAGAGAAATTGAAACGCATATTATTCAAATCTGGAAGCTAATATCAACACCCTTTACAAATTGATGAGGCTAGCAAACACTGACGAATGAGGTTAAGTATTTTCGTGCACGGAAGGAAAAATCCAATGGGAAAGCTGTTGAATGAGTGCCAGTGAAGAATTTACTTCTAGAATTTCTATTAACAATTGAAGAAAAATTCAAATTGAATAGCTACACTCTACAAAAAATATCCTAGCCATTGGTCAATCCCATCACTGTGCCAATCCCACTTGAAAAATTAAAACCATGTACTTGTTGCCACAAACTGCCGCCTGGCCCCCGGTTTTTGGACTTTTGGTTTTAAATTATTAATATAGACTAACTAGAATGGCTTTCAAAAGCCACGAAGAGTTAATCTCATCTTCTCTGAATCTGGCTATATAAATGAACAGCCATCCAAGATGGGCTCAAACAACCAATCCCATTTATCAAATCATCAACCTGTCAAACTCTAAAACCTTTGGCTACTATGAGTACCGTGGAGTTCAAAGCTTTCACAGAAGAGCAAGAAGCTCTTGTGGTGAAGTCATGGAGTGTAATGAAGAAGAATGCTTCAGAATTGGGTCCTAAATTCTTCTTCAAGTAAGCCAGTCTTGCCCTTTTTATATCCTCCTGTCCACTAACAAGTTCAGGTCTACACTGCAATTTCCTTTATTCGTAGTACAAGTTGTTAACTGTTGCATTAATTGATGTCTGCAGGATATTTGAGATTGCACCATCAGCACAGAAATTGTTCTCATTCTTGAAAGACTCAAATATTCCTGTTGAGAAGAACCCAAAACTCAAGTCCCATGCCATGTCTGTCTTTATCATGGTAATAATAAATCCATGTTCTGTATTATGTTGTTACTCGTCCATCACCAAGTCTCAGGTTCATTCCTCCCTAACTTTGCACTAAAATGTTTTGTACGGTGTGATATTGCAGACTTGTGAATCGGCTGTGCAGCTAAGGAAAGCTGGTAAAGCAACAGTAAGAGAGTCCAGCTTGAAAAAATTAGGAGCTGTCCACTTCAAACACGGTGTAGTTGATGAACATTATGAGGTATAATTAATTGATGGATCAAATTAAAATGAATTAGAAACAATTCACTGATCCAGAGCTATGAATTTATTTATATTTTTTTTTAAAAAAAAAGAACCCTTTATTTTTGGCATGGCAACAAATCTGCGCACTTTAAGAATTATGGGAAATTGTTAACTCTGCTTTTACACATAATTAGCTGAGTTTTTAATATATTTTTATATTTTTTATTGAGTCAATTTTATTATGGTAAAATAATTGAATTTTAGATATATTTTTCTGTTAATTTTTTTAATTAACTGAATCAATCATCCACCTTATTTAATAGTATATTAAAAAATAGTTATGAATTTTGTGGGCATGTCAATTATGTGCAAAACATGTAACAAATAGAAGAAATTTGAAGGAAAAAAAAATTAAAAAATCACATGAGACTAGACCTCTCTTCCTCCTCTCTGTTTCTCTCTCTCTCCAGTAGCTCCTTCCTCCATCATCGAGATTGTCAATATAATATTAAATCATGCATATGAGTAATTATATTAATTTAAACAGAAACATTGTCATAAAAATATATTAGAAACTCAATCATTTTATAAAAATAAAATTAATTTAATTAAAAATACAAGAAAAACTAAAAACTCAACCAATTCTATAACAAATCACAAAACAGATCATTTCTCCCATGTTGAAGAATGAATTAAAGTGTTGTGCATAAACCATATTTTATTCAACTTTGTCTATGTAAATGCTGCACAGGTAACAAAGTTTGCCTTATTGGAGACAATTAAGGAAGCCGTACCAGAAATGTGGTCACCAGAAATGAAGAATGCATGGGGACAAGCTTATGATCAGCTAGTTGCTGCTATTAAAACAGAAATGAAGCCGTCTTCCTAGATTTCTTCAATGAATTAAACTTTGTAATAATGTTTATTAATTAGCACATTAAGAAAGTATGCTTATGATAATCTTTGTTTACCGTTGCTCGTCTCTAAGAATGTTTTTCCATTCTGTAATTAACTAGATTTTTGCCCGTGCTTGGCAGGGGGTATGCTTGAATAAAATTTATCATATTTTTGTGAAGAATCCATGAAGTTACATGGTAATCCAATTATACAAATGTTGTGTTTTTTTTTTTAACAATAAAAATCCCTTCTGAGAAAAAACAATAAAGTAAAACCGAGTAAATTATAAATTAGTCCATCTCGTTTTAAAAAATAAATTAATTAGTCTCTCTTATTTTAAAAATTAATTATTTAATCCGTATATTTTGAAATTTACTTATAATTTAGTCTGTTTTACTCTTCTTTAATTTATTTTGATTTTTTTAAGAAATAGAAAAAAATAAAAAGATAGATGAGAAAATAAGATATTTTACGAAATAAAAATAATATTATATTAAATATGGTCAACACCGATTAAAAGATTAAATAATAATTTTTAAAATGAGAAAGATTAATTTATTTATTTCTTAAAACTAGAGAGACTAATTTATAATTTACTCAAGTAAAACCTAATTACTCTTACAAAAGACTGTATTTAAAACTCTGTATGCTGGGGAACTAAACTATATATATATATATGTGTAGGTTCTAATAACCAGCAAATGGGTAGCTAATGCAAAAGTTCTCTTATCTTTTCCCTCTACACCCCTCGTAAACTTGATAAGAAGTTGCAAAGATTTTTTTAAAAAGAAAAAGAAAAAGAAAAGGCCTGGTCGTTAGCTGTAATTCAACTAGTATTAGTGTTTTCTTTTTTCTTTAAAAAAGTTTTGAACTTGAATATCTTCTTTATAATAATAATAATAATAAAAGATTCATTTTACATTTGAACAATGTAATCTTTGAATTTTTTTTAATTGAAATCCTCTATTTTTTTATTTGATTGAAATTTTCTATTTTTATTTGTTTTGAATTTATTGTTTTAAATCCTCCGTTATAGTGTCATTAATTAGTAATTGACACATGACATTATGAAATAAGAAGTCTCGACCACGTGTTGATTACCGATTGATAGATTACAATAAAAGATCCGAAATAATAAATTTTCAATAATAAAAAGTCTCAATCAAGTTTTTAAAAAAAGAGGTCTCAATTAAAAATTTTTAAAAATATAAAGTTCAAATGTGAGGAAAATCCAATAAAAAAACAAAAAGCATACTTTTAGAGATTCCTAATGAACATTTTAAAAGACTTTAGGGTTGATGTTGAGAAAATTAAACCTATAGAATCCGAAACGAGAAAATGCTGAATTATAAGAGCTAAAACACAGTTTACCCTTTCTTTGATATATGGGCAAATTTTCATGTGTTATTGTGGTGTATAAACAATTCTGCTTCTCGATATGATGCTTGGACGTTGGAGGTATGAATTCGAAGATGCATTGTCATGCTCTTTCTTACTAGCTGCCTGAAGACACTACATATGATTTTGTTATGGGTAAATTATAAATTAGTCCCTCTTGTTTTAAAAACTAATTATTTAGTCTCTATGTTTTGAAATCTACTTGTAATTTGATTATTTTTACTCCTTTTTAATTTTTTTTAAATAGAAAAAAAAAATATGGAAAGGTTGATGAGAAAATAAAAGATTTTATTAAATAAAAATAATATTAAATTAATCATGATCAACATTGATTAAAAGACTAAATAACAGTTTTTAAAATAAAAAAGACTAATTAATTTATTTTTTAAAACTAGAGGGACTAATTCATAATTTACTCTGAGTTGTTATCATTATTTTCAAACAATAACCTCCTTCTGGCTATGATTTATAGTTCTTGGTAATGAAGGTCAGCCTTTTTCCTTTCTTTCTTTTTAGCATTATTGTTGAACTGGGACAAAAATTTTGCTGGAGCTAACCAAATTGATGGACTTCGAAATTAATTTAGAAGTAGGGTAAATCTTAAAGCTATATGATTTTTTTTATTTAAGCAAACCTTAACGAGCCACATGCATCACGGCCACAAATCCCATGAATTAATTTGGCATGCGAAAGCATTAGACTTTTACATTAAAAAAGCATATAGAGTCTACACAAACAAAGTGCAAAGAGGCCAAACGGTAAGGCTTCCTGCTATATTTTATCTCTCCACAACTCCAAAGCTTCAACAACTATTTCATTGGTCCAGCTAATATCTAAAGTTGGCCTTTGCAATCTAATTATAGAAAGTGAAAGAAACCCTATTATATGCCATTAATTACTCTCTTTTATACTCTAAAATAAAATTGATGAAAGAAAACAAGGATACTTAAAAAATACGTCCTTTCCATCAATTCTGCAATTTTAATACCCGATTCGCGGATTGGTTCGTCTTGCCAGAAAGTTTGAACCGATAATATCAAAACTGACCGGAATCTTACAACGCCGTTGATCAGTGGCCAGAATTTGAGTGTCATTTCTATCCAAATACGGTAACGTTTTTTCCGACGTAAACCCCAGGTCCAAGTGAGCAAGAGATGCACTGGCTTTACATGCTAGTGCACCTAATTGTTGTAAGGATAGTGGAACATTCGACTGAGACAGTGGCATGAGGAAATAAAGTTGGCCCAATTGTAGTTCCTCATCATCTGGCACCTGAGGCAAGTGACAATCTATGTACATGGACTCGGCGCAGCAGAGAAAGCTGTTGGGGTTCAGGGAGAGTACGTGGCTGGCTTTGATTGGTTGCCTGAATTCTTGTAACCTTCCATCTAGGTGAATGATTTTCGCTGCGGATGGCCAGTTTAGACCACCACCAACCCTTTTTTGGTATCGAGGTGATGATGCACAAATGCCCATATTTTGAGATAGGAAGAAAGAGAGTAGAGGGATTATTTTTTGTGTTTTTTTAACTGATCAAGAGAGAGTAGAATGAAGAAATGGGTTGTTCATGGAAGGAATCAAGGAGGGATTTATATAGGGAGAGAAAAAGCATGAAACAGAATATTATAAGGTCAAGATTGACCCAACGTACAGCAGTATTTTTCTTCGAAGAGAGCATATAGAATAAAATCAGTGCCACTAAATTTAGATAGAGTTAATTAGAATATGTAGCAATTATGACACGGCTTTGTGTGGTTGCTAAGAAAAAATCTGCCAACATTTGTAAAGTCCATTAGTGCTGTCCGCGTCTTTTTTTTTTTTATTTTTAAATGACTTTTCCACCAAGTTTTTGTAATCATTGATCATTAGGATTTTGAAGTATTTTGGAATGGATAACGATCATTGGTGCCTAAATTACTTAGGAACTTCTGATGTGATGCCCTTCCATTTCCATGATGGTGTTGGTGACTAATGGTCATTTGGGTGGTATGACATATTTGCTAATTAACAGGGCTCGTGCCCCGAAAACCTGAAATTTTCTGTTGTATCTCTGATTGGTCCTTTGGCTGTTTCTTAATTTCACACGTCAGGGATTTTGAATCCATTAATGCCGTAATTTAAAGGAGAGAATTAGTACCTAAATTATAGATATTAAAATGAGCATGCATTTTTGGAAAATTTTTAGAATATTATCTGCTTAATCAGTATTAAATTTCATAGTTAATATTAGGTTTCATTCAAAAAATTTAAATTTTATCCCAGAAGGTCCAACATTTTCTTTCACTTGTAAGTTTATTTTTTAGGTAAGTCAATTAGTTTGAACTCTAAAAATTTTTGTTGATTGTTAGATCTTTTGAGATTTTGATAACCTATTAAATTTGATAATTAAAATTGAATTTTATCAAAAAAACTTAATATTTGTGTCGAGTGATCGACTTATTTTTAACTTTATATATATTAGTCATTTATTATTTATTTATTCGACGTGAGATATGTTTTCTAAAACTTTTTTTATGACACTCTTCTTCATTTGCAATATATAGTTTGGGGTCTATCAAGTGGTATGTATTTCAATGTCTTTATTGATCATCATGCTACTTTAATGTTTTGATACCATATTAAATTTGATAGTTGAAATTGGATTGCATTCAAAATACTTAAATCTTATGATACGTGACTTATTCTCAATTTCATATATTACTTATTTATTGTCTATTTATTCAATAATAGATACGTTTTCTAACATTTTCCTTCACTTTGATATATTACTTATTCAATATGAAATAAACAATAGATAAGTAATATATAAAATCGAGAATAGATCACCCACCACAAGACTTAATTTTTTTAAATAAAATCCAACTTCAACTATCAAATTTAATACTAAATAAGTAATTATTTAAGGAAGACAACCTAAAAAAATTTACTTAATATCGTATAGAGTTGCTTTCCGTCCAGAATTATTATAATGGCATGTAAATATGTAATAGACTGCTTTTATTTTTTCACAATCAAGGTTGCCTTTATGTATATGCAATAAGCTTCTTTTTTTTTTTTTTTCAAAAACTAAAAGTGTTTTTTTCATTGGACAATAATAGATATATTTGGATCAATTTTACACCAATTGAGATTAAGGGTGAGTATTTGATTTCTTGGTTTTGTTTTAGACTAACAGAACCCACAAAAAGCGAACCCGAATCAAATTACTATTAGGTTTTTGGGTTTGGTTTTTCAATTGAAATCAATTTTTTTTCAATTTTTTGTTTCTATCTTTTTATAAAATTTTTAAATAATGTAAATAGGCATATATATATGTTATGGACCATGAAGTCCTTCCTTTAGCTCAAATGATCTAATTAGCCTATAAGAAAAATAAAAAAAAATTATTTAGATAAGACTACTTAAAACACAAAACCATACCACAAAATGTATAAGATATATATAAAAAAATAATTGTTTATTTTTTTTTAAGAGAACTATCAAAATTCAAAATATATTAAATAATAAATAATAAAATAAAATTTTATTTTCAATGAAAACCGAAACAAAATTTCAAAAATCAAAATAATTTTTTTTTTTTTGGAGCATTGGAGTATTTTTATTGATCGAGCAAGTCGTATAGCCTAGAATCGGACATTTAATTGCTTTGATTAACTCTAAGTTAAAAATTGAATTGAAATATCAATTTCAGTTCGGTTTCGTTTTTTCAATTTGAATCGATACTCGCTCATTCTTAAATGAGATTGAGTTTTCTTTTCGAATTATATTAATAGCATATTTTATACATATGCTCATTCCAAAGAATTTAAAGAATTTAATAAATTTTTTGAATGCTGGTTTCAAAATTCAAACTCAAAAAATTAAAAAAGAAACATACATGTCCTTAACCTTCATATCAACCACTTAGAATTACATTTAAATAGATAGGTGCCGAAATATATATATATATATATATATGTGTGTGTGTGTGTGTGTGTGTATGTATGTATGTATGTATGTATGTATTGTGAGCTTGTATATAGTATTGTTTTACAAAGAGAATATATTCACGTATAATTCAGGTTCATTTAGTCGTCCATATTGGCCGGTGACATTCACAATCAACGCGGTTACTCGGCTGAAATGCTCATTTTATAGGGGTACGGAAGGTTTCCTTCTAGGAAGCCTCGAGGTTCAGAATCGGAAAAGAGGAGCAATAATTTACAGGAACTAGAAAGAGCAATTTCCTTCCTCTATACTTTGGGGTGCTGGGACAAATTTCATCCTTTCACATTTCTTTACTGTTTTTGGGACCATAGCCACGGCGTTTTCTATCTCAATTATTAGCCATCTTTTGCAAAATGTCCTTTTCCTATCTCTGTCACTTTCTTTCTTTAACATCCATTTTAGACCCATTCCATCGTTGTCTCTCATCCCCTGTTTTCTTTTGTTTAGGCTTCATGGGTGTCTTTCTTTAACATACATGACATTTTATGTGCTTGTTAATATGAGAAACGGATCCCAGCTAGGCTTCCAAATCAAGTTCCCCTAACCACCCTCCATATAATTAGTAGTAATTATAATTATCAGCTTGCATGTTTGAGAATGCTTAAAATTAATGTATTAGCAGAAGACCATTGTATTTTTCTTTAAAAAATTAATTTATGGCAGCTAGTTTAGACCATTAATTAACGTACTCTTATGGCTTTGGTACCCAACCAATTCGGCTATTATACCTCAGATTTAAGGAGAATTATTAAATAATTTATTTTATAACTCACGGATTAGTGTTGTTTGAAACTTCTATAAAGGATATCCGAAACTTAATTCATTTCCTTCGTGTTGTAATGTTAAGATGCAATTTTGTTGACCTTATCGAATTCGAATTAGTATATTTGACAACTCGGTCATTGGTTCAATTCGAAGATACTAAAAAAACCAATTGTTTTATTATGATATTTGGGAACATGCTTATTTGATTTGAATTTCGTAAAGTGATTTAGATAAGATGCTTTAACAAGTAGGTTTTGTTGAACCATTTTATTTTGAGAAAGTAATGAATTGAGATAGCAAACAAGATTTTAATGGTTTAGATATCTTCAAGCTAGTTTAATTTTGCATATTAAGATTTTTTTTATAAAAAAAATTCTTTATTAGATCATCAATATATCATTTGGACTGATGCATTTATGAAAATTTTGTTCTCTTATAATTAACTGTGTCTTAAAAAGGAATACTAGACGATAAGGTCGTAGGCAATCATCCTCTACTGCTACTAGCAAACAAGATCAAAATTGTATTCATCATGAATTTGAAACTCCCTCCTACCATCAGCATAGCCAGTCACTATCCATCAGGGTTGGCACTAGGCTTGGATAAAAAGGAGGCAACTTATTCTGTATCCTCGGCTAAGTAATGGAGGACTTTAAAGCACCTACGCAAGATTGACTAATTGGTCTTTGTTATGGGCTTAATTAACTTCATTGGTCGAAATAATTCAGGCCATTAGCTTTTGCTCCCGCACCCATCTGGCCATGCCACTTTATTGTCCCTAAAATTTTTGTTTAGGGTGCACTTTTAGTTAGTTGTGACTTAATATAAGTGTCTCGTGTATCTCACTAATTAATTTGGATTGTTGTGTAACCATGATTAAGCTAACCAAACTCTTTCGTCTTTCACGTCATTATCTTTATTGCATCTACAAGGAAATGCCTAACCTATGTAGTCTGCCTGCTAGAGGAAATTAATTTCAGTCATTATCCCCACGCCAAAAAAAGAACATGTAGCATGGACTCATTTCAATTGCTTTTCATCCAAGTCTCCTCGTTCGACATAAATTCCAACAACCGGGAATTTTCTAGCATGCTGTACTGCCCCTTCTCTTGTGCCGGCAGCAGTACAGTAGTGTTAGCTAAAAACGTGTACGGAGATTACGGAATCGTTAGGTTTTGTTTTGATTTTTTTTTTTAATTAACGTACTAAGGTTCGAGATGAAAGTTGGTCCGAGCAATCCTAAGTTCATGCTAGGTTCAGGTTTGGGGTTGGATCGGGATCGAGCGTGATGCACCCAAAGTTCAGGTCAAGACCAGCTTTCGGGTTCAGATCGTATCGAGTTTGGATAACTCAAGACTTAGATTGGAACAGAAGATAAATCATCTAGTATCGAGGTTTAAGTTGACATCAGTTCTTGGGTCTTTGAAATTTGGATCAGGATCAGAATCGAGGACGGAGTCGAAATCAAAATTGGATCTGATAGATCTGGGTTTCAAGTCTAGAGAGTTCAGGAATTAATCTCAATAATTCAATTATCTCATTGAAACTAAATACATTTTTTGAGAAAACAAAAAAAAAAACAACTAATCAACCAAATAAGTTTTCAAGTTTTAAAAAAGTACTAATACAAAATTTAAAAATTTGAAAAAAAAAAATGATACCAAACAATCCCTAAACAAATCAGTTGCGTTGTCTTAATTAACATCTAAGAAAGCACTAAATCGACCAAGGTAGGAAAATAAGCTAATTAAAGGTATACGTGCTTTTCATCAGGAAATTAAAGACCATGTCAAGGACCAAAATTGTTGCAACATGATCAAAAATATTACATGACCGAATTCATATGGACCAAAACTATTTGCACAATTGGGACGTACGGTGAAATCCAGTACGATTATAGACACAAAAGCTCCCTTGATGTAGTTGAAATGGCCACTATCCTAAAGGTAAGGAGGAGTACAGATCAAAGTTAGCAAAAAGCGCTAACGAGGTTTGTCCTAACCCACTGAATAGTTTCTTGCATCCAAAGTAAATATTCTACCCCAATTATTAACTGTAAAGAAGTATTTACTTATCTAGGAAGAACCTTCAGAAGACTTGACTTAATTATTAATTGTTGGTCAAACTACATCACAAAGTCACAACATCACGGTATCTATTTACTTTAATATCTTGTGGTGTCATATTGGATGCTGCTTTGTAGAACATTAATTAATAATGCCACATCTCGTGATACTCATTTCTGGATAATTGTTTGAGTAACGTGCAGGATCAATCTGATCAACTTCAAGTGTAGTATATTTTGTTTCTCCCACCATATTAATTAATTAGTCTATTAATCATTTTCTGCACTCCTCCCATCTTGTTTACTTTTTCTTTCGGTTCATCCAAATCTTTGCCTATTAATATAGGACCATATTTCAATGGTATAGTATAATTTTTATACATTAAGTGCATAAATGAGTGGCAATCTTTTATTAATTATCAGTAAAGGAAAGAGCGAAGTACTTTGTTTTTTTGGATCTTCTTTTATCATCCATTTTCTCCTCTATTAATTTAATTCGGGTTAATGGTTAGAAGGATTCTTTATTATTATTTTTTTTAATCACATCTCTTTACTCTTTTTAGTCTTAAGTTCATCTTTTTATATTTAATTTTTATTTTAATCTCATCTTTCCGTAACCTTTTAGACTAACAATATTACACCTCACTGTTAGCCCGAAAGAATTACAATATATGTCAATTTAATTATTTTTTCATTTTAATCTTGTCCCTCTATTCTTTTTTTTTTTTTAATATTAAATTTAGATAAATAAATTTTATAAAATAAACTGAAAAAGAAGATGAAAGTATATCTGCTCATTCTCACTAAAAACTAAAATAAAAGGTGAAGAAAAATATTTTTTTATTAAAAAAATTTCTTACAAACTTTTGTTAATTTGACTCAAAAATTAATTAGAATATAAATTTTTGTGTTGTTTTCACCGAAGCTTCTTGTTGAGATGGAAAAAAAAAAAAAAACCCCAAAAATTTACTACAAAATCTATATTTTCAGTTTTGAGTCAAATTAAAAAATTTGTAAAATTAAATAAACTACAACATACTCTTTTGAAGTATTATTAATTATAAATAGTTTTCAAAATTTTAAAATTTTAACCAAAATTCTTCATGTTAAAAAAATACTATAAATATTTTATTTATACTCAAAATTTTTTTATTATCAAAAAAATAATTTAAATTATAAAAGATATTTGGGATAAAAAAAAATTATATGTTTTCTTTTCAGTTTTTAGAGAGAATGAATATGTCTTCATATTTTTTTTTTCAAAATTCATTTATAAATTTAGTAATAAAAAAAAAATAGAGAGATGAGATTAAGAGGAAAAAAATAAATTGACACTTTTCATAATTTTGTGAGGCTAACGACGTGATTTAACACCGTTAGCTAGGTGCAAACTTAAAAAAATAAAAGTTAAAAAATATATTTGATAAAGACAAAAGAAAACTAGAAGAACGATTGCAACTATTAACCCAATTTAATTTCCTGATGAAAAAAAAAAAACGTGAAATGTGCAATGTGAAATGCTTATTTTTGCAGACAAAATATATTCGGCTCTCTCAAATGGATAGTAACACTGAAAGGGATCTAAACATTGAATGTACCCCTTAATTGCTCCTACGAAACTATCCTAGAACTTCCCAACCAAGCATTTGCCTCTCGTTTTTTCTTGTTGCTTGCGGAGATGGAAACTAACTTGTTTCGAGAGGGACAAGGCCTGCATCATGCATGGCTTATATCTTGTTTATTTATTAATCTTATTAATCAACACTTCCTGGACTTTCAGTGAGAGAAGAAATATACCCAACAAAATATAAGTCATAACTAGCGTCTGAGGATGCTTCTTCTCTTGTTCAATACTATTAAATTAACAACATAAAACCCAAGATAAATTCATTACACCCACGTTACAAAACAAGGAGGCAACAGTGCTCGCCAAAAGTGAGGATTGGCAACAAACATTATGTGCCAATAAATTTCCAGCTAAAAGTTAGATTAACTATGTCTTTTTTTCTTTTTACAGAGGAAAGGTTCCTTTTCAAAACCTCGTGGATGAGGGAAGGGTAGAATGTTAATTCAACTGTAGCTCATTGACTTGTTAATTGATGTACAACATCAACATAAAACCACTTTGTTTCAATAATCAAATTCAGTTATCAAGAGGGGTGAGATTGTGGCGATTTATAGTATAACAGCACAAATAAATAAACTCATCTGCAGTTGTCGCTGGTTTGATTAAATACATGATCAGCTTCAATATATATATATATACATATTCTTTGATTTAAATAATTGTGTTTTTTTATTCCATAATAAGAGAATTTTTCGATCAATTTGAAATTCAAATAAATAATTGTGTTAAATGATTAAGAGGAATTAATATCAATGCAACTATATAATCCAAATGAAACTTGGCAAAATACGAAGAGATTCAATCAATAATAGTTACAAGTTAAAATAATCAGAAAACTTGCTACCACTAATCAAAGACAAAGGAACTTTATTGCATTCGATACAAAATATTCCATTTATAGAACCACAATAGAGTGGCAAGAAAAAGAAGGAAAAAAAAAAAAAACTCGTATCATAATGTTGCATTAATTATACTTACCGTCACATTTTCCTTGTTAACCCTATTTTTTAACTTTTTAGTTTTCAAGACTATGGGCAGCAGAAGACTTAGCTGCTAGTTTTTGGAGCATCGCTGATCATCAAACTCTAAATCCCATCCCATAAATTTCTCAATGCTAAATGATCATTGACAATCATATGCTAGCTATATATTAACTCCTAATTTAAAGGGACAGATAGTGTGATTAAAATCTCTGGAAAATATTCTTGTTGCTCCCATTTTCGAAGGGGAGAGAAAATCATTTCATTAAAAATTCAAGACACTTGACAAGCAAGCATACACGAATAAGCACTAAAATGTCCTCACCTTACTCCTCCAAGATAGCAGTCAATTTTGAAGTCAATCTTGTAGTTGATTTCTTTTCTTTGCCACCACTCGTCCCTCTTCTCGTTACAACAAATCCTCCACCATCAAGTTGCCCGCCTATCGCCACCATCGGACTGGTCTCATCACCAGTGCTCTTGCTAGTCCACTCGATCACAGGATCCACCTTCTTTATCCCACACCAAAAGCAATCTCCATCCCTAGTACCCATCTTTAGAGCTAAACTTGCCTTCACTGCCAAGGCAGCCATCTGTTCAGTGCTAAGAGGATTGTTTAACCAGCTTGATGGCAACGCAAAGTAAAGATGACCTAACTGAAGAGTTTCATTTTCATTGATGGCTGAAACATATTCATCAAATTCCATATCGTCTGCTTTGCATACAAAACACCTAGTGTTTCTTTGTAGGATCTGCGAAACCCTAATTGAGTGCGAAAATTCTTCGAGTTTGCCATCTTCGAAGATCAGCTTAGCTGTGACCACTGAAGTGGATTCACATGAACTGCAAGTATTGCCCATGGGTTGTTTTCAAGTTTTGAGTTCAATTTATGGTTGTCGTAGGCGTGAGGGTCAAGATATAGGTACTGTGTTTTATTAGGAGACTATTGTGTTTATCTGAGGAATTATTTTTTTATTTTTTTGATGAAATGAAATGAGCCAAGTAGTATTTGCGGTGATATTTAATACTAGATAAATCGTAATTATATTGACTGGCTATGAATCCAAAAAAAAAAAAAAAAATGGCTGAGAAATTAATCGATTAGTTAATTTTTCAAGCAGATATCATTTTGTCTCTTAATTATTATCTTTTATGACTTTGAAGAGAAATTTTAAAATATTCAATGAATAACTATCAGATACTTTAATCAGATAAGAGAGACAATATTATAAAATTCTTTTTTATATTTATTATCCTTATCAACTTTAGTTGACAGTCTCAACTAATCATAATTTGAGAGAAGACAACCATAAAACTAACTTTTTAGTTAGAAACGGATCATACATATCAATGCAGATTTGACATCCTTCTCTTAGATCTTGTTGATATTTTTTTGAATGATGCTATTGAGATTTTTTCCTTTAAAGCCTAACCTTGTGCTTTAATCTCTTTTATACCAATCAATATATATATGGAATAAGTATAGATAATTACTTTTTAAATACTCTAAAATTTCTCACTCTTTATTTGGGTATTTTCTAATAATTAATGTATTGTTCCAATCACTAAGCAATGGGTTGAACTTTTTTAATGAAAGGAACATCATGTGTTTAATCTTGAACTGTATTATATTCTATTTTTTATATAACAGGTGAAAGGGAACTAATTTATCTTACCCTTCAGGTTCGACTCACTCTATTTCACCCTTTTATTCAAGGGATGCTCCTAAAATTAAGCAAATTAGTGATTCCTAGTTTAGATAAACCCATATAATTGAATAAAAAAATCTATCAAGTTAACCATTGTTATCAGCAAGCTATTATCTTATGGTTAAAAAAATTATTTATTTTTGTAGGATGCTTACCTCCAAGCAATAAAACGTAAATTACTGTTCAGTTAGCTCTATATGATTTAAGGCCTCTTTGTGAGGCGAGTTTTCTGTTTTTGGTAAAATATGTCGGGTGGATTAATTAATTAAAAAAAAAAAAAAAAGTTGGGTTAAGTGTTCCATCTCGTTGCCATTCAAGATAGTGGGCTTCAGTCATACTCTTAGATTGAGCCACCCTATGCCTTTAATCAGAAGTTGGAATACCAGTTCGCGACCCATATGGAGGCATCTCCCTTTTAAGCCTGGTTTTGTCTTGTTCTGGGCCTTCAGTGGACTAAAGGGAAAACCCTGTTACTGTTGAAGGGTCCAACATTGAAACCAGGCTGGAATTCGAAGACTAAAATTTGCTTAATTCTTCAATTTTAAGCTTGGTTTTCTCTATCTTGAAACAGGATCTAAATACCTGATCAGCAGACCTCTAATTATTATTTCTTGATTAACAACATGATGATTCACTAATTAAGCTTGATTGAGCCAAACGGCTCAATTTCTCAACAGTAAATAAATATATCAGCAGAACAAAGGACCTATTGAGAAAATAAAGATGAGACAGAATTTATTCACAGGTACATGGACACTTTATCGATATTACCGAACTTCTACATTTTATACAAACATAAAAGGAAAAACATCATAATCAAAGCATAACAAGCTCTATCAAGCCTTTGAAATCATAGAACCAATCACGCCTGCTATAATACTAGTTGGATCTCCGAGCACAGCCGATATAACAAACTGCAGGGCTAATCCAGCCATCTCCCAACCTTTCTTGGTCTTACTTTTGCTCTTGTTATGAGTAAGGAGTGTATTTTTCAAGCTAGGCATCCTTGTATCAAATTTCCTGACCTTCTTTTCGCCTAAATACCCTTGCCAACTCTCCATGAGCATGTCCTTAACGCATGCCACATGCAAATTGTATTTCTTGCATGAAGACCTATAACTCCAACTCCTGCCTTTACGTCCACATTTTTGACACGATGCACTCACCTTCCTATACAAATATAGCTTAATTTCTCCATCATCAAGAACAATGGGCAACTTTGCACAGCAAGGATGAAGATCAAATCCACAATCTTTGCAATGGTAAACGAAGCCCGTGACATCCCTTTCGCACGCGTTACAAAAGCGAGGCTTAACGCCGGGAGGTCTCGATAAGAATTGGAAGGAACATTTGGTATAGAAAGAGTGGAAGATTGTGGGAGAAGGGATGGCACAGTGCATATGAAGATCAAAATCACACATACTGCATTTGTAGCGCGATCCAATCCCTACCTCCTTGCAGCCATCACATTTGAATGGAAATTCTGAGTTCTCAAATTTCAGCTTGTGTTGAGGGTGGCTAAAGTGCGGTATCTCACTATATTTCATGGTTTTCGTTTTGCCGCCTCTAACTATGTACCTAAGAAGCATTATATATATAGAGCCAAAAATCATGCATGGGTTTCCTGTTAGAGAGATGACGAAAGATTAGATTCTACAGAAGATGAGGTAATTAAGGTTTTCTAATTTGAGTTGCGTGTTTTTTGGCTTATCATTGACGCAAGGATCGAATTATGCTTAGTGATATGATGATGGTGGAACATGAGTGTGCATGAGAATCACCATTTCAAGAAGGGCAAGGGCAGACATAAGGCATATATCTGAGAATTTAGGCATATTTTTCTATTGGATCCAACTTAAGAATATATACGAATTTTCACTTTCCACGTATATATGGTTCCAATCCACTAATACCGAGACTTAAGAAATATTAGAAGTCTAAAAATATAATCTCCAAAAACATATATTGTGTTCTAATCATAAAACTGTATTCTATTTTGTTGAACTAGTAGTAAACAAATTAGCCATATGGGATGATTTTTTTTTGTTAATATACAAAGTTTGAATTATAAAGTCGTATTAGTTGAAAAAAGTTAAATTTTATAAAAAATAACTAAAAAACCTAAAAAAAGAAAAAAGTTAAAACGGATAAAACTTTGTTGCAGCTTCTAAGCAACATTGTAAGGACTTTGAACTTTGAATTGGCTGCAAGTATATATCAGGTATATTATTAATGAAGGGATTAGGTGCAGTCTACATATCTAGGGAGGGATTATGCACATACTAAGTAACCTGGGAATTCCACGAGAATAAGAATTCAGCAACTTAAAAAGTTGATTAGACGAGATTTAACCAAAATAATTCAGCAAAGATTCTACAATAATTTAACTTTAATCAATAGTAGAGCATCCAAAGTTTAGCATTATTAATTATTCTTCATAGACCTTCTCCTTGTAAAGAGAGAATGGTTTGAATGATATACATGATCATGCATGCTAATCAAATACTGTTGGAAGATTAGAAGCATGTGGCCTTAACAATACTCTTGATATATCCATCATCCTAAGATTCTTAAGATCATGAATTCCATCAATATTTATCAGTCTATATATTGATAAGAAATGCTGACATGGGAGAACAAATTCCTATCCTTGGTGTTTATTGTCTAACATTTAAATTGTTCATATATTTGATAGCAACTTTTGCAACATGCATATTGATAATTTATTTTATCCATATATATATATATATATATATATATATATGGGAGAAACTATACTTTTCATTATTTAATGAAAAAAAGGAGTTTATTCTGGTTCTTTGATATTACGTACGCACTTAATGATTAATTCGAAGGCATGCAAATTAATTGAAATTACAAGACTCTGTGGCTAAGAAGGAATATAAATTATTGAGTTGGTTGTTCAATAAACTTGGTAAACCATCATCATCATCATCATGATCAAAGATAAAAGATCAGCCAACAGTGACTGTATATTAGATGATCGGTCACTACAAGAAGAAGATATTTCTGATGACAGATAATGTCAAGACTCTTTTAGTCTTCTGTAATTCTTTGGATTAGCTTAGCACGGAGAAACAAGTGGAATACGAGAATAAATGCAAATGATGTCTGGAAGGTAATTGTTCAGAGTCAGTTGCTTTGTGTGATTGTACTTGTAAGAATTTGAGAGGGAACATAATGAATATGGTTCTTTCATCATCCAAAAGCATTTTTCTTTCAGTTTCACTTACATTGATGGATATGGTATATACTTATTACCTGTGTTAATCCCTTTCCAATATTCATAATTGCTCCAAATTTGTCTGATCCAGTGATTCTAGTTCCATTTTTTTTATGGGTCTGAGTGACACTTGTCACCTATCTCTCTCTGGAAAAAAAAAAGTCCAAATTTGTAATTATGGCCAAGCCCACTAGGCCCAACTCAGACCTCAGACCTAATTAAAGTCCCCAAGGACCAGTCGTCCTCCTAAGAAATGGCCATTTAAAAAAAAAAAACATGTGCGCTCTTCCGTTCTAGAGGCCTCAAGAAGATTCGACTTTTCATCCACGATAATCAACGAAAATAAACCCATTTAATGAAAATACTCTTGCATGATCATGATAGTAGCAGCGCTGTCCAAGTTCAGATTGCATCATATCCAAGTCAACATAATTTATCACCTTATTCACTAATGCAAAGCAACAAAAACGATTCTACCCTTTCCATCATGCAACCTGCATAAATTCTGCTTGTAGAAAAACCATCACCATCGAGAATTTTAGGTTTCGGGCTTTTTACTACTCTTTATATCTGAAAATCCTTTTCTATCTACATACATATACATCAGCTTTTTAAAAGAGCCTACTCCGGCCAAGTTGCCACCTTCAAATTACTAACTAGACCATCGGAGCATCTCTCAATTAGTCCGAGGAATTTGCTTTGCAGGTCTCAGGTATGAGGAGCCACACCACGTTGTACAACAGAATCTGTTGTTCCCATTCAGCCATAAACAAGCCACATCAGCATCATTTTGCTGGACGAGTCTACCCAGACTCGTGACTTTTAGATTGTTTTGATTCCTACTCTTTTTTTCTTTTTCTTTTTTTTTTTGCATTTAAAAAGTCCTGCCTTTTTTTTTAGCACATTATATTTTTGTCATTATTATACACTTCTGCCAGTTTAGTCTTAATAACGGTATTAAATTCTAGACTAATTAGCTCTGTAGTAAGCTGAATTTGCTCAAAGGAAGAAAGATTCCCATCTTTATTTTTTCCAATTTAGGTCCTAAACTATTTTTTTGGTCGGCAATCAAGTCCAGCATTTCTGTTAACTAATCTTGAACTATATTTTTTGCACTTGAGAGTCATGTGATCCGATGAAAGAACACAAATATCTTGAGAGAGACAGTCTTATGCACATGAACTAAAGCAAAAGTGAAATATATATATATATATATATGACTAAAAAACTCCCAATTCCCAAATTAAAATGTGAAAATCTCTAAGTTATTCTTAAATAACTGAGACATCAACTACAGTCATACCAGGAATATGCACAAAATCTGAATCCATTCTTTCATTAGAGTTCTCTTTTGTACAATTCTTTCATCTCCTCTTCACCTCCTGTAACTCTATCATTTTCCCCATCAGCTTATCTTTCTTCCCCATCACTGTTGCAGCAATTTTCTTTCTATATTCCACTGACGATGCTAGCTTCCTTGGGTTTTTTCCTTCATGTGTCATTGATTGATTGATTTGTGTATGGTGGAAAATAGTTAAATTGACAAATTTGGTCTGGTAAGGATTTTTTTTTTTTTTAATGTTGATTTTGTAAGTATTGAATTATTAGATTATTTTAAAAAAATAAAATTAATAGAAAAGCACTTAATATGTCTATGATATTATGAGAATTACAAAATTTACTATTTGACATGTAGGAATTTAATTAGAAAAAAAATCGTTTAGATACTAAATTTTATTTATTGTAAAGTATAGTAACCAAAGAGTTTTCGTTAAGAACTTATTTACAAAGAAAAATATAATAAAGAAATCTAGTAATTTAAAAAAAAAAGAGACCAAAATGTACATGAGTAAAAAATTTATGTTCTCGTGTGTCATATTTTGACGGCATTGATAATATAAGCTGGAAAAAATATGATGTTGATATAAAAAAAAACACAATATATAGATAATATTAAGATAAAAAATAATAATTAGAATCTTAAAATACAAAAGAAAGAAAGAATACAGAAATATAAGAAAGCATTAACCAATTTCGTTGGAAAATTGGTTGATACTTTTAATCTAAAGTTAATTTTCTTTTGAGAAATAACCTTAAGTTACTTGAAACATTGTCAAATGAATTTATTAATTACTCAGTCTACTGCATTTCTTATAATTCGAGATTTTCGAAGGTCTTTAAGAAATGTAAATTAATTCATTATTGAATTCAATCAACATCTCAATAAGTAATTGAATGCTCCTTTCTTCCCCTCTTATGTAGCTTAGATAGTTAGATGATAATTAGAGGAAATCTTTTCAATTACTAAGGTAATTTTAGATATTTTTCAGGTATTTGATTTTTTTTATTTTATTCACATCTATGACAAACTCTTCACATTTTAACCAACATGTCTGTCAATCTTATCTTAAAATAGAATCAGAAGTTATTAAATAAGAAACAAATCAATTTATCCGCATCCTAAAAATATAATCAAACTATTTGAGATAGGAGTTGCAACATCTATCAGCATTTTTGCCACGTTTTCCTAAACTCATTCTCATTCCCACTTCAATTTGGTTGGGGACAAGATTTGCATTCAAAAAAATCATTAAAAAAATTATTATTACAATATACTTTTGTAAATCATATTTTGTAGCATTTATTTTATTTTTAACAAATTAAAATTTGTTGTACTTCTATCACTTTAAATAAGTAAATTTTAATCAATATTTTTAATTTTGTAAAATAAATTAATAGTGTCTCTTGTTTTAAAATTTATTTATTTATTTATTTATTTTAATTAATTATTTGAGCATTCTTTGTTTTTTGGACATGTAGCACTTTAAATGAGTGAATTATAAATTAGTTTCTTTAGTTTAAAAAATAAATTAAATAGTCGTTTTGTTTCAAAAATTAATTAATTCATTCGTTGATTAATATCGATTATGATTAATTTAATATTATTTTATTTTACAAAAATATATTCTTTTCTCATTGATATTTTCATATTCTTTGCTTATTGTTTTTTTATTTTTTTATTTCTTAAAGCTAAAAATCAAAAGAAATTGCAAATGAATGAAAATGATCAAGTTTCAAATAGATTTAAAAATAGAGATTAATTAATTGTTTCTGTAAACTATAAGGATTATTTAATTTTTTTAAAACTAGAGGGGGTATTTTATAATTTACTCAACTTCAAAAAAAAAATAATAATAAATAAAATTCAACAGTTGGCTTTCAATTTCAACACAGTCCAACCGGAGTCGAGCCTTCCCCTCCAATGCCCCCTCCACTCCTCAAACGCGTCCTCCCTCTGCCATCTTTTCCACCACCACCCCACTCTCTCTCCTTCTCTACCACCTCCACCACATCTCCACCACCGAACCACCACTGCCCACTAATCTCAACCATCACCTCCCTCCTCACTCACCACCGTTCCAAATCCCGCTGGTCGTGCCTCCGCTCTCTCCTCGCCGCCACTGCCACACCCCTCACCCCTACTCACTTTTCCCAAATCACCCTCCAATTAAAATCAAATCCCCACCTTGCCCTCCGCTTCTTTAACTTCACTCTCCACAACTCCTCTCTTTGCACTCATAATCTCCACTCCTATGCCACCATCATTCATATCCTCTCCCGGGCCCGTCTGAAGGCCCATGCCCAGGACATTATTCGGGCCGGGCTCCGGTCACCCGTTTTGTTTAACAATGATGAGGGTGCCTTTGCCGAGGAGACAGGACTAGACAGGATGGAACAGGATTGTACAGGACAGGGTCGTCGCAGGTACCAAAGGCAAAAAGAAATGAAATTTTTTGAAGTTTTAGTGAAAACTTATAGAGAGTGTGATTCAGCTCCATTCGTGTTTGATTTGTTGATAAAATCTTGTTTAGAATTGAAAAAAATTGATGGGTCTATTGAGATTGTGAGGATGTTAAGGTCTAAAGGGATTAGTCCATCAATTAGTACTTGTAATGCTTTGATTAGCGAGGTGTCGAGGTGTAAAGGCTCGTTTGTTGGTTATGGGTTTTTTAAGGAGGTTTTTGGATCTCAAAGTTGCGAACTTGAGGGGAAAATGAGAAGGGGTTTTAGGGTTAGGCCTAATGTGCATAGTTTTAATGAATCAATGTTGGGGTTTTATAGAGATGGTGAAGTGGAGATGGTTGAGGAGATTTGGAATGAAATGGGTAAATTTGGTTGTGTTGCAAATGGGTTTAGCTATGGTGTTTTAATGGCTGTTTATTGTGAGGGAGGGAGGTTGAGTGAAGCACAGAAGTTATGGGAGGAAATGAGAGTGAAAGGAATAATGCCTGATATTGTTGCTTATAATACTATCATTGGTGGGTTTTGTAAGGTTGGAGAGGTTGAGAAAGCTGAGGGTCTTCTTAGAGAAATGGGGTTGAGTGGAATCGAGAGTAGTTCTGTTACTTTTGAGCATCTTATTAAAGGGTATTGTAGAATTGGGAATGTTGATTCGGCTATTCTCGTGTATAAGGATATGTGTAGGAGAGATTTTAGGCTTGAAGCTTTGACAATGGAGGTGTTGATTGGAGAGCTTTGTGAACAGAAAAGAGTTTCTAAAGCTTTGAAGATTATGAGGATTGCAACGAGAGATGTTAGTTTTCATCCAAGCGGGAAGAGTTATGAGTTGTTAATTAAGGGATTGTGTGAGGATGGGAAAATGGAGGAAGCATTGAAGCTTCAATCAGAGATGGTGGGGAAAGGGTTTGAACCAAATTCAGCAATTTATGGTGCTTTCATGGAAGGGTATGTGAAGTTGGGAAATGAGGAAATGGCTGCTATGTTGAGGAAGGAAATGTCGGTAGCTCAAAAGCAGCAGCAAGAGGATTGAATGTTGATGATCGACAAGTTGCAGGCCTACCCTTTGGGTTTTTGTGTTCACCTTCAAGAGCTCGAGATATGTGGTATGTTTTTGTTAAAAATTACATTTTTGTAATCAGTTTTTACTGCAATTTGATTAGTCATATCATTTTTCCTCAAGCTCTTTCCATTTCTGGACAATACAGGTGCATAATCTGTAAGGATCTTTGAAAGCATTCTGCACTGTGGATGCATTGCCCGCCCCCCTGCATTTTGCAACCAGGTAAATGATATTTGCTAAAAGGGTAGCTGGCCGTGTGTGGTCGACAAGAACATGTTGATTCTTGACAGTTATATTTTATTTGTCTTTTACCATCATATGAATGCAAATGTTCCATGTTGATATAGGTTTGCAACATGTAACCAGACATGGTTAAATATGTGAAATGAATTCAGAAAACAGCCATGTTTAATGGATTCAATGGTTAAGGCACATAATGATTGATGAGGTTAACATACATTTTTCTTCCCCCATCGATTAATATATTTCTCTTCTTGTAGGTATTGAGTTTGTTTTCTCAGGATGGGAGTAACACATTTAAAATGGTCATCAAGATGAGCAGATTCCGGTGCGCTGCAATGAGGAAATCCATTAGTTCTCTTCCTTGTTAAGCAATGACTGGTTAAAAAAGAACAACGCAGAGTAACAAGATGTGAAGAGTTAGGCTTTGTCTGCCAACTTGGTGACTTTAATCTTCTTTCTGTTGATGTAATGTCCTCTGTCCGTTGGTCATGGATATGAACTACCAGAAACTGGCACTTGAGATTTGATAGAATGAGTTTTATCCTCTGCAGACCTGGAACATATTCAGATTGATGCCAACCTAGTTGCCCATAAGTTAGCTTCCTGAACAAATTACTGTACTTTCTAACGTTGAATGCCTTAAGCAGCAATAGAATCGACTAATTTTTCTGAAAAAAGAAATTGTTTATCTTCTATGGTTTTTGTGCGTGTTAAATGGGATGTTGAGGGATGTTTCCTCTCGTGAATGGTCTAGTTAAGAAGATGCTATTGATTATTTAAATACTGTAGTTTGAGTTTGACTAGTTGCAAAGTGCAAAACAATGATAAAAAAAATGGCATTAAAAAGAATATTCTGATCCAACTCAGTACAGAGGTGCAGGAATCTACTGTTGTTGAACTTATGCTTACTTCTTTACTGAACTTTACAGAACTGTTAGCTGATGTTATAGGACTCCAAGTGAACGTGTCAAATCACCTTGTTGGAAGTGGATGTTACATGAGCATCGAGCAAGATATATTTTACCCACAGGCAGGCCAAGGTAGCTTCAGTTATCCCTAGCAAGTACCTCTACAGAACTTGGAGTGAAGCAAGTGTTGAGTTTGTGGAAGGTTCGGAATTGATTACAGGGGCCCTTTGGTTTTAAATAAGGAAGCAGGAGTAATCTGGAGGAGACCCACATTGAAAGCTTTGGACAGAAAGGCCACAAACAGTTTGTACTACAGTTTTTCCGCAGGTCAAGTATAAAATATTCATGATTTTTTTTCAAGATGCCTTGAACCATTTTATGATGCTTTTGTACAATTGCTCAAATACATCAACAAATTTGGATTTCTAACAATCAACAATCTTACACTAATCAATAAATTTTGCTTTAGAACAATGAGTGAAAAATCACAAGGACGGGAGTAACCAAAGATTGAAAAGAGATGAAGCCATAGTTAGAAACCAAGACAAGAAAGCCATGGCAGCCGATATTTGATACCTGCTGCAAAACTTCGGAGGGCAATAAGATCCATCCGCTCGGAGCAGGAGATCCACAACACTAGCTGTTGAGCATGCGGCAGCTAATGTTAGAGTTGATAACACCTGCCATGTATTATGATGGAATTTTCACAAGTAGTTCCAATAAATGCATCGATTTGTTTTGGATAAATCACAAATGGAACATACCCAATCTCCAAGCACAATAATCAGAAGCATTCCCGGTTGTCGAATTGGGCATTTGACCAGAACAGAGTATCCATCGACTACTGCCAATGTGAAACTCCATGGAATAGCCAAACCCATGATTGTAACCAAGTAGCTGAAAAGCAAGCATGCTAAAGAAGATTAAAAACATCGAACCAGGATTTGATCAAAGCAGAAACAACCATGTAGGGTCTCTGAAGATTCAATATGCTGATTAATTGGCTTTGTTGTAAGTCAAATCAGCCGTTGTCCGATAAAAATAAAAATACAAAAATTAACTACTTTCTTTAGAAGGTGATGGCCAAAGTCATTGGAACTTCTGGACAAAAAGCTATGCTGAACTAGCACATGCTTTCCAATAAACAGAGGGGGAACATGCAACATGGAGCCAACAGACAGTAGGCTAAACTAGCTCTTATGGACAGAGTGGAATCACATGTATGTATCATGAGTCGCCACACAAATTGTACTACATTTCATTTAAGGTTCCTGTAAGATGAGAGAGACAGACATGAAGAGGAAGAAGGTGAAGTTTTGGAGAAAGTAAATGAGTAATAAAGCCTGAAACAATTTGGACAAGGAAAATGCAAGAGATCTAATAGGAGGAGTACACATATATTCTGACAGTGATTAACTAATTTAAAATAAAATATAACGCGGATGAAATATGATCAAAGATGCCAGCAGCATTGCAGTGCCAGGAAGGGGGTGGAACAAACAGAAGAATCATAAAAAAGAACATATCTAACAGAAGAAAATTTATTTTCCATGCTTGGAAAGCTAGGACCAGAAATGAAAATTTTGAGGGAAAAATAATTCAATTTCGATACAATAGCGAGAGATTATTAATTTGACTGAGGTAAATTATTAGATTCTAGACCTTATTGTATCAGAATCTTGATCTTGAGATAATTTTTGAGTAACCCAAATCACTAGGTCAGGAAATTTCAGTAGCAGTTAAGTTTCCACCCTAATGACCATTGAGAGCACCATTTGATACAAACTAAGCACCGGAAATATTTAAGTAACTTTGATTTTTTGAGTGGACAAAGTCTAGTTCCAGGATTATTTTGAAAATTCAACAGCACAAAAACAATAGATTTCCTGGTCTACTTCCTAGTTTCTAGAAAATTACAATGAAACAAATTGTTCCCTCATTTCTACAAACAAATCAACAACCAAAACTTAAGAGATCATGTAAGCTTTAAGGCAGGCTATTCCATTAATGGTTTACGGTTGTTGCTTTGGCTCATGATCCAAACTGACAATTGAGTTAATTTAAGATTTACAGCAATCTGTCACTCCTAATTTGCTTTTGATCGAGTCCAAGAGAAATTGAAAATGTAACATTTGTATTGCAATAGCAAAACATCAAACAACAAAATTGAAGACACAAGATCAACTTCCATGAATAAGATGAAAATCAAAGAACAAAGATTACCAGAAAGCAGTGTAGCTGTAGAATTCAACGCCCAAAGACATGAAAAGAAGAGAAGCAGAAGAAAATATGGTCTGGCCCAATCTCAAAGAGAAGCTGGCACTAGTGCCTACTGAACCAGGTACATCATCCATGGCCTTGTTGCATGGAATCTTCTTCCTCTATTATTATTTCTTCTTTGATTGCCTTATTTTTAAGGCTCATCTTATTACCCCTTCAATCCTTAACCATAGCCACCTCCACCCCAATAAACTTTTCATCTAAGCCAATCCAAAGGTCTAAAACTTATGTATGTGTGTGTGCGTGTTATGCCAAGGATTTGATCAACATTCTTGGCCTTTTCTTGCCTAAAGTGAGATATTGCCAAAGACAGAGAGAGAGAGAGAGAGAGGAGGAAGAATTTGTGTTAAAGGAAACGTCACAGAACTTTGGAGCTAAGCGGGTAATTAGTTGTTTTAGGTGGCGATTGGGAAGGGGGAAGGACTAGTGTAATGGAGATGCTGTTTATGGCGATTGAATAGTAGTAGTAGTTAATGGCTCAAGAAAACTTCGTCTTTTTTTCTTTGCTTTTTTCGTAAATTCAGATTCGTAGGCCATTCATATCTAAACGGATGTACTTATAAATAACTTATATATATATATATATATATATCTAATCACTTTCTTTAAAATTTGGACCCAAAACCATGATATATAATCTTATTTGCCCTCACATAAGCCAATACATCAAAAGTACATTGTTCTTTTTGTCTATGAGTTGCATGTCATGAACCCACCAAAAAATTCATTGGAAAAAATTGTTGTGGTTAGGAGTGACTGAGATTGGATTTGAAAATTGGTATGGTTTTGAGAGCAATTGGCAAAAAATAAACGGCACATTTAAGCCAATGAATAATCAAGGAAGAGAAACAAGTATCACATATTTCTCTTTAATGTTCATGATTTGGAAAAGGAGAGTTTACTTTCAAGACACTCAATGAATAATTAGTCTTTATTCTCAAATAATTGGAAGCTAGCTAGCTTCATTTTTACTCCAACTTATTCATGCCAAATTCAAGTCAAAGAATTTGCAACAATGTTACCATAGTATGTTATTTTTTTCCTTTTTCAATTTTCTTGCTGAGTCATTGATGCTACCAAAATCAAATAAAACTAATTTGACTAGGCATAATGGCAAATTAAATGCTTTAATATTTTTACTCTAATTGTTATTTAAAGCTGGCAAGAAAAAATGGGAGTGTCGTGGGCCGTGGGTGATGGGGCCAGGAAGCACTTTACAAAATTTGCAAAGCATTGAGAAATCATTAAATCTTAGTAGTCAAAATAATGCATAAATGACTAGATGAGAAAGAGGAACCAGTGCTTTAAAAGGAAGGTTGTGAACATGCCACTTGTTATGCCTTTATGGACTCCCTCGTTAGTGGGAAAGAAAGAACTAAAAAGAAATATTGCTGGTGAATCGTACTTTTAGCCCGAAAAAAAAAAAGAAAAGGAAAACAGTTAGATAGCATGAAAGCGTGCTTCGAGAGTTTGGTATTTCTATATTTCATTGAAGCATTGAAGAAAAAAGTAAACCAGCTCAAATCATGTTGGCTCAACAAAATGGTGGGTAACGTTGGCCCTAGTGATTTGGCATGGTTGAACTTGAACCTGTCGGCAGCAAGTTATTGGTTGTTTGCACGTTGTCGTTTTACGCTTTAGCTACACATTGGCCTGCATATATTCAGTCTTTCCCAGTCAAGAGTAAAACCAATTTAGTTGCCTTTTCAAGGTGGAAATCAACCATCTTCACAAAAATTGTTTCTGGGCCAGCGGTAGCTGCCTGCCTCGACGGATAGAATTGAAATAATTCTGTAAGATATCTTGTTGCATTAGAGAAATCAGTCATTTCTTTGCAGCTTCCAATTCCTAATACTTTCAAACTTTTTATTTCAAAGGCAATCAAAATGTAATGAAGGTGTTGCCGGTCCTTTTTTACTATGAATTTCAAGACAGAGCAACTTAACAGATACGTACATGAAGATTAAACCTGCAAGACCCCCTCTCTCCACCTTTTGTAGAAGAAAAATCATCTACATTGCAAGTTGGAACATGCTAATGTGTGGAATGCCCCGAGTGCGCCTCCAGGAAGAGAAAACACCAATCCAAAAAACAAAAAAATCCTCTGGAGAAATAAATTCTTTTAATGCTATCACAAAGAAACCAAAAGTACATTCCATGGAATAAATTCCTTAACCAGCCATTATATAATATCAAAGTATTGAATCTCCAAAATCATAAGAAGCTAGAAAAGATTACCTAATGCAAGGGCAAGCTAACCGCACATACTTTCAGCTGAAATAAAGAGAAAGAAAATAGATAGAAGCTCATACACTTATCTTCATCTCAACAGAGTTCGTCTCCTCCAGGACCACTGCAGCATCAGAAAAATGGATTAAAAAGATATAGCAGCTGTAACTAAGATTAACGAATTAAAAACAATTTGTGACACCGGAACCATAGAGATAAGACATCAAAGTTTATGGATTTTAGCTAGCAATTCGAAGCTCAGCTTAAGATGCACAAACTAACAACTATTGGAAACTATTTTTATTAAAAAAAACTCCAAAAATAATGAGACCAAAAAGCAAGTAAAATGTTGAGCATCAAGCAATGACAACAAATCAACAAGTAAAAATTTAAAACAAGCCAGTGAACTTGAGTAGCATCACCATTCAAAAGTCTGAACCACCAACGGCCAGAGGAATATAACCGACACTCTCATAGAAAAAAATGGGTTTCAAATAACAAAATGCTTCACAGAAAAAGACACTCTGACCTTTGGATGCACAATGATAGGCATCAACTTAAACTAACCACCATTGAGAAAAGATCATCATTGCTTAATAGACATTAAAAAGAGAACCCAAGCACCTAATGTTTGTGTGTGTGCAAGAGCATGCAACACTAAAGCTTAAAAAACAAAAGAAGAAAGGCAACAATTTAGCAAGAAGGTTCCCGGGAGAGTATAAAAACTAAAAACTCAAATAATAAGGAACTTGAGCAAACTTTGGGGGGAATGGGTTTGAACAGGCAAAATAGAACAGTAAAAGGTACAGAAGTACATGCCTAAAAACAACATAAATGAACAACTGTTGGGCATTTTACAACTTAAAGCATTTGTGCATAACAAACCTACAATCCTCAAGACACAACCTACCAGGTCTTCAATATTCAAGAACAAAAATCAAAATGTTTCTAAATGACTTCAGTGTATGACCAGCATGAACAACGTATGACCCAAGAGGTCCATGACAGTAACACCACATTGTTGTGTGCAATAATTTGACAATTGAAAAAAAAAAAAAAAGATTAATGCTAATCATACATAGTTGTCTTACAGAATTCACTTACCAAAAATTATCAACCAGTAGATTTACGAGAGTTACTAACAAAATCCACTTATTCACTTACCCATCCAATGATTGATATTTCTTCAGTAAGTGAATTACATAAGACAATCATGTACGATTAGCATTACTCTAAAAAATAGCGCAAGTCGGTAAACTTCATTTTTTCACCCGAAGATTTTTACCTGACATAAACCCAATGAATCCTCCTCATTGAGCTTAGCCATCATATTCAATTTCAAATGGAACCCATCTCCCAATACAAACATCCCATCGTTTAGCTTTAAACACCCTTTTTTTATGATCAACAATGTGTCTCACAAATCACTGTTCCTTCCAGCAAATAGCTAGAGGATAATACGATAGATACCCTCACTCCATCTTTCTCTGCTCCCTACTTTACCCACTCTTTGCCATAAACTTCTTCAAACAAACACAAGGAAGAAAGGGAAGAAGTTTCCCTTCATTTTCCTAAACTCAAATCGGCCCTTCAATTCGACATATACTTATTATTTTTAATTCAGAATTATTTCCAAAGTCCACAACGTCAAAGTCGCAGCACAGCATTACATGCTAGCTCAAAAATCAAAGCACCTGTATCACTTCCCTAAACAAGCAAACTCGCAATTTCGAGCTCCAAGCATTCAAGTCATAGATCTATTTCTTTGTTTAAAGAACAATAATTTCTCAAGATCATAAATAAATAAAAAAACCCATATGATAGTCATAATTTTAAGCAGTAAACTCTAGATTCACTCGTTCAGAAAAAAAAATTCCCCAGTGAATAACCTTATCGATCTTTTCAACTCAAGGGGGTTTTCTTTTGAATAACAATTTAAACTCCCAAATCTGTCCAAAAACTAAACAAAAACCGATCTCCCATAACTCCTTAAATTAACAAAAACCCATCTCCCAAAACAGTCGAATAAACCAAAAAAAACGAGAAGGTTAGAAAATTTAATTACCTTTAGAAACAAAAAATTTAGAACTCAAGCTTGAGCTCATCTTTTTCATCAGAGAGGTAGTGAAGAACATAAGGAGTGACGCGGAGCACAACAACCCAGGCACCAAACATGGCCACGTGTGACCTTAACTGCTTCAAAGCCTCAGCTTTGTCTGGTTTTCTCATAAACATTCCTGGAAACATTGTTGCTTTTGATTCCCTGATTCTTTTGGTTTAGATTTGGGTTTTTTTGTTTCGCTTTTCGAAAACCCTAGATGCAGTTTTACTTTTGTTGAGTGATTGGGGATTAGGGGTTTTAGAGCATTCTCGTGCACGTACGAGTTTGAAGATTGACTTAACACGTATGCGGTCAATCCAAGTCTGTTGTCCTACGATTTAGGTCCTCAATTTTTGAGAATATGTCAATAAACGTTATTAGAATAATTACACTATAAATATACCAACTTTTTATTTTTTCAATCGAGTATGTAGCTTTTGATTGTTTTTATTTGAATACATCAAAAATTTTTAAATTGCTAATTTAGTATTTTTGTTAATTTTTCTGTTAACTAATTACATGTCTATTATCTTCGAAATAATAAATTATAATTTTATCCTCTTTTTAAATTAAGTACATAAATTTTAATTTTTTTAATATATTAATTTTTTAAAGCTATCAATCAATTATTTTTTTAATCGATGATGTGTTTGTTATTCCTAGTATTTTTTTAGAAATTTGATGTATTTAAATAAAAAAATTATATATTTGATTGAGAAAAAAATTAAAAACTTATATATTTATAGTGTATTTATCTCAAAATTTCTTGTAACGTCAATATACAAAAGTTGATCAAATACATTTATCATCGTTGTTATTTTCTATTTAAAAATATATATATTAATACTTAACAATGCTGAAAATAACGTAAAAAAAAATAATGATAGAATAACTAAGAACTTCAGACATAATTAAACAAAAAAACCCCGATGAACTCAATCTAGGAAGCAGACAGTAGAAAACAATCCTTTCAAAAAAATAGAAAATACGAACAAAACAATATTTCGTACGCTTATTGTTTTAGAAAACCCAACATATTTGATTTTTTGTGAGATTTTATTAGGCTTTAGGCTCGATCCATTTAAAGTTCAAAAAATCAAAAGTTCAAGTACTTGCACATTCTCATCCAAATCCAAAAATCAGCGTCATAAAACTCAAGAAGTACCCTACAGTATCTTAAACAATTTATTATTATTATTATTATTTGATTTCATAGTAAAATTATTCTTGAATCAATTTATGTATTAATTAAAACTAAATTTTTTTTCAGAGAATTTAAATTATTTAATAAATTACATTAAATGCTAACTCTAAATACATTTCGTATTGTCCCATGTAAGGGTTATGTTTTGATTTAATAACATAATTTATCTCTAAACTATTAGAATTATAGTATAATAAGATTTATACTATCAATTTTAGTTATTTAGACCTAAATTATTAATTTATAGGTAAATTTTATCTTTCTTTGTTGTGGTTGACAATCAAAGTGTTGATAGATGGTTTAAAATATTTAAAACAGTATCATTTTAAATATTTCATTTTTTTAAGAATTAAACTTAATTAAATAATAATAATAATTCTTTTTTTCTTTTTACTAGATGGACTCATTGCATATTATTATGTAGTTTCAAAATTTTCACTTTTTTTTTTAAATTATACCATTAAATTATTATGTTTTAATTTTTGCAAGTTATCTTGCAATGCTACAATGAATGCAAAATTAACATTCATTGGCAGTGACTAGCCAGTCAAAATGCTTTCTCACGAGTTCTTGATTGCTTTGTAAAATACGAATACAAAATTTAATGATTTTTTTATGCGAAATATAAGTTTTATTCATATGCAATCTTTTTATTATTTGAATGGTTTTAATTGAAATCTTGTATTCCTTTTTTTATGTATTAACTGTGTCTCTTTGTTTTTTATTTTATTTTGTTTCTACCATTATATTATAACGTTATTGGTTGTGAATTGATATGACGCAACTTATCCACTTCGAAAATATGACACGTGTCATACATGAGATCTTAATAGATAAACTCAATTAAAATAATTCAAATAATACAACGATTAAATTATTATTATTATTATGTTATGTGTTTTTAAAACCTTGTCATGGATGTTGCAAAATATGTTTTATGGGAGAACCTATCACAATAAAATTATTTAAAAAATATATATTATAGTAATTTAAAAATAATAAAATACATACAAAACAAACGTAACATACAATTTTTTTTAAAAAAAGTATAAATACATTCATTAAAATAAAAATAAAAATAATAGCAATGCTTAATAATAGCTAATTATCTATATGTTAAAAAAAGTGATTCAGTCTCAATTTTTCTTGAGGGAGCAACTTTATTTTCCCTTTAAATTGGTAAATATTTAGAATTTCTTACTTTTTTATGAATGATTAAATCCATTAACTAGACTGCTTGTCAATATTGCACGTCACTGTGTTTTTGTTTTAATAATTGCATATTTTAGGTTTTATCGTTTTCTTTTCTTTTAATTATTTTATTATTTTTAACTTATGATAACAATATTTTTATTGGAAAAAAAAGCAGAAGCATTTTTTAGTTTTGTTGGGATGGGTTCTAATATATGATACATTTTATGCATTTATTACGATATTTAAAAATAAATAACTTAAAAATTTAAAATAATTTAGTATCTATATTTTTAAATTATTTTGATTAATAACTTCTTATTTTTTAAATTGTTTTGATTTAGTCTATTTAGTAGAGCCTTACACAGGACACTTGTTAACTTTCAAAGTGTAAACAGGTCAAGTCAGTGTCATGTCGACTTATAACTAACAATATTCCAACAAAAGAACGAAAGTAAAACAAAATAGGTAAAATGATTCAATCAACATTAAAAAAAAAAAAAAATCCAAAATAGAATTGTCACGTGCGGGCAAAACCCACGTGGATTTAGAGCTAAATTTGTGAAAACCCCGCAGCAATGCTCATTTCTGATTATACTGAAACTTTCTATTGTTTAAACCATCCTCAAACTTCTATCTATTCTTTTTGGGGAGGAGATTTGAAATATACTCCTCTTTTATATCACCTCCTCAACTATTTTTTTTCTAAATCAACCAATTTTTGCTCGTGCGTGAGAATTGGAATTAAACTTTAGATTTTTAGAAATTCTCTTTCAATTAGTTAGATTCATTAACAATGTGCCCACTCTGTAGTGATTGTAGAAACATTGACCGGTTATTTAGAACTATGATGAAAAGTCACATTGCTATAAACGAAGAATCCCAATGCTCCATTACTTCTGACTTTTGCCAGGTAATTCATTTAGCGAAAGGAAGGGTCCCAGGGCAAACTTAATGCTGCAACTACGTATATGTCTCCAATTAACTCAAAGCAAAGTTCTTTGAAAACAAAAATCAACGAAGCAAATGTTATATTGCATTTATAGCCACACCCAACGCGTCATCTAATTTAACAATAAAAAAAAGACCTTGGCATTGTCCTAAGAAATAAAGCTGATAGTGATTACCACAATAAAAAAAAAAGTCATCAATCTTGCAGGATTCAAGTCATGACGTGCCATATTGGAAAAATGCGAACCCCAATTCCAAAAGAAAAATGCCCTCTTTTTTTTTTTTAAGAAGGAAAAGAGAAAGGCAGCGTTGGACGTTCAACAAACGATAACAAGATTGCTTAAATCAGCATTTCACGAAACTAACCAGTCCACTAGCAATGCACCCAATAACGCCATGGACGCCCACACATTTTACAGGGCAAAGTCTAGTGAGTGGCAACCAGCATGTCATGTTCTCTTCAATCCCCTTTCTTACACGGGGGGCTTCGTGTTCTCTTCAATCCACACATTTTAAGAGAATTGGCCAAATAGCCAAACCATATAAGAGCTAGCCAAACCATATAGAGAATTGACCAATCTATACCCAAATCCAACCCCAACAAAACCCACCGAGGAAACCCCCATATAAACCCAAACGCCACATCAAAATCCCACCAATTCCTTCAACAAGTAAAAGCTCAATAACCCACCATTCCCCTCTCATTTATGATCTGCAGAACGAATGTGAGAGAGAGAGACATAGAAACAAGACCAACAAGGCCAAGAATTCCTTTTCTTTTCTTTTTTCTTTCTTTAATCAACGTGAGGCATAGAGAGAGAAAGCAAAAGTGTTATCTCTCGTCAATTTTTTCATTTAATGCCCTCCCTGCCTCCAATTAATGACCCGTCCACAAATTGCCAGACTACTCTTATGCTCTCATGCCCTCCTCATTAACTCCACCTCTCATGCAAAAACCCACTCTCCATTTAATACCTCGTTGACCCCATCCCCCCCACCCCAAAGCCATCCATCACCGCCTCATTCTCGACCGTCCATTCTCATGATCACTCAATCTTCGCTCTCCACGTGTCTCCTTCTCTACCTCCTGTTAAACCTCTCCGGTGACAGTAGTGCCTCGGGATCCCCACACCTTAGCCGGCTTGACGAAAACGCAGCCATGCTTGACCCCGCCGATGATCTCAAAAACATTGGACTCGCCATAGACTTACTCCTCCTCGACGATCCACCACCACCTCCTCCGCCTGCAGTGGAGAACCTTTCGGATAACGGGAAAAATCCTGATCCTCTCCGCCTAAAAAACGGGGACTTCATCCCTCTATAATATCTAAACGAAAAAACTCTAGCTTTTGATATTGATTCAAACGGTGACGGCCGTTTCCAAAAACTCCCTCTTCTATACCTCCACGGAGAAGCTGTAGCTGGCTCCGTCACTAACATCCTCTCGGACGGTAAGCTCCGTTCAAATCCGAAAGAATAAGATCTTTTCAAGAAGAAATGATCACGACCATTGAATCTATCCTCAGAATTAGTATTAAAATTGTTCATGCTATGTCTTCGTGGTGCTGGTTCTTCAGGACATGGTGTAATCTCTGATACTGTAGTTGTAGTTGTGGCTGTAACCGTAGAATAAGTGCGTAGTGGACTTTGAATTATCGGTTCGCGCGGAAGAAAATTACTGCGTAGGATTGTTTCATCAAGACTGGGACGAATTCTCGCGGCCATGAGGGGAATAAATGGAGATTCTGCTCTGAAAATTCCGGCACGACAAAGCGGGCAATTCGCGTGTGATCTTAGCCAAATATCAATACAGTCAACATGAAATGCATGCGAGCAAACAGGGAGCGTGCGGACATATTCATCGTCTTCGAATTCAAGCAGGCAAACAGCACAGTCTTTGATTTGCTTGGGAAAACTATTGTTATTTTTTGTGGTGTAGAGTGAGAGGGGGATGGTCTTGATGACAGACTCATCAAGCCCGTATGGAGAGTAAACATGGAAGCCTTCTGGGGAGTCAAAGAGGGGAGGTGGGGAGTCAAGGTCACCATTTGAGGAAGGGAAGTAACGGCGGCGGCGGCGGCGCCACCGTTTCCATCGGCGGAGCACTCGGAGTAGAGAACGGGAAATCAGGCGGGAGTATGTGATTATTAAGAAGGCGGCAGCGACTACCACCACCATGGCTATTAATGTTGGGCTGAAGTCAACTGGGAGTTTGGAGGTTGGTGGTGGTGGTGAGGATTGGTAAGAAGTGGTGGGGGTGACGGCAATTGTGGTGGCTGCAGTGGTTGCGGCGATTGTGGGGGTGGGAGATGGGGCCCACCTGTGGTGGTGGTGGTGTTGATGTGGTGAGGGAGAAGGGGCTGTGATTTTGATCATCTTGGTGGTGGTGGAGAGGGAGCAAGGAGGTGTTAATGGTGGTGGTGATGGTGGTGTTTTGAGTTCTAGTGTGTTAGTGTAGTTTTTGTTTGTGGGGTTTGGGAGGTTTAATGTAATGGTTGACTATGACCTGTCGTCGGGAGGGCTGCAATTGGATGACACGTCAACATTCATGAATTTAAGGCGGGTCCATTTTTCATCCAGTGAGGACAGTACCACTTGTAAACAATTAACGACGTTTTAAAGGTTGCCACATCATGGACTGAAGTTTTGGATTCTTGACGTGGCGTTTGTTTACTGCATCTTTTGGCGTTTGGGCTGTGGGTGCGAGTGTTTTGGGTTAAATAACAAATCTATTGTGGGTTTTGCGTTAATGATGTTTGATGCAGGGACCCACAATTAGAAAGAGATTTTCTATTTTGATTTTGACAAACACTTCCGGAGACTCAAGGACTTTGTTGTTTGGAGTTTGGATTGTGGTTTCTCTACTAAAAAATTTCAAATTGTTTAACTTTTTTGATCCTCAAGCCTCTATCAATTTATCAATTTATAAAACAAATGCCCAAAATCTGAAATCGCAGCATACAGAGTCAGAAAATTAGAAAATTAATAAAAGAGTAAACTACTAATCTAGAAATTCATGTTAAAATTGAAATACCAAGGATACATGACAATGAATTTCTTAAAAATGAAAATTTTAGAAATAGAAATTTTAATGGGTTTTACCTATTATCCATTCCTCTACCATTTGAACTTTTTTTTTTTTTGTGAACATATTTTTTTCATATTAATCGAATTATTGCAAGTTATAAAAAATCTAATAGGAAGGATGTTGGATGATTATGAGTTTTGCATATGTATTACATTTTCTTTACATCACGATCAAATAAGATTTTTCTATAAGGATTTTTCTATTTTGATTTTAATACACACTTCCGAAAACTTCAAAGCTTTGATGTTTGGAGTTTGGATTGTGGTTTTTCTATTAAAAAATTTCAAATTGTTTAATTTTTTTTTTTTGATCCTCGAGCCTCTATCAATTTATAAAACAAATGTCTAATACTTGAAATTGCAGTATACGGAGTCGGAAAATTAGAAAATTAATAAAACAGAAACTACTAATCTAGAAATTCATGGTAAAATTGAAATGCTAAGGATACATGGCAATGAATTTCTTAGAAATGGAAATTTCAGAAATAGAAATTTTAATAGGTTTTACCTATTATCCATTCCTCTACCTTTTGAATTTTTTTTTTTTTTTGTGAAAATATTTTTTTCATATTAATCGAATTATTGCAAGTTATAAGAAATCTAATAGGAAGGATGTTGGATGATCATGAGTTTTGCATATGTATTACATTTTCTTTACATCGCAATCAAATAAGATTTTTCTATAAGGATTTTTCTATTTTGATTTTAATACGGACTTCCAAAGACTTCAAAGCTTTTTTGTTTGGAGTTTGGATTGTGGTTTTTCTATTGAAAAATTCCAAATTGTTTTTTTTTTTTTTTGATCCTCAAGCCTTTATCAATTTATAAAACAAATGTCTAATATTTGAAATTGCGAGTATACGAGTTAGAAAATTAGAAAATTAATAAAACAGAAACTACTAATCTAGAAATTCATGGTAAAATTGAAATGTTGAGGATACATGGCAATGAATTTCTTAAAAATGGAAATTTTAGAAATAGAAATTTTAATAGGTTTTACCTATTATCCATTCCTTTACCTTTTGAATTTTTTTTTTTTTTGTGAAAATATTTTTTTCATATTAATCGAATTATTGCAAGTTATAAGAAATCTAATAGGAAGGATGTTGGATGATTATGAGTTTTGCATATGTATTACATTTTCTTTACATCACAATCAAATAAGATTTTTCTATAAGGATTTTTCTATTTTGATTTTAATACGGACTTCAGAAGACTTCAAAGCTTTGTTGTTTAGAGTTTGAACTTGTGATTTTTCTATTAAAAAATTCCAAATTGTTTTTTTTTTTTATCCTCAAGCCTCTATCAATTTATAAAACAAATGTCTAATATTTGAAATTATAGTATACGAGTCGAGAAAATTAGAAAATTAATAAAACAAGAAACTACTAATCTAGAAATTTATGGTAAAATTGAAATGTCGAGGATACATGGCAATGAATTTCTTAAAAATGAAAATTTTAGAAATAGAAATTTTAATAGGTTTTACCTATTATCCATTCCTCTACCTTTTGAATTTTTTTTTTTTGTGAAAATATTTTTTTAATATTAATCGAATTATTGCAAGTTATAAGAAATCTAATAGGAAGGATGTTGGATGATTATGAGTTTTGCATATGTATTACATTTTCTTTACGTCGGAATCAAATAAGATTTTTCTATAAGAATTTTTCTATTTTGATTTGAATACAAACTTTCGAAGACTTCAAAGCTTTGATGTTTGGAGTTTGGATTGTGGTTTTTCTATTAAAAAATTCCAAATTGTTTAATTTTTTTTTTGTTTGATCCTCAAGCCTCTATCAATTTATAAAACAAATGTCTAATATTTGAAATTGTAATATACAGAGTCGGAAAATTAGAAAATTAATAAAACAGAAACTATTAATCTAGAAATTCATGATAAAATTGAAATATCGAAGATACATTGCAATGAGTTTCTTAGAAATGGAAATTTTAGAAATAGAAATTTTAATGGGTTTTACCTATTATCCATTCCTCTATCTTTTGAACTTTTTTTTAGTGGAAATATCTTTTTCATATTAATTGAATTCTTGCGGGTTAAAAGAAATCTAATAGGAGGGATGTTGGATAATTATGAGCTTTGCATATGTGTTACATTTTCTTTACGTCACAATCAAATAAGATGTTGGATGCTGATGCATGAATAATTTATTTATTGTACTAGATGGCTTTCTTTTTGTTTTTTTCCTGGCATATACAAAATATAGTTGGTCATATTTTCCTTGTGTAATGTTCGTGATACGTTGTTAGTAGTATAGAATATGTTATTTCAATGGTCAGCATTTAAGATGGTTGCATCATTACAACCCCATAAAAAAGAAGTTTTTTATTGGAACAAAAATTCGTGTGATAGACCAGAGTCTCAATCAATTAACCCAATGGGTTGCTCAACACAAAGGTAACCCCTCGTTGTCATAAGCTGTGAGCAGGCCCACATAAGCAACCTATACCCTTTTGCCCCATAAAAAAGAGGGTCCAAAAATAGGCTTTTCCCACTTCTCAATGCACGTAGCAGAGCTCGAACAGAAGCCCAAATTTTGAAGCTTCCACGATCCTGATGAATAAGGGCAACTCTTACGTTATGCTTTCCTACGTGTTCAGATAACGAAGAAAGAAGAACCCCATCTTATGAAAAAATAGGGGAAAAAAATAGAAAGAAGGGCTCCCCTTTTTTCTTTTTTCTTCATTTTCTTTTCCTTTTTTTCCTCAAGGACAAGAACACTCAAATTGCAAAGTACAACCTGGTGACAAAAGAGGCAAATTGCAACTTACACCCCAATCCAAATGGCCCTGTATTTGGGCCCCAATACTTTCCCGTAGCAGTTAAGCTTATCAGCACTATTTGCTTCTAGGCCCTGAAAAGGCTCATATCGAGCCCTTTCAAGTTCTGAATTCTGAGTTCTGAGTTCTGAGTCCTGACACAACAAACGATCCACCAAAAAGAAACAGATGACTGCATATCCCCTGATTAACGTTCTGATGCTGCACTAACAATCTAGTACAATTTATCATTTGTTGTCTCTTGCTTTCATATCACACTGCCAAGTTACCAGAGAAAGTGACAGAAGTAAATGATAAATTGAATGAGCCTCGATTTTCCAAGCTCAAGAACCTCAGTGATAAATGTCACACAACATTACAAATAAATAACAAAGGCTACACCCCACCATTTGCACTTGTTTTTTAATAAAATCATCCAATAAACTCTCATGTTTCTAATTCAATCAATTGAAAATGATTATTTTTAATTTTAATTGACGGAATATATTTTTAATTTTAGTTAGTTGAATATGATTTTTTTTAAATAATTTTTATACGTTAAATTGAATAAAAATAATAATATGATCGTATGAAGTGAGAGTGTGAGATCCACATATGATATTTTTATATATGTATATTATATTTTTATTTGATTTAATGTATAAGAATTATCAATTTTATAAAATTGTATTCAAATAATTGAAATTAAAAATATACGTGTTTAATTTATCAAATTAAAAATATAAAGATTTATTTAATCAATTTTGAAAATACTGGATTTAGCTCATAATAAAAGTAGGGAAATATATATGGATTGTATTGTTGAACTATTTTGAGGTGTTGGTGCATGTGACGTTATCTAGATGGATTTGCTTTTCATATTATTATTTTTTTATTTCCAATTCTATAAAAGATTGGAAGAGAGTTTTCAGATAAAAAAAGTTTATAGACATGAATGAGAATAGTTTATTTAAAAACAAAAGGATAATTTAATTTTAAAGAGTTTGGTGAACAACATGCTACTCTCAACTTTTCTTTGCAAAATCAATATTTATATTTATATCTTATCTATTATTATTTTATTGAAAAGGTTATCAATTTGCAAATTCTTTCTAAATCAGTTAAAAGAATGAAATTTGTTAATATTATGACAATGCTAGGTGGCATAAATATTACTATGGGAGAAGATGGTAGCATGGATATTATTATTGGGTTTCGAATATAGACTACCAAGTACTATTTATTATTTAACATAAAATAAAAGCGAAATGTATGTTTGAGATCTTATGTAATTTATTTTTATTTTATTTTTTTATTTTATATGTACATGTGTATGTAATGTTAGTATTGGAGTATATAGGGTATTGGATGGAAAAAATAAAAATATTTTACATTCATATAATGCCAGTATATGTATTTGGATCAAGTTTGGAGTTAGGTTTGATGACATCATACTTTATCCCAAAGAATATAACAAATTTGAATATATACATATATATAGCCTTCCTTACATGCTTTCTTTTTTTTTTCAACAATAAAAATATCACGAGATCATATTACATATCAATTAAGATTAAATTTTTTTCGAACTATTTTAAAGACACACCTGCATTATTAACTTGGTTCAGTCAGAAGATTTTATTAAATTCTTCTGAACATTAACCTCAAGATTTGAACCTAAAAGGATCAAGAATTGGAGCTAGCAAACTTTCTCAACTATCAAAATGAAAAATTATTACAGAAAACTGATCAGCCACTCAAGATGATGAACTAAATTAATAAAAAAATTTACAATCATTAAATTTGTCCATATAATTTTATGATGGATGTATTATTAGTTATTTCATTTCATAATTAACATTATGCTATTGAATGTGAAACGATTCACATTTTAATGGTGTTTTACTGAATATATGATTTATAAAAATTTAATTATACTTCTTTATCTTATACGACAGACCAAAGACCAAGTCTATATAGTAATTTTTTCATCAGACCAACTTTTTGTAATTCACATGCCTCTAATTTGAACCACACAAAATTGATTTTTGTGAGGCTCAAACCGCAGTCAAAGTTATCTCTCCAATCTGCAGTAAAACGTTTTTAATGGTCTAAAGAACAGTTGAACAATGGGGACAGGGAATTATGAAAATCTCTGTACTCCATGTATATTTAATGGCCTCCTGTTTCGGTCATTTGCATTAATGACGAGTGTCCATATCCAACCCACCAAAGTACGTACTTCTGATGTTTTTTTCTCCGACGGAGGCCACCGATTATTCTAAGTAGATGAAGTGAGCAACAACAATCTTTTCTATTAAATACAGCCATCACCTTCTACTTTCTCATCTAACTGCAACAGTCCCTTCATTTTATATTTGAAGTTAACTCGGATGGTAAGTGTTCTTATTTTTTCCACATTACCCTTTCTAAAATAATGAGAATTTATTTTTTGTAAATATATCAATATTGATGAGAATGGTTCTATCTTTTTATTCGACAAAAAAAATATTTTAAAACCAATTTTTATGTGTTTATATTTAACATATTTAACTTAGTTTTATAAAATGTTGTGCATATGACAAGTATAGAATGGTCCCATTCAGCATGTTATATAGCCGAAATAATAAGCAATGAAGTGTTGCCGAAATGGTAGGTGGATACTTTTAATGCAGTTTTCCTTCACCTGTTTTCATTTTTTTTTTCAAGTTTATTTTATAACAGATTAAATGAAATCCTTTAAGAATTGTTTCCTCAACTTAAAAAGTTGAAAATAATCTCTTATAATGTTAACCTATTTGAAACTTATTAAATTATAAATTAGTCTCTCTAGTTTGAAAAAATAAAAATTTTTTTTTCTTTCCAAATACTGATTATTTAATTTTTATATTTTTATAATTTTTATAATTTAATCATTTTCGTTCATCCTCAATTTATATAATTTTCTCCTTTCATTCTCTTTTTGTTATTGCCAGAACGCCCATCCGGAGTTGGTAAAGGAATTCCTAATTATTACTCGGATGTGCTTATCACACTTTATGAACGAAAAATTCTGACAGCAATCATCTACAAATGAGTATCAACATCAAGAGTTGACGAGCAGATTTAGCACTCTAGTTGGGTATGTTGGTATAGCTTAATTAGTAGGGAAAAAAGACTTTTTTTTTTTTTTTTTTTTTAAATTTACGTAAAAGCCCGCTCTTAGTTGAGTGTGCTAGTCACATTATTTTTGTTGTAAAAAATAAAAAACATTTATATATAAGCAAAAAATATGAAAAAAAGACGAGAAAAAATAATGTTATTTTAAAAATAAAATAATAATTATTTTGTCCAAAAGAAATTGAATTTTTTAATTTTTCATACAGTTTTAAAAAATTATAACTGTTATTACATATTATTATTTTTGTGTTTATACTTTTTTAAAATATTATTTTTGTTAAAGTTATTAGTTATCAAATTAACCATACATTACATGAAACTAATAATAATTTAAGAAGAAAATCTATCTAAAATTAAGTTAAGTCCAAAACAATTATGGAAAAAAATAACATACTAATAGAAATATTGTACTCTCAAAATTTCGGTATACATTAAAGTCTTTATAAAAATGATTTTTTTTCCATGTAATAAAAAAATTTCTCTAAAATTTTATATTAAAATTATTTGTACGTATAAAGAAAAAATATAAAGAATATTGATTTTTTGTTAGTGAATAATAGAGAATGGAAGAAAGAATTGATTTTTTTTTTTTTTTTATCAATTTGAGGTATTTTAAAAACGTATATTATTTAAAAATTTTGAACAATTAAGTATTTTAACATAGATATAAATAAATATAGGGAATAATCTCTTTGAAACATAAAGAGCATCAAATTAAACATGATCAATACTAATTAAGGGAATAAATAATTAGTTTTTGAAACAACATGACTAGTTAATTCTTTTTTTTTTTAATAAAATGACTAATATATAATTAACTCTTTGAAATTGGATCATTTTGTCAGATTTTGAAGGATTTCTTCAATTATTTTAACAAATTTTTGCACGTAAAAATCACGCCACTTGTGCACAATTGACCTAAACCTTTGATTTATTGACTTGCTTTTGAACCCTCAGATGGATTTGATGTTTGAATATGAATAATAATAAAATATATATTTAATTAAATGATAAAAAAGAATTTGACTGTTGAAGAAAAAAATAAAAAATATTTAAAAAATCATAAAAAAATCCATAAATAAAAAAATAATATTTTTTTCATCAATGTGGAAAATAAATTAGGTCTTTCTATTAGATTTTTTTATTAAAAAAATCCGTTATTTTTTTGTTAAATTATTTCTAAATAAAAATATTCAGAAAAAAATTATTTTCTATATGCTAAAATTTTGTTGTTTTTATTAGATTTATGGATTTTTTTTTAATTATCAGATTTATGGATTGTTTTCTCACTGTTTTTGTAAATATATTTTTTATTGGTTTTTCCTTTTCAAAAGTAAAATTCAACTAAGAGTTAAAAAATAAATCGATAAGTCAAGGATTTAAATCAATTTCTGAACAAGTCACCTGACTTTTTTGTGCAAAAATTCGTTAACTAATAGACGAAATCTTACAAAATTTGACAAAAGGACTCTATTTCAAATAAACTAAAATTGCTAGAGGTTAATTCTAATTTTTTTTTTTAATCTAGAAATTCATTCTTAAATTACTTAAAATTCAAAGGTAGCTTGATACATTTAACCTTTAGAATATGTCCTGTTCAAATTCAATTGTATGAATACATCATATCTTTACACATTGCAAAAGGTGATTGTCCAATCGGTTTTAGCTAAGTTTAAATGCAAAGGCTGACATCAAAATAAGACCAGTCTTGAACTCAATTTATTCATTTTGATGACTAGCACCTTTGAACTTTCGCTAGCTACTAGCCTACCAGTAGTCAATGAGACCGACAAAAGTCTTTGTGGGCTGGCCAAAGATTAACTTCCAAATCTAAATGGCCAAAGAGAACTCAGGTTAATTTCTGAGAGGGCAACCAAACCATCTCTACCATAATAAATAAGGTTGCAAGTAACTTACAAAGAAAAGTTCAAAATAAAAATAGCTATAAAAAATGGTATGACGTTTTGCCCCAATAAGTAATGCAAGAATTTATTGAAGCAGCTCAACCAACCCACCACCCTTTCTCACCGCTCTCTCGCTCACTCTCACTTCCTCTCTCTCTACCTCTTTCTCTCTTACACATTATTTGTTAAATTCAACCTTATCAGAAGCATCCATATTACTCCCATCTCTTTGCTGTCCACCTTTTTTGTCAGAACCAGTTGGCTTAGCAGTTCTTTCATTTTGGTCACACAATGTCAATGGAATTCATAGTAAAGGTTGAAGAATCAAGAGCTGCAAGTGATGGAAAACCATCAGCAGGTCCTGTTTATAGGTCCATTTACGCCAAAGATGGCCTCATGAATTTGCCTGCTGGACTAGAGTCTCCTTGGCAGTTCTTTAGGTATAAATCATTACCCTTTTGTTTCTCATTTATGTTAAAGAGATGTTCAATTATGGTGTTGTTTTGTTAAGCATACAGATTGACGTTGTCAGATTTTTTCTTCTTTGGTTCTTGCAATTGAAAACGGATATGCATTGGAAAACTGAAGAAACAGAGGCGTTTTTCATACATTTTGGTTTCGTTTGTTTATACTCAGACCCAGATCGAATGTTTTTTAACTTTTCTAAGGCACACATAAAAAACTTGAAATGATAATTTTTTATGTAACGGAACCGATTTTTTATTCACATTTGCCCCTTTGCGTGTTGAGAATTGTGCTCTTATAATCTCAATTCCATAGTAAAAACCATGACCGGAGGATACAATGAATTAAAAGTAATTGAAAAAATATATAAAACACTTTGGCCCATGCAGGTTTCGAACCTGCGACCTTCGCGTTATTAGCACGACGCTCTAACCAACTGAGCTAATAGGCCTTTTGATCATCCCGTTAAATTATTTTTACATATTCCTTAATCTGTCCTTCGAAGAACACGCAAACATTTTGAATTTGAGTTCAAGGGTCTAAGCCTCTGATCAATGTCTACAATTGATTTTTTTTTTAATTATTATTTGTATGCAGTGATTCTGCTCTCAAGAACCCTGATAACAAAATGCTAGGTCGACGGCAAGTCAATGATTCCAAGGTACTGTTTCATAGATCTTTAATTTCTATGTAACTTGGTCAGACATAAATGAATTTCTCATAGAAGATACTGAAAAGGCGTTAACACAAACTAGCAGGTGGGTCCTTATGTGTGGCTGACATACAAAGAGGTTTATGATTCTGCCATGAGGATAGGTTCCGCAATGAGGAGATGTGGTGTCAATCCTGTAAGTCCAAAACTTGATTATTTGCTTTCTAATTTAGTGATAGTAACTGTTTTTTCTTTTGCTAATAATGACTGATGCAAGTAATCAACTTGGAAATGTTGGATTGTCATTTCCAGGGAGATCGTTGCGGCATATATGGTTCCAACTGCGCAGAATGGATCACTGCTATGGAGGTAAATTCTAAATATGTTGTACCAGACTCCATTGATAATTTTCCACCATTTTCTCTGAGATTCAACTTGCCAGACAATTAATAGTACTGGTCTTTTTTTAAGCTTCTCAGAAGAAAATTTGTTCAATACTTTGCACTAAGGTTAAATTTCATGTATTTGCGTATGGTTTTTCTCAGGCTTGCAACAGCCAGGCCATAACATATGTACCCCTCTATGACACTCTTGGTATTGCTTCCTTTTTATTCTTCAATAAGTGTCAGTTCACTTCTAGAATGACCTGTTAAATTCTCACTGTGTAACTTGGTTTGACAATCTCAGGGCCTAATGCTGTGGAGTTCATCGTCAATCATGCTGAAGTTTCAATAGCCTTTGTCCAAGAGAACAAGCTCTCTTCTGTAAGTTACCATTCTATCTAAATTGGGAATCTTGATCTTCTTCAGAATTTTAATAAATAATACATAATGTGTTGTTTGTTTAATACAATTGCTGCTCTTTTTTCCAGATTCTATCTTGTCTTCCAAAGTGCTCTTCAAATTTAAAAAGTTAGGTCCAAAGACTATTAATAGCTCCTCTTGTTGAAAAGTTTTGAGAGGGTTTTCTAGAGTGACAATTAACTGTGATTTTCTTTGTTCAGCTATTGTCAGCTTTGGAAATGTTTCTGACAAGCAAAAGAAGGAAGCTGAAGAACATGGGGTATCTTGCTTTTCATGGGAAGAATTTCCTCAGTTGGTATGATGTTGACACGCACTTCTAATTGATCTTTTTTCTCTTTACAATTAATTAATCCTTGATGTTTTAGTAGTCATTCAAGCTGGATTTATAAGAGCTTTCCCTTAATACCCAACTTTTCACAGGGGAGTTTGGATTGTGAATTACCTCCAAAAAAGAAGACTGATGTCTGCACAATAATGTACACCAGTGGAACAACAGGAGAACCAAAAGGTGTTATCCTGACCAGTGGGGCTCTCATGTCAGAAGTATTGTCTGTGGACCAGCTACTATTTCTTACAGACAGAGTGGTAAACAACTAAGCACAAATTATGTTTTCAATCATTTCTGATTTACCCCTCAAGTTGAAAATTGATTTTTTCCACAATTCAGTCTTAGGAAACAAAGCAGTTGCCTCTGCAGGCTAAATGCCTTGATTTTGTGTGTCTATATTTGACAATGATCTAAGATTGAGTTTTCTGTGTTATAGGCTGCAGAAGAAGATTCATACTTCTCTTTCCTACCTTTGGCCCATGTATATGATCAAGTAATTGAGACCTATTGCATCTACAAAGGTGCCTCAATAGGATTTTGGCGAGGGGTAAATTGAAGAATCAAAATTTGCAATGATTCCTTACCTTCTGTTTTCATTTATTTTTCCATTTCTCTTTAAACCTATCACCTTTGAATTGTATGTACTGAGGTTTGTCTTGCATTCCGCTTATAGGATGTAAGATACTTGATGGACGACGTTCAAGAATTGAAGCCAAGTATATTTTGTGGGGTTCCTAGAGTTTATGACCGCATATATACTGGTATACTAATTGTAACTGGATATGTCTATATTGGATTAGATATGTACAACATTGTAGGTCTTCGCTTTTCCATATATTTGACCCTAAAATTTCTTTTTGAAGGCACACTTGCTAAAGTTTCTGCTGGAGGTGTGTTAAAGAAGAAGTTATTTGATTTTGCCTATAACTAGTAAGTTGATAATGTTTATTACTTTGATATTATCTTCTGTGTAATTAGTGTAGGACTAATTAAGAAGCTTTTTGACAGCAAGTTGGGAAATCTAGAGAAGGGATTTCCGCAAGAAAAAGCGGCACCCCTCCTGGATAGGCTTGTCTTCGAGAAGGTAGACCATTTTAACCCTTTACTGCAGTCTGAATCTTGGATTCTGCAATCTAAAATGTGTTGATTATGGCAGACAAAGCAAGCACTTGGGGGCAGAGTACGTATCTTGTTATCTGGGGCTGCACCTTTGCCTAAGCATGTAGAGGAGTTTTTGAGGGTCACATCCTGCTCTACTTTATCGCAAGGATATGGTACAGTATAATAATGTTTCTGCTCAAGATTGTTGTGGTTGTGGAAGATTTTCATCGATCCATATCCATGCAATCTTAACAATTTTGGAATTAAATTTAGCATGAGTTTCAAACTGAAAATCAAGGTTTTGCTGACATAAAATGTTCTCTTCATCTTATATCTCTTCCTTTGACTTCTTGTGATGAATCAAGATCTGATAATAGCCTCCAGTAAATGCCTATATTCTGCAATGCTGCATCCAAAGCATTAAAGTAAATTACAATTCTCCCTGGACTACTCTTCATCTAATCACTTTTAAATGGTTCTGTGTGATAGGTCTCACAGAAAGTTGTGGGGGCTGCTTAACATCCATAGGCAATGTGTATCCTATGGTGGGAACTGTTGGAGTCCCCATGACAACCATTGAAGCAAGACTTGAGTCAGTGCCAGAGATGGGATATGATGCATTATCAAGTGTTCCAAGGGGAGAGATTTGCCTGAGGGGAAGTACATTGTTCTCTGGTTACCACAAGCGAGAAGATCTAACAAATGAAGTCCTTGTTGATGGATGGTTTCATACAGGTTAAAATATGTGACGTTTTTTTTCTCTTGATCTTTAATTTGAAGATAATCAGAACACTGCTTTCAATGGCCATGGTTGCCTATCTTGGAAACACTCAACTACTAGGGATCGTTTTTTTCCTTTACCGAGAATAGGCATGATCTTCTAAGTATTGCAGGTGATATTGGAGAATGGCAACCCAATGGAGCAATGAAGATTATTGACAGGAAAAAGAACATATTTAAGCTATCTCAAGGTGAATACGTTGCTGTAGAGAACCTTGAAAATGTCTACCTGCGTTGCCCTCTTACAACATCGGTATGTAGAACCAATAGGTTGGAAAACCATATTCATAGAATATGGCTGCTATTCTAAATACTAGCACTACATTCACCACAAGCTTCTGCATTTCTATAATCTATCGATTGCTCACTTTTTTCTGGTTCTCAGATTTGGGTCTACGGCAACAGTTTCGAATCATTTCTTGTTGCTGTAGTTGTCCCCGACAGACAGGCACTTGAGGATTGGGCTGCAAACCATAATGAAACTGACGATTTTAAATCGTTGTGCAAAAATCCAAAGGCAAGGAAATATATACTTGATCAGCTCAATAGCACTGGTAAAACAAACAATGTATGTTCATACCCTGCTCTATTCAATCTTTCTAATTGCATTTAATTATGTTTCCTCAACTGACACAAAGGACATTGGCACAGCTTAGAGGATTTGAAATGTTAAAAGCTGTTCATTTGGAACCACACCCGTTTGATATGGAGAGGGACCTGATAACTCCAACATTTAAATTGAAGAGGCCACAATTGCTCAAATGTTACAAGGTTTGCCTTGTGCTGTCTTTTGTGACATTAGAACAAAGTTAGCTGTTAATTGAATTCTCGAACATATATTACTTATCAAACATTTAGGTATTCCGACATCAGCGATCATTTGACCTTACAACATCATTGTGTGTAGGACTGCATTGATCAACTGTATAGTGAAGCAAAGGGCTCGAAGGCATGAGAGCAGTTTAGAAAACTAGAAGGCAGTGTCGAGATATGCAGAGCTGTCTCTGGAATTTCAATTTACAGATTCCTTCTGTTCCCCGATTAATCTTACGCAAGATCTACAGAACCTGTTTATGTCAACTTATTGTCAATGTTCGTATATAATTAAGATTGCTTGTAGATTTCCAAGAACTTGTTCGAGGAAGCTTTATTAGGCTATCCTAAATTTCTATCATGTGAGCACGCGAGTATTTAATTTCATTTTCATTTATCTTGGAGTCATTTAATTTTTCAAGGGATAACCCAGAGATCATTTTCACCACTGAATCTTTGTCAGGCATTCATCAGTCCATGTGTGACTCTTTTATGGAAGCAAATAATAAACAATCTGAAACCACAACTCACCTAAAAAATTTCAACTTAGCTCATCATGTATGTGTTTGAACTTCGAACTTTGAAGACTGCAGGTTTACCTAACAGAAGATGCTCATTTAGCAGCCTGAGCTCCTCCGAAAATGAACGCTTCACAGCGTCAATAACATTAAATTTTGTTGCCAAACATCAATGCTTTCCGTTCACCCCCTGATCAGCAGAGTGCTTTCCATTCATTGGAAAGGTCTTGGTACCCCAATCTTGTAATGAAGGTTCGGTTAAGCTGTACGTGGATATGGATGCTTTCTCATAAAACCATTCCTAGAGGCTATTTAAAAGATAACAGATTGATGATTAACGATTATCAATACCATGGTCCAACTCCTTGGTGCATTAACAACAGCTCCAATTATAGGGAACACAACATGTAACTTATATTTATTTCAGGTGAGAACAATACAAGAATCCTTCAAGGTTTGTTCAGCAAACGATTTGATTTTGTACATATGGCAATACATAGCTGAATGATACAATCTCAATAACACATCAATCACAACAAATTCTAAGGTCTCAACAAATTGATAATACCAAAAAAAAAAAAAAAAAAAAAAAATCAAAATATGTACTAATAAGTAAATCACGCACATCTGCTGAGTGTGTTTAAAGCAAATCAGTCAGCAATGCCCAGGCAGGATAAACAAACAGAAGTACTATGCCAGCAGTGTTGGATATGCCATGTGCTTTTGTGAAGGAGTTTCTAAACCCACCCGATGCCCGGATGTGTTCTTGCAGCAGATAACATGCAATGACTAGACATATGGCCACGCCAATCCAGTCATTCCTTATTGTGCTCGCAAACAAACTGGGAGCCACCACTATAAGAAGAATCAAAGCACCAGGCATCTCAAGCCAATCTGCAATAAGAGAAAAAAAATAGTTATCATGCATAGATTTCCAAGAAAATTGATATACATTTAATCGGTGCATATGAGAGCAGCCTTTTGTCTGTTAATATATGAAATGGCAATGGCTAGGAAAATCAATGTCTCAGATGGTAAGTTTCGAGTCATACAGTGAAGAAAGCAATTCCATACCTGGGAAACGTTTTGGGAAGAAAAGACGCAATATAACAGCAACGAAAGCGATCCATTTTCCAACTTCTCCTCTGCACAAAGAAACAGCTCAATAATGAAAAAAGGGGTGGGGAAGCCATAGAATGCTGCTGGAAGAACGTAAACTAACCTGAACAGGTTGAACAATATTGAAGGAAGAGTAAAGAAAATGTAAGGGATTAATAGACCAGTAAGAATGTTGGTTTTCCAGTTCGTTCGATCCAAGATCAGTAGATAACTGCAATGAGCACAATAAGGATGATATATTAGGCTAAAATCTAGTGAAAAACATCAAAGCGATCCAAGTTATATTAGTCGAGCAGCCCAGCACCAAAGCAACAGAAGTGAAATGGACCAGAGAAACAGAATATATAAGATGGCTAATTTGCAGCAAGTTCGAAGAAAATATTAATCATCCACATAGATTCATCGCTGAACTCATCGTATTCTTCAAAAATTTTGACAGAGCAATTGCAAGAAACCTCAGTATCTATAAGTGATGTCATATCAGCCTTTCTATTTGTGAAAATACAGATTCGTAGAAGTATGAGATCAATCAGTTAACGGAATCTTTGCAAGTCCCGATTCTCAAGAAAATGTTCAGACACAAGACCTATGCTAAATTGAAAAGCAGCACCAAAATTCTGCACCTATTACATACCAAGCTTACGAAGCATCATCATAATCATAATAATAAACAGATACTCCCCATCTGTGTCGAGTTGAAAGAAAGATATCTGACTTCAAAGTATGCTTACATTGCAGCAAAAGCAGCGATCCATTGAAGAAAAGTGGTAACAAATCCTGACCCGCCAAGCTTGATAGCATGATTAGCTAGCTTCTTAGCAGCAACAGTAACGTCTTGAAAATCAGAAGCAAGCAAGTCACTTGCCATTTCTTCATCCCTCCTCATCGCCAAGAAACTTTTCTTTCCCATCTTCTGCTCACAACCTCTTTTTTTCTCTCACTCACTGTTGACGGTTAAATTTGTTGATGCGAACCCACACCTACGACGCTTTAATTCAAGAAACACAGAGAGTCCTTACTAGACAAACAGAGAAAGGAAGCTCGCTATCTTAAAACTGGCACCCCCAGTACGAATTTAAGACAATTCATTTGAGTGTTTGTGATGTTGGATTCTTGCATTTTATGGTGCCAACTGGATACCCAACAATTTTGGGGTCGTTGAACAGTTGCCAGTTGTCCTGGTTACATTACGTGGCCTCTTAATCTTCTCCAATTATTCTAGAGATAAAACACTTCGTTTATATCACAAGACGTGTATAATTTAGATTAGTTAATTAACACTACGAAGAGATTACGGAATGGGAAATATGATGCATTCTTATGTTCCCTTCTTTATTATTTAAAGTATCATTCGAATTGGATTAACCTGATAGAGTAATATATTAAATCTAGTGTTCATAAAATTTTTTTTAAAAAAATCAAGTGGAAAATTTAACAGAGTTCAAAATTCGATTCGAATTTTACATTTTCAAAACGCAATTCGAATTGGTAAGTTTTTATTTAGGGATTTACTAGGATCATGGGCAGCCTTACTGGTTAGTATTGTGAATTTCAATTATTTTTTCTTTTTCACTGTCAAATAACAAAATATTAAACAAAAATCTTCAAATCTTCAATTATCTGCACAACGCCTTCATCATATAATAATAGCATATAAATTAAAAACCCAGAATCACCGCCTACCTCTTTTGAAATCCCTAAAACAAATTGCCATATCCCATGGATTTGAAAAACCCACATACAGTCCGTCTTTCTAAAACCCAAACCCGAATCTTTCTCTTTCATCATAATCTCTCTCTCTCTTGCCTAACAACTGCCTATTATGGTGGTTTATTTGGTGGTGTTGGTTTAGGTTGTGCTGATCGTAGCTTAGGTTGAATCGATTTTGCGTGTTGATAGAGAAATGTGACGGTGGTTCAAGTGGTGGCTGGGGTTGTTAAAGATTGAAATAGTGGCTGGGTTTCTTGAATTTGTTGGTTAAATTGGATTTTTTTGTCCTGACATTATTTTGGATATGAAGCTAAGATAGAAATTTTACAGTATTTAAGTATTAAACTAATAATATATATATTTATTACTTTATAGATTTATTTTGAGGAGAAAGATCGACATATTAAAAAAAAAAAATTAAACGAATATGAAAATTTTCTTATCATTTTTTCTATGAATCTAAAAAAATTAAACGAATATAAAAATATTCTTATCATCCTTTGTTAATTTAAATGTAATTCTTTCTCTTTTGTATGTATCTATCTTTCTGTTCAAAATAAATCTATAAAAAATTTATTATATATATTCTTCAAAGTAAATTTATAAAATAATTATTATACATATTATTACTACGTATTATAAAATTTTTCATAAACCACTACTTCAGTAATTAATTTATATGCAGAAGATAATAGAAAGTACGAGTCTTTATATTAATTAATGCCGTTGTCACCTTCAAAGAAAATAAAAATGGACATCTTGATGACACCAATGGGTTAGATAATCACTGAAAGTTACAAATCCAAATTAAGTTTTGCCACGTCTGATGCTATCTCACGCATTCAAATCAAATCAAATCAAATCAAATCCTGTGGTCTTACTCCAGCACAATTAGCATCATAATTTACAAATGCCCATCCGTTAAGATTTTTTGCATTTCTTTTTATATGGTCATTGTTTCTCCAGATATGGAAAAAATAATAAAAAGCAGTGCAAAATGCCCACATCAGGAAAGGTCACTGTTTTGGTATTTCAATGAAAAACCGTCTAACCCTTGGCGTAGAGCTACCGAACCTTTACGAACCAAAGTCTTTTCGTTAAAAAAATAAAAATAAATGAGAGACTTCACCGACTTTAAACTACACAACTAGATATAAGCATATTTTATTGTATTATCGTATCTACTTTCTCCTACGGTTCTGAAAAGACCAAGAGGCTTTTCATATTGAATGGACCTAGCCCAAAAGTACAAGCTAATAGAGCCTAAAAGAGGATCCATTCCAGGCCTAGATAGTGACCGATTCGGAACCCAATATAATTAAATGGGCCTAACAGAAGATTTTAGGCTTACCTTAATTGACAAATTGATAATCTCATCTTTACCTTCTGCTTTTGCGTGGGAAAAAGCTGTTGTACTTTCATCGCTTTTCGAATTTGGTATATTAAAATAAATTAACATCATGCCAAGAAAGAAAATCTCACTATAATAAATACCTCAAATCTTGTGTTCCAACTCTTTGGTATTTTCATTTTCTTTATAAAATTTAAAATCGTTTCTTTTCTTTTTCATCTACCAAATTCATTTCTAGCATTTTTTTTTTATATTAGAAATAATGTAAACTGGTCCCATCTTGAAAAATGGCTGAAACCCATAATCACAGAGGCCCATATTGGAACCTACCAATCTATACAAGGCCCAGTACAAAAAAAAAAAAAAAATCTACCTAGCCCGGCAAAGAAATCCCATCCCAGAGGTAAACCATATTGGATTTGGAGGCAAATAGTATTGTAGTGTTCATTACTCCAGTATTTGTCTGTCTCTTAACAAAAGAACAATGAACGTGAATGTGGTCGGCTGAGTCCAATACTGGTTTTCATTCAATTTGTATTACATCAGAAGTGATCGAGAAATCTCAAAAAAAAAAAAAAAGAAGTAATAATAATAATAATAATAAAAGAGAAAATCAAATATTAAACATAAAACTAGATAAAATAAAAAATTGAACAATAAAATAATAAAAAAATCATTTAAATTGTAATTTTCTCTTCGGTTTCTTTTAACATCACAGATAACTGTAAGGGATTATCAACAAAAAAATTGCAACTATGGGTATTGATTGCCTGCAAAACCATAGAGATGCTTCAATGCATTTGCAATTTTTCACATGCGTGTCATTTTCGCATTTATTGATGCTTTAATGGAAGTGACCAATTGCTACTGCCGGAATATTATATTGCGCCCCAACATTCAGATCCACCTAAAAGTATCCCACTGGATGCTCTTTGAGGTCCAAATTCATGTGGATTTCTTTTCGAATAAGATTACGAGATACAAAGTCGCCACCAATAAATAGCAGAAGTTGACATTTACATTCATCGGATTTTTTATTCTCATTATCTGAAATATAAAGCTTTGGAATTTTTATTTTCCTAAATCTCTATGGTGATGCTTTTTCCTGAATTTGATGAAGATTTTCCCGGCTAAATACAGTCCTTAATGATTGACCAAAGGGAAAAGTTTTTGTGTTATAAAGCAGTTTCACAAATCTTTATATCATCTTTCCTAGACGTTGAACATGAAAATCTCAATAAAAATATCAAATTTAATAGCTAGGTAGAGCATCCAATGATCTGCTTTTTTGCTAACGTGTATATCAATCAGTACTTTAACGTCCGTTTGAGATAATTAACATCCAATACACTATTTGAGCATATAATGGAGTACAATTAGGAAAAGGCCAATTTTCCCAGCTCTAAATTTTTCTTAGCGACTTTTTGCCTGAAATATTTTAACTTCTTTTTATCACTTTTTGAATGCTGCAAAACGTCAACTCAAGATTTTTATGCTTCTAGCTGGTCCCATCAATTTAACAGAGTCAACAGCCCCAATTTGTGGGTTTAGCAAAATCTTGCAAGAAAGATATCGTAGCAATCAACACGGCAGTCGCAGCTCAGCATTTGATGTTAAAGCCTCCTCAAAGTCTTCCGTTGTTAATTTAAGATAACTGTTTGATGGGCAATGATTCTTCTTTAGGTTTGCGCTATGGCATATCTGTTCTGCTAATTAATTTCTTTTGTTGAAAATATTGTGGTAAATAAGTAAACTCGAAGCCTGATTAGTTATCTTATTGCAGTCATGTTCTTTTACTTTCGATAATTGCTTTGATTTTTATATTTTTTTGGTAATCAAGTAAGTTACTTGAATTAGGTGCTTGTATCATCAATTAATGGTGTCTTGGAAAGCAACCACTAATTATTCATCTACTAATTGAGAGATGTAACTGCCCCACAAGAAAAGCTAAAAAATTCAAGAATATACACAAGAAAATGGAGATTCAAATGAGTAACACCAATATGCATAACTTACCCACAACAAGTTATTAGATAAAAATATAAATTATAATATAAATTCTCTATAAATTATAATATAAAATCACATTTGAAAGATTAAATTTTTGGATTAAGATTTTTTTTAACATGATATCAAAATCTCGTTAATTTAATAATCAAAATTCGAATCCTATTATCCTTATTTTTTTTAATTAATTAAATATGAAGTAGTATGAGCATTGTAAATTTTAAATTTAAAAAATTTTTACTTAAAAAACTTGTTAAAAAATAATATAATCATATTCTATAACCTTCAACTAGCAGTTTAAGTTTTTGAGTTAATACATGCATAAAATACAGTTTAACTATTATTAGTATGTTTCTTCTTAAAAAAGATTAAAAAAATCATGAATTTTAACCTCTCTCTTTTTTTCTTTTTTCTTTTTTTGGCAAACCAAAAGAAAAGGAAAATTTGAACAATAAAAGTAGTCTTCTTAATCCATGGCCAACACATTATGTTCAAAACATACATTTAACGATGATGACAAAGTAAATCAACAAAAACAATCAAAGGAGAGTGAAATGTCATGACCTGTTTATTGTAAATTAAAGTTACAAGTATAAAATGAATAAATGAAAACACACAAACGTAGTGGTATTGGCGGCCAAAAGCAAGGGGGCTACCAAAGCAGCCCAAATAGATTGAACTTGACCAAAGGCAACAGGTTTAATCAATGCCGTCATCAAATGCTTGTGGCTTTGGCCACAGAAGTGAACGTCACGGAAGATCCAATCGGCAAAACTGCCGTTTCAACAGTAAATGTGTCGTAACGTAGGAAGAGCTCAACCAACATTAGCCTAGAAAGGAGCACCACCATATCCTTCCCAGGACATTGCTTATCCTCCACCGTTGGATCCACAGTCTCCCGCCCATTTGACCAATAAACATACTTCAATAACTTCTCTCCCTCCCCCACAATCCTATGCCCCACAAACTCTTCAGCATCATCAAAGACCTTAGGATCCTTTGTAGCAAACGGCTGATATCCGAAGATCATTTCTCCTTTCTTGATCTCATAGGCTGCATCATGACTTTGGACCACAATATCTTCCTTAGCCTTAGCATACTGGAATGGAACTGGCGGTTCAATCCTGAAAGCTTCATAAACAACAGATTTGGTCAAAACCATCTGATCCAATGCTTGGATAGTGACCCCACCTTCTTTTTTAACAGCGGTCCTGATTTCATCCGCGAGCTGAAGGTGCAAATCCTCTCCTGCTTGGCCAACCCATTTGATCAAAGCAGGAAACCAAACTTTCAAGCCTCCGTAAGTACTAAAAGAAGCAAGAAACACAAGATTATGGCAAGCTTCCTCTTTTGTAAGCCCAAAACTCTCAGCTTGGTCCAAGATCGGACCGGAAGAGGCATAAAACACATCGTACAGCTTATAGTAATCAGATTTTACTAAGAAAAACGGAAATGGAAACGTATGCAACAACAGATCATCTACATATTTCAAGAACTTAGGTAACCCTAGGGTAAAAAGTGGTCCGAGTTGTAAAGCCAGCCATTTATCAGCAATGGCTGGTCCTTTCGATCCAATCGCTGTTTCGGACGGATCTTTACCGCAAAAGAGACGGAAAATGTAGTTGAAAGACATGGCCTGACCAAGGTTGTTGAAATTTGCTTTCTTTTGAGACGCTAGGCCATCCTCAATGTTGACGAACAGTTGTGACAAGCAGGTTCTAAAGAGAGGAATAACTTCGCTTTGCTTTGATGCAAGCACAGACATAAAGTAGGATTTGAGAGCAGCGTGTTTGGGCTCAGAAGGGTCAAGATAGGCACAAACACGGTATCCGCCAGTGTAGGACAAAGAAGGTAAGAAAGTTCCATCAAGAACGTTATATTTTTTGACTTGAGAAGTGTCAAAGAGGATTGGAAATGAGATTGCATCAAGGACAGCAATGACTTTGGGGTTTTTGGCAATGAAAGGGCCGGGAGGCATGTTGGTTTTGATGACTGTGGAATTGTGTTTTCGGATGCGGTTTTTAAAGAACTCATCTTTGCCTTGGTTATAGAAATAGTCTAGACGATCTTTGATTGCACCAAAGAAAGGGAAGCCATAGTCACCGGGGATTGGTTTCAATGGAAGCTTTGATTCAGAAGAGGAAGGAGGAGGAGAATTAGACAACTTTGTTAATTGCTGCATGCTTGTGGATTTTTTTGGCTTGGTGGTGAATCAAGGAATTGCCATTATCTATATATAGTAATGTGGCTGATGTGATCACGCATAGAAATTAATTAACTAATGCAAGTTGGTGAGATATTTTATAATACTTAAAAATAATTAATGACATATATAATAATTATTCGATAAATTCATTTTCAAGAAGATATATATATATATATATTCAGATTTATTAAAAGTGATAAAAAAGATTTTACCGTTTGATCAATTTTTTAAAAAAATTTCTCTCTTATTTTCTCACCTTTTTTTTTAATGTCTATCCATGCTCCTTGTTTCTTATCAAAAAAACTAATGTTAGCTAGGTGTATGCATATTGAATTAATAATGCTCCTGCTTTTTTACCCGATTTGATTCATATTCTTATTAGATACTTCAAAAATTAAAGCAGACTCGTTGTTCAACTACGTGGTGCTGATGGGAAGATCATAAAACTTTCTAAATTAAGAAGGTAGTAACAGGTTGAAATAACAAAATAAATTCAATAATGTATAGTACACTTGTGGCGGCCGGAACCAATGCAAGAATGATGGGAAGATTTTGTTTGTCGCAGTTTATTCACCTCACTCGCGATTGTCAAAGATAATCTTTGTTCAAAATAATACCAAAGTCAAAGAGATAACATGTCATGCTTTTTGTAATTGTTTCTTTTCTTTTTCACAAAAGAGAGTTTAACTCGAAATTTTTTGAAGGAGATGAATATTAATATTAATTGAATTGTAATTCATTGACATATTTTTTTGTATTAGAATTCATTGAGATATATTTTTTGTAATTTGTAAGTTTCTTAAAATATCTTAAAAATCTTTGAAGCAATAAGTTGAACCTCTGAAAATTGGATCACAAGAGAATGAATACCGAAGCAAGGATTCAAATCCATGAATGACCAATCATCTAGGTTCTTTTTTTCTTAGAAGTGGAATATATCCAAAAGTCTATATAATGAAAAATCATTCCTATTTAATAAATATTTTTTGAGGCTAGCTAATAAAACTAATTAACATCGACCTAATTAAGAATTAATTAAAGGGAAAGCCAGACCATTTGCAGATCTGTTGTGTTTTTGAAAACAAGGACGCACGGATACTGTGCTTTCAGTCGGTATCTATATATGAAAAGTCAACATTTTTTTCTCTTTTCTTTTGTGAACAAATTGAAGCCACGTAGAGCTGAAATTTAGGCAACCAACTTTTATTTTTCTATTTAAGAATAGAGATCCGTGTACTGATCAGTTAAAACTGTTGCGCTAATAAATTATTAGACCCAGTTGCCATGATTTCATAACGGTATGTCTCCCAGCGTTACTACAGTCATGACAAATTCGGAAGCTAGGCATTGTAAGACAGCAAACAATTTCCTTCATTTCTGAACAATTTCCTTCGTTTCTGAAACTGTTTTTACTTTCTTCCGGAATACATATGCTATTTTTTTCAAAATAATTTAATTAAAAGATTGAGGTATCAAAACGGAAGGAATTCCGAACCATGATTCAATAACGCAAATGCTCAATTAAAGTGTGATTGAGCCCGGTTACCGATCATCGCATTCGGTGTATCAAATATTAATGATGCACTTTATTTTCTTTTGGAAAAACCAATTACATTTACCCTAAAAGTAGCATGATACTATGGTTGAGTTTATACTAGTCACTTGCTCACGCTACTCTGCAAATCCGATAGAAAAAAATTGTTTTAAAATTTAAATTTTTTTAATTATAATTTTTTATTGAATTATTTTTTAAATATTTTTTATAAATTTTTTGTTTTTTAAGAAAAAATCATTGTTCTTTATGAATTGATTTCAAAATTAAAAATATAATAATTTTAACTAAAAAATTAATCAAGAATTAAAAATATAATTTTCATAATATAGTATTTCAAAAAATAAAGTTATCATTAATTAACGAGACTTTTACAAAAATTAACAAATAAATTTTTTTTCTTATTTAATGCTAATGAGAAGATTAATTTTTGAAATTATCCATTCAACGCAAACGAGTAGATAAAACAAAATTATTTAAAAAATTTATAATTTTTTTATAATTTTTTATTTAATTATTACTTTTTTGTGTGTGTTTTTCATAAAATTTCTGTTTTAAAAAAACATGATTTATTCTTCTTTATTAAGGGATTCTTAAATAAAAATGTGCAATAATTTAAACCTAAAATATTAATTAAGAATTCAAAAATAAATACTCTAAAATTATATATATATTTTTTATAAGAATGCATCCAAAAAATAAAGTTACAATTAATGTATAGACTTACATAAAAATTAACCAATGAAAAAATAAAAATTTATTCTTATTTAATGTTGGTGAGAAGATTTTTTTTTCCAAATATATGCATTATATCTATATATATTTATTTAAAAAATAATCAACAAAATTATCATAAAAAACTATATTTGAATAATTGGTTGGTTCATTTAAAAAATTATTTTAATTATTTTATTTCAAATAAATTGATTCTATATTGTTAAAAAAAATTCATAGTAAATAATTTGTATTATGTTGGAAGATGTATAGTTATTTTTTTTTTAATAAAATCAATGATTCAATGTTTTTTTTATATGTCTTGACCATACCTAGAGACTGAATCAAATTATTTGAAATATACTTTTAACCTTTTAGAATAAAATAATTATATATTTATATATTCCCAACTATCATTTAAAAATTCATGATATATATTATACCAATTTATTTTGTAAAAAAGAAAAAAAATCATGTTTTAAAATTTAATTCTAAAATTCAAACGTAGAGAAAAATAAATTATATTTATCGGTAAATAAAATTTATATAAAAAAATATTAATTAGATGAGAATTTCATAAAAAAATGATAAATTCAAAGAATAAAATTTAAATGAGAAGATTAATATAAGCTGAGGTATATATTAATTTTAAAATATCAAAAGATAGTAAATACATGCTATGTGAAAAATTAAAAAAAAAATAAAAATTAAGGATTGAAAAAACCTTTACGACATGTGGGACGAAAAATAGAAAAAAGTATTAAATTTGCATATTAATGTCCAAAAACACACAAAAAACAACACACAAAAATTACTTCAATTACCATCAAGTGAATAGTAAATTTATACGTATGAATAGTAAGTGAATATAAATTTTAGACATATAAATAGTTTGGATTCTCGTGTTACGCCGCCAATCGAACTAAACATATTTATTTTAGTTGGATAACATATATTATATTAACCATTAATTAAAATATATTAAATTAAATATAAACGATAAAATTTCATCCAATTTTATAATTCTTAATCAAAATTTTTTTGTGTATATATGTATATATATATATATTTATGTTTTGAATAAATTTTGAAGTCAAAAAAATATTATTTGTTCTTTCTTATGCATTTATTCTTAAATAAAACCCATAATAAACAAATTTTAATATAAAATTTTTAAAAAAACATCTTAATATTTTTTTTATTATTATATTGCATTGAAGAAATAAAACAAAAATTAATATAAAAACTTGTATGAAAATTAACAAATGAAACTTTTTTTTTTTTACCGATGAGAAGATTATTTTTTTTAAATATATACATTTGATTCATATATATTTATTTACAAAATAACGAATAATATTAATATACAAAATTGTATTTCAATTATAAGGTTGTTATTCTAAAATATTATTTCAATTGTTTTATTTGAAAAAATCATTTTAAATATTAAAAAGTAATAGCAAATAGTTGGTATTGTGTGTATAGATGCATAGTTACTTTTTAATAAAATCATTGATTCTAGTGTTATTGTTTTTTATACATCATTACCGTATTCAATAGGTGAGAATATATAAAATAAACTAAAAAATATTTTAAAAATTTAAATGGTAAAATATATATTGAAGTTAATAGAGTGCAATAAAAACTATAAAACTGATTTTAATAAAATTTGATTATGTAAAAAATAAGAAAATAAAATACATATATTCAATTTTTAAATTTTGATTATATAAAAATTAAGAAAATAAAAATAGGTATCAAAAAACTTATTCGAATTGATGGAAAAAAGTAAAGGGATATGAGTAGTGTATTCGTTAGGGAGTTTTTATAAAATTATAAAAAAAAATTAAGAATAAAATTAGCTTGATGAGAATTTTTATCGAAAAAATTAATTTTAAACAATAAGAGTAGTTTATATTTATTCTAAAATCTAAAAATATATCGTATCAATGTAAAAAATATCATATATATTATATAATCGTCGGCTTGTGTAAAAAAAAAGTAACGATTGATTTTTTAAAATCTTAACATCTAATTAAATAAAAAAACAAACATAAATTGATAGAAAAAAGCAAAGGAAAAAAAGGCATGACCGCATGAGTAGTGTTATATAATCGTCGGTTTGTATGGAAAAAAATAATGATTGATTGTTCGTAATTTTAACACCTAATTAAATTAAAAAAATAAATTGATGAAAAAAAGCAAAGAGGCATGAGTAGTGCATCGGTTAGGGAATTAATTTTTTTTTAAAAAAATCAGAGACCAAAATAAAAGAACCTGAAAATTTTAAAAAATTTAAATTAAAAAAACTTAAATTGATGGAAAAAAGAAAATGAAAAGAAAAGAAAAGAAATGGTATGTATAGTGAAACAACATGAAAAAATATCTTAATAAAATTTTAAAATATATCGTATAAATGTAAAAAATATCATATATATTATATAATCATCAATTTATATGAAAAAAAATAATGATGATTTCTTAAAATTTTAACGCGTAATTAAATAAAAAAATAAACATAAATTGATTGAAAAAAGCAAAGGAAAAAAAAAGACATGAATAGTACATCGGTTAGGGAATTAAAATTTTTATTTTAAAATTTTATAGACCAAAATGAAACAATCTGAAAATAAAAAAATAAACCTAAATTGAATGAAAAAAAACAGAGGGGGAAACAAAGAAATAACATGTATTCTAAATAACGTGGAACAAAAAAAAGTGAACAATGTCAGAACAAAAAAGAAAAAGAGGTGAAGAGGATTGTGAACAGTCACAGTCTCGTTTGTTTTAGAGCCTTATAGCTACATTTTTCTTTCCTTTTTAATGAAATGGCAGGCAAAAGCCAAAGCCTACATCATGAACGAAAAACCTCTGCGGAAAAAATGCGAAGACTACATGCATCAAAGAAGTATCAATAGGCCAAAGAATAATTTCCTAGAACCCATTCTAGAATAACTAAAAATAAAAAACCACAGCAGCAGAGATGACAAATGGGTAGGTATGGATTGGATCAAAATTGATATAGGTTTTATCCATTATTTATTTACGATCAGTTTATTTTTTAAATGGGTATCCATGCCCACTTAGTCCTTACCCCATCCATCAGCCCATTTAAATTGGTTGACTAATACCCAACCCATTTAACTTAGGATGTTTTCAATTCAACCCATTTGCATGTAACCCATTAAATTTTTATATTATATCGACTCTTTTATGATCCATACCGCCTTTAAAATAACTAGGTATAGGTGGGTTAATGGGTATGAATAACTTTTGCCACCCCGACTTGCATTAGTTGCAAGTCCAGCCAAATTGAAGCCCAAAAACATCCAGAAGTCGTGAAAGCTTCCTGGATAGCCCGACCACAACTAACCAAAGCGATATTTCTTGTGTGTTCCATTTGTTTTAGCAATTAGACAGCGTGTTTCTACTACATGCATGCTTGTTTGTAGATACTATTCATTCTCATAATACGAAGCACATCAATGTCTTTTTCGCCTAAACAATGTTTAGAGCTCATAAGAGAATAGTAGTCAGTGATTATTAATGGGCATTAGTGCTAGCTGCACGTACTTATTAAAACATGGAAATCTGTTTAAGCTTAAAAAATGTTATCAGTACGATGCACAGTAGTAGATAAAGATTCAAATGAATACGTACCATCTATTGGGCAGTTTAATCTAATAATTGTGTATTCAATAATTTTTTAGTAAAGCAAAATTTGAGTTTTATAGTTCTAAATTTATTTGGTAATTATATATCAAGAAAGAATTATTTTTCACTCATAAATCTATTGAAAATAAGATACTGGAACTTTATATAATACAGACTAAATTTTTTAAAAAATATATTGAATTGATATCCAGCAAATTACATTTCCACCAAAGCAACACTATTTTTATTTGCAAGTGCGTGCGCGTCGTGAGTTGTGAACTCTAGGATCTATATTGAGAAGAGGCAAAGAATGCAAGACTTGGCTTCACCATGCATGATCAAATGCTTGTAGCCTTGATCAAAGAAGTCAATGTCACCGATGATCCAAATGGTAAAGCATCAGTCTCCACAGTAAACGTGTCATAACGCAGGAAAAGCTCCACCAACAATAGCCTAGACAAGAGCACCACTATCTCCTTCCCAGGACACTGCTTATTATGCACCGTTGGATCCTCAGTCTCACGCCCGTTTGACCAATAAACATACTTCAATAGCTTCTCTCCTTCCCCCACAAACCTATGGCCCACAAACTCCTCAGCATTATCAAAAACCTTAGGATCCTTTGTGGCAAACGGCTGATATCCAAAGATCATTTCACCTTTCTTGATCTCATAAGCTGCTTCGTGACTAGTGACCACAATATCCTCCTTAGCCTTACCGTATTGGAATGGGACCCCAGGTTCCATCCTTAAGGCTTCATAAACAACTGATTTGGTCAAACTCATCTTTTCCAATGCTTGGAAAGTGACCCCACCTTCTTCCTTAACAACGCTCCTGATTTCATTGGCAAGTTGGCTGTGTAACTCCTCTCCTGCTGTGCCAACCCACTTGATCAAAGTAGGAAACCAAGCCTTCATGCCCCCATAAGCATTAAAACCAGCAATAAACACTAGGTTATGGCAAGCTTCATCTCTTTTGATCCCAAAACTCTCTGCTTTGTCTAAAACCGAGCTCGAAGACTCATAAAATGCCTCATAAAGCTTCTTATAATCAGATTTTACTGGGAAAAATGGTGTTGGAAATGTATGCAACAAAAGATCTTCAAAATATTTCAAAAACTTTGGTAATCCAAGGGTTGCAAGGGGTGCAAGTTGTAAGCCGACCCATTTATCTACAATGGCAGGTCCATCCGATCCAAGCTTCGTTTCGGATGGATCTTTGTCGCTAAATAGACGAAAAACAAAGTTGAAAGACATGGCATCACTAGGGTCATTGAAATTTGCTTTCTTTTTGGAACCCATTTCGTCATCAATGTTAATGAACATTTGAGACAAGCAAGTTTTAAAGAGGGGGACAAGGTCTTTGTGCTTCGATGCGAGGACAGAAATAAAATAGGATTTGAGAGAGGTGTGATTGGGCTCAGAAGGATCAAGATATGCACAAACACGGTATCCTCCAGTGAAGGACAGAGAGGGTAAGTAAGTGCCATCAAGAACGTTAAATTTTTCGACTTTGGCAGTGTCAAAAAGGATTGGGAACGAGATTGCATCGAGGACAGCAATGACTCTGGGATTTTGAGCAATAAAAGGACCAGGAGGCATGTTGGTTTTGATCACTGTGGATTGGTATTTTTTAACACGGGTGCTGAAGAACTCATCTCTGCCTTGGTTGTAGAAATAATCTAGACGATCTTTGATTGCACCAAAGAAAGGGAGGCCATAGTCACCAGGGATTGGTTTCACTGGGAGTTTTGATTGAGAAGGCGTAGGAAACATTTTCAGCTTGGGTTTTGTTGCGGCTGTACGATGGTTTGGCAGGCTAGTAAAGAATGGTGCATGGTTTCATTCATGCATGTCTATTTATACCACTACAAGTCTAATACGTACAAGTCAACAATGTTTATTGCTCATTGAGTTTATGATTCCAGTGTGCATGGTTGTTGACAAGTAATTGAGACATGATTTGCTTGTTACCAATTAATTATTATCATGTGTGGTCCGATGGCCAATCTTTCTTGACAAGATCAAAAGAGATAAAATTGAGTTCAAATGTGACACTCTTACATGCATTTTTCTAAGTGAAGTTCAATTAATCTTCTAGGCTGACTTGATCATCATGAGGTAAAAGATGTTAGCATCACTCCCTGATATTGGCCTAAAAGAAGTTACTAAGCCTTATGGAACCAAAATTGGATGTTGCATATCTAGATATTGAGAATAATTAGAATTTCCAAATGGGACCTTATTTAATTTACTACTCAGTCTGTTACCTTTATCAGTGGTATTTAATTTTGTTGATGGAGTACATAAACTTACTTCATTTGGATTCTTAAATTAGCAATAAAATAGAAGAGGATGTTAACTATAAGGTAGTAGCCCGTTAGTAAGTCAATATTGATTTGTAGATTAAGTTCGAGTTCAATTTTTATGACCAACATTTCTTAAAATTTATTTTCAGAATACCTAATACTATGCATTGGAGAGTACCGTCATTCAAAAATAGATTAGTCTTGAAATACATAAAAAATGATCCGATTATATCGTTATTGTTGGAAAAAAAAACGAATGAGGATGACAGTGGGTTATATTTTGGTCACTCAAAACAAAGAACATGGTCTAAAATATTGAAAGGACTTGCTGAACAGTAATTGCGATAAATTATATGGGTAAATCATCATTTATCTTATTTACAAGGCTTCTCACTTTTTAAAAAAAATTTTAATCTTTTTATTTTCTCACATCTAGCTTGTACGTTCACAAAATATGCCATATATTACATTTTATCATTTCGATCAAATTATTATTAAAATTAGTTAATTAAAATAGATAATGCTATATCTTGTACCTTGCATCGATGGACGTAAATTTTAAAAGTTATATTTGACAAGAAAAAAAACATATTTTCTCATCTTAACTTTTTATTTCAACAAAAAAAAAAAAAAAAAACTATAAATTTTCATATGGCCTAACTCTTATATGAGTTTGTACTTAGTAATGCAGTTTGTTGGAAGGGTTGAGGTTAAAAATTACAAAGCCTTCCTACCTAGTTTTTGGTAAAGATACAAAACATATGTTTTTTAGTATAATCTAGTGTCGAGATAACTGGGAAAAGTGCTCTTTGGATGAAAAAATATTAAATGAAGGAAATAAGAAAACTACAAAATAGGTTCACTGTTTTGTGTGTCACATTTTCATTTTTTTTTAATCTTACTTCTTTTATTTTCTCATATCTACCTTATACATACACAGATTAAGCATATATCTCATTTTTATCATTTTCATCAAATTAGCATTAAAAAATAGTTAATTAAAATATATTACACTACAAGAAAAAGACGAATTAGCGATGGTCTAGACCATTGCTAATTCTTAAAAAACTGTCATTAAATAAAATTAGCAACGGTAGGCTAGGCTTAACCCGACCCATGTTAAAAAGGGTAGGTTAGGCTTTGGCCCAATCTGTGTGAGACCAAGCTTAGGTTGGGCTTATCCCATGCCATGCCCGAGTGGAGGAGAAAAGTTGGCCTATACCCACAGGGCCCAAAAGGGAACAATAAGCCTAATTTTAGCCATTTTTCTAGGAAAATCAGTTTTAAAATTTTAATAAATGTCTTCTATTTTTATGTCTAGTTGAGATTTAATTTTTTTTTTGAATTTTTTAAGTTTTTATGCCTATTTATTTATTTAGTCAATGTTTAGTTTTTTTTAAAAAAAATTAGATTAGGTGATTAATAGATGAACGAGTCATTGAGTCTCTTAATTTGTAGGGACTAACGATGACTCTCACCGACAAAAAAATATTGAAAAATACAAAAAATGATAAAATGATAAAAAGAAGAGACATAAAAAAAAAAGAAAAAGGAAAAGAATAGAGAGAGAGAGAGAGAGAGAGAGAGAGAGAGAGAGAGAGAGAGAGGGAAATGATAAAAAAAGAAAGACAAAAAAGGAACAAATGAAAAAAACATATAAAAAATACTATGTGAAAATTAACAATGTCTCATATCTAATAGAGACTAATGTTAACTCAAATAAAATATATCTTAGTATTTAGATCGTTCTTTGATATGCTATTTATGTCAAGACTTAAATTGAATTTGATGTTGAATCGATGAGACTCTCGACCTAAAGGTCCGATGATTAGTTCAATATAATGCCAAAAAAATTTTAAAAATTAATTTGGCTTAGCAAATAAAATTTTGAATTTTGAATTAGGATTAATTTTAGCAAAAATAGAATTTTTTTAGAATATAAACTTTAAAACTAAACCAAACATGGCAACTTTCATACGAAAGAATGCTTTTGGGTGATTGATACCTTCCCAAAAGAATAACCAACTCCTTATTTTATAATTTCGAATCGGTATCCAATTTAGATTCTTAGTTACCTTTAATATTAGGTGACAACTTTGAAATTAATAATAATTTATATCCTCAAACAAAAAAAAATTTCAACTAATAAATAAATAATTAAATTTTGGATGTCTTCTAAATCTGATGGCTTTGAATTGCATGTAGGTTTACGGAGGATGTTTGACATAAGGGTAAAAAGTACTACTATTAAATTGCATAATTGAGGAGCTTTAAATGCTGTTTATGTTAAGGGGTTAAATTTTTTAGAAGGATAAAGTTTAAGATTTTTTTTAAGAGGCTATTAAGTACCTCCAAATTGGTGTTTTTGGAGAATAAATATCATGCTGCAAGCAATATTATCTCTTTTCTATCTCTTGTCCCTTTCTGTTTTAAAATACCTACTAAATTAATCTTTAATTATCTCTCGGTAATCATTACTAATAATGTTATTATTATTTTTTCTATCTTTTACCTATATTTAACTCTTCAATTTATAAATAAATAAAAGTCACCTAAATATTAACTAAGATCGGAAAGTATAGCAACCATATGCACATTGCAAGCATCCAGTAGCCATCACCGCTTTCTTTCTTTCGGTGGACCGGCCGGTGGCTGTAACAAGAGCAGATTACAACTTAGATTTGCTTATAAGGAAGTTCGGATTCGCAATTTTGTTTTTAGGAGAATAAAAACGAAACACAAAAACCTGAAATTAAGGACAGAACAGTCAAACCGTTACAAACGTCTGCTACTTTTTGTCTTCCCAACTTCTTATGAAACGTCTACTGACAATTCAAATACATACTCCCATAGGATGTGGAACAAAAAAAAAACGTGTTCAATATGGAGTTTCTGCGTGGTTTGATTTGTAGTTGCTAATTTAGATATTGGTCAAAAGCAATATTTTCATGTTTAAGGTTTTTTTTTCTTCTAAATAATCTTTCTTTTCATTCAATGGATAAATCAAAAGGGTTTGAAGTTTGGGATGCATGTAGATATTCCTTCCTCAATCCTTAAATCCGCATTTTATCCCTTTCAAGATTTGAATTCAATCCTCTTATCTTGATGAAAAAATTCCTAGGTTTTAACCGGTCGTTGCATGCTTTTGTCCACCCTCCAAAGTAGCTTTTCTTGTGACTAGACAACATAATATTTACAAAATATCCAAATTATTACATTCTTTAAAAAAAATGTCCGAATTGATTTTTTTTAGACAATAGAGATAAAATAGCAAATCCAATATAGAGACAAAAAGGCAGCACAAACCAAAGCCCACCCACACCTTAGTATATCGAAACTAATAGTATCCTTTTCTATAAAATGAGATATCGATCATATAAGATAACTAGAAAATTCTAATGTAATGATAAAACATTCAACCTAGAAATCCAAAACTAATAGTTGTAACAGGATTGGGATGTACTGATTTTATATCCAGTTTATAAATATTTATTAAAAATATATAATAAACATTAAGGCGTATTAAGATTAAAAAAAATACAAGCCTATTTACATAGTGTTGGAGTATTAGTATCCATTTTACATCTTTCTAATACACATTCTTTTTTTAACATGCAGAGATTTTATTGCATAAACTTTACAAAATAAAAACCAAAATATTTTTATGAAATCTTTAAGGATTGAAAAACTTATAGAAAAAGAACCAAATTGTTAAACAAAAAATAATTTTAATGACTAAAATAATTTTTTTTTCAAAATTACAAAGATTAAGATAATTTTTTTTTAATAAATTATTTTTAAGGATATTAAATGAAAGAGTGATCCAAATATGATTTTAAAAAGTAATTTTTTTAAAAAATATTATAGATAAAATTTTGTTTTAATAAATAAAATAATCGAAGAGAGAAAGGTTTTATTGGTGCTCGATCTTTTATTTATTTTTTTCTATTTTAGTGCCCAACCGTTGATTTTTAATGATTTGCTACACAAACTTTGATTTTTTGTTGTTTTTGGTTCCGGACTTCACTTAAGGTTCAATTCTATTTCCGTATCCGACGAGAACTACCACATGACGGTAAAAAAATACTCGTGGCAGTCAACTTCGGAACCTCATACTCTAATGTGGCTATGGGCATTTAAATAGAAAAAGAAATAAGATATTAGGCATTGAAATAGAAAAAAAATAGAGGTGGTGTACCTAAGCGAGAAAAAAAAAAATCAATGGTTGGACACCGAAAATGTAGTTTTCTCAAGAAATTTATTTAAATTTTCTTATACCAAATATTTGTCTCCTTTTTTACTATGATCTATCCTTTTCTCATTATAAATAAATTTCATGCATATCTTGTGCTTGCATAATCTTTATATATATATATATATATATAGTATCTCAAAACTTCTTTTTAGATATTACAAGTTATATAATTTTAAATTTTAAGAACACCAACAATTACATATATGTATATTTTCTTATTATTATGCAAATTGCACAAGCAAATTTAATAATGCATTCACTTCTTTGTTTAATTTATACTCTACTTATTATTTTTATAATTATCGTCATCGTTACTAAAAGTATTGCACTTTAAACGTCAAAATAAAAAAAACTTGATCACTAAACTTATTCATCTCAATTCTATCCAATCTCGACCTATTACAAAAAGTTTAACAAGTTATTAGCTACAAAAAGCTTATGTCACCTATTATATGTTGATCGATCTTCTCCTTAGACAGAAAAAGCAATTTTTGTGTTCTTGTAAATTTCTCCTTTGACTAACAATTTGCTGCACAAATTTTAATCATAATTGGATCTTATATGTCTTTAATTTTTTTTTCTAGATTTACTATTAATTAGATTTTATATATATTTGGATTAAATGACATAATATTAAATTTATTTAGAAGGCAAAAAAGGTTTAAAAATTTTTAAAAGTAATTTTTGATTGATACGAGTATTAAAAAATTACCTTTGATAATTAAAAAATGCCACGAGCATAATATAAAAAAATTATTAAAAATTATTGGACTGATTTTGTAATTTTGAGATAATAAATTTCTTGAAAAAACTACTTTTTGGTGTCTAATATTTAATTTTTTTTTCTATTTCAATTCCTAACTTTTGATTTTTTTTATATATATATATTTGAGTGCCTACGACTAACTTAAAGCACTAGGTGTTAATGTGTATGGAGTTCATCGCCACATGATACTTTTTTACTATCATGTGACGAGCTCTCGTTGAACATATCGGTAAAATTATACTTTATGTAAAGTAGGGTATAAAAACAAATAAAAAATCAAAACTTGAATAGTAACTCATTAAAAATCAATGATTGAGTACCAAAACAGAAAAAAAAAAAATAGATCCCAAAAAAAATCATTTCTCTCATAATTAAATTAATGGATCACATATCCCTCATTGTCCTCCCCAAACAAGGTCATGCTAAAAATCCTTTTCCCATTATATAAAAGAGAAATTTTAATGAGAACATAGGAATGGCACTATAGCAGCCTTGCCAGATATCCAGAACAAAAGAAAGTTCGGACAAACTTACCGAACGCCTCAAATTTAATGGCGCAATCTATACGTAGAGCAGTGACATAAGTCCTCTTGTCATGTATCGCCAAGTGCTGTCCTATAGTTTAGAATGGCATATATATTATAGGACAATGAATGCTCCCCAGTCCACAGTACGAGCAGGCAAATGGAACACAACCACCTCCTAAAACACGCAATATGGACAGTTCATCGTTTTGAATTTGAAATCTTCAAGTGTCAATCATTTGAATCTTACTTTGATTGAAAATTAATGCCAAACTCATGTAATAGTCAATATTGTTCTAATTCAGTTTCGCTGTTTTTGGTAATCATTTTGCAAGTTTGCTTCAGTATGATGAATTCTTCGGAAATTTTTAACCAAAACGGTACTCAAAAATCTATTTTAAAAATTTTCAATTTTTTTTCCCTTTTATTTGGACGTCGAGTCTCGAGTTGGCCTTTTTTTTTTTTTTGGATCGTCACTAGATCAAATTTTGGGCCACACAGACCAAAACGTTTTCTCTATTGCCAATAAGTGCTCAGGCCTATTTGCCGACTAGCACCTAATTAACTGGTTTTCCTATCTTTTTCTTTTTAGGTCATACAAGGGGCTAAGGCCCAAAAGAAACAAAAGATTACTACCCATGATCATCGAGATTGTCTGCACATCCATTATCCTCTCTGTACCCACAACTTCCTGAATTCCCAGTTTCTATTAAGAAGATTCTCAATAGGTCCAAGAAGCATAATGTAAGGTCCAATACCTTCTCCACTACTTACCAATCTGCTTAACTGGTGTTCCTATTTGTTTTTATTAAGAGCTAATAATTTGCTATTAATTATTCAAAAAAAAAAAAAAAAACCCCAAAAGTTCAATCAACTCTGGCAATAGCTTAGTAGATGTATTCATCTCTTTTAAAAAGACAAAATTTTGCTGTTGCCGGAGCAATAAGAATTTTTCCATTGTCCATTGCCCTCTAAAAAAATAAAATAAAAGAAGTCTAGTGAGATTTAAAATTGCCTTATCTGGACAAAAAAAACAATCGCAAGTGATCAAATAATGTTCTTAATATACTAAATCACTGCTTATAAAGTTACTAATTAAAGAAAAATAGTCTCCTAGGCAAATTGTTTGGTTGGATAGGTCTGGCACAGCCGCACAGGCAGCCTCAAGCCATTGACTGCATCACCAAAAAGATTCTTACTTTGTCCGATAAGATGTTAATGGAGATTAATAAGAGCCCACTTGCCTTTTTTTATAGACTCGCCTTTTAAAGTCTTTACGCAACCTGACGTAGAATGTATAATATATTCGATTCATCGAAAGAGACGTTGGATTCTGAGACATATAATAGAGGATATTCATATATTATTACACAACGATTCAATAAATTGAAGTCATTTAAATTCAAATTTATTTATTACAAAAAAACTATAGGACAGACAATTGATAGACTATACTTAATTATATTAATGTAGACCAAAATAAAATAATGAAATAAAAACTTTAAAGCAAACATCATAATTACAAAATCCTCAATAATCGTATTTTAAATTTAAATAGGGTCCTCTAAATCATTAGGATACATATTTGTTGTGGGCTGGTTAGGTGTGCGAATCAGCCAGGTAATTGACATTCATCCATAAAAGATCGGGTAATCGAATAACATCAAGCTCGAAAATTAATTTTACCAAGGGTAAATTTAATACAAGGAATTCTTTGGCTTCCAGATTAAAGATGAAAAAGGAATCCTGTAGTTCTTAAGATATTCTGCAATTGTATCTTTAATTTTAGGGCCAATTTATTAGGTTTGGCTGGTTTAACTGGATTTTGACTATATAACTTGTAAACTTGGTCTGATTAGAAAACCAACTAGGCATGACATCTGGTTTACCTATCCAGACACCAGGCCAGGCTGGGTTTTAAAAAATAGGTCTAAAAGGTTCTAAAAGGTCAATGTTTTGGTACTCCATTCCATTTTAATAAGAGCCACCAACCCTTTTATGGATTCAATTAACCTTTGTACACAATTTAATATGTTTGTCAGGACATGTGTGATGTGCCGGTCGAAATTAAAAAAAAAAAAAATTGATATAAACTATAATAAGATCCTGAAACGTGCAACATGATTTACTTCTGATTTCAAAGCATAAAAGTCTCTTTTTGTTAATTTAAACCTGCAGTCTGAATCATTGTGATATACACTTGTTCTAACTTGTAATGGGCAATGATCTGGGTAATGGCTTCTCCTAAAAGGAAACCACTATTCAATTCCCAAAGAGAATATGATAATGACATCCAAGGTGGACTTGGTAAACTAGTGCATTTTAAGTATTTAATTCATGTAAAAGTTACCACTTACTATTAAGTTGCTGTGTTAATGATAAACGGGTTGATATAGTATAAATTTTTGTAAATTTGTTGTTTTTATTTGAACATGATTAGTCATGTTCTTAATGTGAAATAGTAATATCTGGATAAAACAAAAAAATATATATATATATCCAAAAAAAAGTTTGTTTTAACATTAGATCCTATACAACCTTATGATCTGTGTTGATTGTCCAGTAATCCTAGTCTGTTTTTCAGAATGCGCTCTTTATATTTTTATCTAATTTTTTAATTACTGGAGTAAGGTGCCCAAATGCCCATCGGTCTAGAGCATGTGGAACGGAAAAAAGAAGAGAATAGCAAGAGTTAAAATTCCTCACTCTTCTTTTCACATTTGATTAGATGAAATCCTTTATTAATTTTAAATTCGAAATGGTTACATGAATACTACATGTAAATGTAATGTAACCTTCAGTTGAACATAGAGGAATTGATCTGACCCAATTTATTTTTGATGGTTTCATTTCGGTTCAAAGCAGAAGAAACAACTGTGGTTTAAATGAGCATTGAGCAACGACAAATATACATTGGATAAAGCAGTTTGGAAAGAAAATTCTAAAACTTACATAACCTTGGAAAAAAAAGAGCTAGCAAACATGCAAGTTAAAATACAATAACCACTTGATCTACAATTACTTACCAAATACATATTCTATGCGCAAATCCTCGTAACCATCAACAAAAGCAATCAAAGCCTAACAAAGCAGCTTTGTTATCGTGATAAAATATATTTGTGAGGCCTGGCCATGGCTCTCAATCACCAAGTTGCATTTCTGATACCATGAAAATGGTATTGTTACTTTGACCTTGCTCAAATGCTCGTGGCCTTGATCAAAGAAGTGAAAGTCACGGTTGACCCCAGTGCGAATGCTCCAGCAATTTCAACTGCAAATGTGTCATAACGGAGGAAAAATTCCACCAAGAAAACCCTGGATACGAGTACCACTAGATCTTTCGCAGGACATTGCTTGTTCTCCGCAGTTGGATCCTCAGTCTCACGCCCATTTGACCAATAAACATACTTCAAAAGCTTCTCTCCCTCCCCCACAAACCTATGAGCCAAAAATTCCTCCGGATCATCAAAAACTCTAGGATCCTTTGTAGCGAACGGTTGATATCCGAAGATCATTTCACCTTTCTTGATCTCGTAGGCTGCATCATGAGTATGCACCACAACATCCTCCTTGGCCTTACCGTATTGGAATGGAACCGGAGGCTCAATCCTTAAAGCTTCAAAAACAACTGACTTGGTCAAAGTCATCTTATCCAATGCCTGGAAAGTGACACCACCTTCTTCCTTAACGATGCTCCTGATTTCATTAGCAAGTTGGCTGTGTAACTCCTCTCCTGCTGTGCCAACCCACTTTATCAGGGTAGGGAACCAAATTTTCAGACCACCATAAGCATTAAAACCTGCAAGAAACACTAGGTTATGGCAAGCCTCATCTCTTTTGATCCCAAAACTCTCTGCTTCGTCTAAAACCGAACTCGAAGACTCGTAAAACGCATCGTAAAGCTTTTTATAATCAGATTTTACAAAGAAAAACGGTAATGGAAATGTACGCAAGAAAATATCTTCAATATATTTAAGATACTTCGGTAATCCTAGGGTTGCAAGCGGTGCAAGTTGTAAAGCCAACCATTTATCTACAATGGCAGGTCCTTCTGATCCAAGCTTTGTATCAGACGAATCTTGACTGCCAAACAGACGAAACACAAAGTTGAAAGAAATAGCATCACTAGACTTGTTGAGATTTGCTTTCTTTTGAGAAACCATGTCATCCTCAATGTTAATGAAAAGCTTCGACAAGCAAGTTCTAAAGAGAGGGATGAAGTCCTTGTGCTTGGATGCTAGAGTAGACATAAAAAAAGACTTGAGAGAGGTGTGCTTAGGCTCGGAAGGGTCAAGATAGGCGCAAGCACGGTATCCCCCAGTGAAGGAGACGGAGGGGAAGAAAGTACCATCAAGAACGTTACGTTTTTCAACCTTAGAAGTGTCAAAGAGGACTGGAAATGAGATTGCATCAAGGATGGCAATGACTTTGGGATTTTTGGCAATGAAAGGGCCAGGAGGCATGTTTGTTTTGAAGACTGTGGATTGGTATTTCTGGATACGGGTACGAAAGAACTCATCTTTGCCTTGGTTATAGAAATAATCTAGACGATCTCTGATGGCACCAAAGAAAGGGATGCCATAGTCACCGGGTATTGGTTTTACTGAGACTTTTGATACTTCAGAAGGAGATGAAGACATTTTTAGCTCTTGAACTTGTAAAGAATGGCATCAGTCCATGTCTACTTATATCGGTAAACTTACTGCTCACTTAGTTTTACTATTTCTCATGATCACATTTCAGTCTTGACCAGTAATTACATCAGATTTTCCCAACCCATGTTTCACTGCATCTTGCAATTGTTTACGGTAGGCTAACGGCCTTTCTTTGCCAAGTTGGGAGGACTTTTTTTTTTTTTTTTTTTATGTAGTTCAAATATGAAATTCAATCTACCTACTTCAAGTGAAGTTTAAATTCCTGTCCTCTCCTATCTCACAATGGTTTTATCGGAAAATAAATAAAAAGGAAATGAAGTTAAACAAACAGCGGGTAGCTAGGGTGGTGATGGAACCTATTTAATTGCCATTGGCAATTTTCACAGTTAATAAATTAGATGGAGTAGATCAATTAAGTCAAACTTCATTTCTTCTTAACTAGCATGGAATCTGGAGATAATGACAGTCATATATATGTATATAGTAGCGTTTACTTGAAAAAGAAGATGATTTACAATTTTACATTATAAGATCAGAAAAGATACGTTGATTAATTACTTTTTGGGAAGATTAATGTACCTTCCAGACCAGTCATTCTATTTTTTCTTTCTTTCCATCTGCTTTAATTTGTACCTTCTCAGTTTTATTTTTAATTTTTACCTGGTTCCATTTATTAAAACAACTCAAGTGACACATGTCAGGGAAAAAAAAAAGAAGAAGCCAAATTGATCAAGTCAACAAATTCACAAAGAATAATAATAATTTTTTTTTAAAAAAAAAACAAGAAAACTGACTTGTGGATCTATCCAAGCGAATTTAGAAACATTTTATGTGCGAAAAACACGATATTGATGAACCCACAGGTAGAGATGTCAAACTTTTGATCGATCAACATCAGATGGTCAAGTGTACTGTTTGGTAGCCACTTTTTTATTTTTTAAAAATGTAAAAACTAAGAGAAATCTTATACCGGTTTTAACAATTCTAACTAAAAAAAATTAATTATACAATCAGCATTGCTACAATCATCATAATGTATTCCTGTAATAAGGTTATAATTCAATTCTATCTCAAGAAAATTTTTTTTTACCTAAAATTCAATTATATATCCACTACTATCCAAACAAAATGGAAATGAGAATAATATTTTAGTTCTAATACTGTATTTGAGAAACAATAAGAAATCTAAATGAGAAATTTAAAATTCGTATTATATATGTTTTAAGATGAAAAAAATAATAATTGAAAAACTGATTTTATGAATGGTGCTAGTAGTAACAATAATAAGGTTGACTATGATGTGGTGACTCAATTATTGAATTCATTAATTATAAAAATGTTGTTCACAACGAGGAATAGGCAGAAAACAATTGATAAGAAGTGATGATAGGCATATTTAAGTGCGGAATATTATGGGAAAACTTTTTTACTCTGTAGGACGGGATTGATTTATTCTTCCAAAAGATTGAATTACAATTTAGGAAAGTTGTGTTTTATGTTTATATTATGTGTCGCTACCCAAGATCGGACGAGACTCCTGAAAAATTAAGGATTTCATTTTACAGAGTTATTTATAAGTTTGAAGTTGCCACCTTGTATTGAAGGAATTAGGAAGCTAAGATGAACACTAGTTCAAAGATTCTAAGATAAAGAGTTGGTTACGCTTTGAGAAGATATTGATCACCCAAAGACGTTCTTTTCTAAGAAAGGTACCATGTCTGTTTTAGTCTTAAATTTATTTCCTAAAATGTTATATTTGTGTCAAGTTATTTTTTGTTTTAAAACTCTAATTTTCCAAGTTAAAAAATATATTTTTTTATTTTTGAACGTGACATCGTATTAAAATGATCGTCGGACCCCTTCGTCGGGAGACACATCAGTTCAAATATCGAATTCATTTTAAACCTTGACACAACCGGTGTAGAGAACATCTTAATTATTAATTTTTTTTTTGGCTAACAACAGTCTTTATCTAATAGAGACTTTGTTAAAAGTTTTATGATTTTTTTTTATTGGTGAAAAAATCACCACTAGTCTCTAAAAATAGGAGACTCAATAATTGTCCACCTATTGATTACTTAATCTAATTATTGAAATAAAAATAAAAATTATATTAATCAGATTAATTACAAAAAAATTCAAACATTAAAATCTAAACTAAACATGAAATAACAAACATCCATAAAAATAAACTCAAAGTAAAAATTACATTAAATAAATTTAAAAAATTCAAACATTGAAATCTAAATTAAATATAAAATGAAAAATATGCATAAAAATAATTACAGGATTGAAACAAAGACTTTTTTTTTTATTAGTTATCTTTATATATATTTTGTTTGGTTTTGGGGGGGGGGGAGAGCGCGCGGGAGGCTAGAATCAGTCCAGTCCAATTTCTTTTTGAAAATTTTCGGACTACGCTGGACTGAAATCAGTCCAGCCAACCTACACATGGGTTGAGCTTAGCCCAATCCACAGTACCTTAGTAACTTAAACCCAAAAACAAACCACTGCCCTTTTTTGAAAGAAATTTGGATCAAAACCTCCTCTTTTTAATTTTCCTTTCTCTCTCTCCCGATTTCTCTCTTTCCCTTATCTTTTTTCCCCCTTTTTTCTTTAGCTGCCTCCCTCCATGGACGAACCAACTTCCTTCTGATTCGTCCACTCCATTTCCTTGTATTCTCTTTCTTCTTCCTTTTCTCTTCCGTCTCCTTTCTCCATCGTTATCCTCCTCCTTCTCTCTTCCCCCTTTCGCGATTTTTTTCTCCAGAAAGGAACAAGAGAATCTTCAACTCTGGTTAACTCTTCCTTTAATCGTCCCTCACTCTGCCTCAATTAGTTCAATTCCCCTTGAAATTAAATGATCTCAAGTCCTCTAGAACCCAATTCCCCAAAAATCCCTCAACTTTCATTGTCTTAGAGATATCGAAAACCCTAGGTTTCGTTCTAGTTCCATCCAGCCTCAAATCAAAGTATAAACCCCAAATAGAACCTTGACACAACTATAATCAAACTTCCCTTTAAACCTAAACCATCAATTTATCCCTCAATCGAAAAACCCCCAAATTTCTAATCCCAAATTATCCCTAATCCGAAAGCCTTAAATCCCAAATTGAAATCCCTAAATTCCAAATTGAGTTTTATTTGAATCCTTTTATAAAAAAATGAGTGTGTGCGAAATTAGGGTGAGTTATTTTTCAAGAACAGGCAGTGATGAATATCACTGCCAAAATGCTTCGGAATATAAAAAAAAGGGACTACATTAATGGTTTAGCTTAAAAGGAAAAAGTTACCTGGAGTTGTTAATGACTGAATTCGGATGGAGGATGGAGAAAGGGCCAATGGATTACTGCTGCTCCAACAAAAATTAGGTAGAATTCTTTTCCTTTTTTGTTACTTTATTTCCGTTCTTTGCTTTCTGATTTCTTTTTTTTTTTCCTTGCCTTCAATTTCAATACTTAGTCTCAATTCGTCTGTGATTGGTTCTGTGTCTTTTTTTTTTTTCTCTCTTTGAATTCTCCGAAAATAATCCCCTCGAATCCCCGTTTTCTATTGTTTTATTACTGTTTATATAGACTGCTCATTTGTTGGTTCCCCACCATGATGGTGAGGGATTTTACAGGATTGTCGGAGTGGTTGGCAGTTGTATCTTTTTGGCAGTAGAGGGATTTGGCATGATTGCAGAGTCGTGGGGGGTGATTGTAGGGATTGTGGGAATGGTGGGCAGTTTGCTGGTTTTGTTGGTGTGACTTGCAGTGGTTGTTGGCTGATTGCAGGGTTGTGGAGAGTGGAAGTGGACAGTTTACTGGTTGTGTTGGTCATGGGGTGATGTGCTGCTGGATTTACAGCATGGTGAGGGGTGATGAAGGCTGCTGGAATTGGGGGATTCTGTCTGGAGGGGCTGGGGGAGTTTGTTCGGAGTAGCTGGAAAATGCTCAAAAGATGGAAGGGATTTGTCCCTCCATTTCTGTTTTTTTTTTCTTTTTTGTATTTTTTTGTAATTTTCTGTAATTTGTACTAAGTTTCAAACAAATAAATAAAATTTTTGTCGCTTATCATAATTTCCTTAATGTTTTTTGTTGATTTTTTCTGATTTTTTTAATAAAAGAAAAGGCAAAAAAAAAAAAAATGGACTGACGAATAAAAATAAAAATAAAAATAAAAGAAGAGACTAAAAATTAACAAAATTTGGGGTATGACATTATGTTTAAGGATTCCTCTTTACTTTCTGATAGAAAATGATGACCGTTTAAGATTCTTTAATTTGTCTGTAAAGTGGGGGTAATTTGCAGCTTTTTGCTCAATCTAAGGTGAAATTGGATTCCTTTTCCCTTCAGATAGAAAATGATGATTGTTTGAGATTCTTTCATTTGTCTGTAAAGTGGTGGTATTTTGTACAAACTAAGGTAAAAATGGATTTATTATGGAAAAATTATTGGCTGACAGCAAGCTCTTGCTCTATTCATGAATGGATTTTGCACATATCAAGATCATGAATGATTCAAATTTTTTTATTGGTATCTTAAGTTTTTTTTTCTGTCTAATTTATAAATTTTATTCTAATGTTATTGTTGTTAATGTGCCATGTAAATACATGCTCTAGCTAATAACAATTTACCACATATCATGGTGGACATAAATTAAATGATTGAATTAATGATGTGGTAAGTTGTCATTGGTTAGAGTTTGCCACGTATGCTTATGTGGCAAGTCGTCATTGGTTAGGATATGAAACAACAATAACATAAGAGTAGAATTCTTAAATTGGATAGAAAAAAATTTAAGGTTTCAATAAAAAAAATTCGAATTATACATGATTTCAATATGTGTAAAATCCATTAATGAATAGTGACGACAAGTGAGATGGTTTTTTTTTAATACTATATTTGAGAAATAATAGGAAATCTAAACAAGAAATTTAAAATTCTTATTATATATGTTTTAAGATGAAAAAATGATTTTATGAATGGTGCTAGTAGTAATAA